CTCAACACACCATGAAGCAGTTTCTAATAAATATATACATATATAAATATATACATATATAAATATACATATATATATAAATATATAAATAACAAAATACAATCAAAAAATAGTGTTTGGAAATTTAAGGTTAAGTGTCACTTTTTCGTAAATTCTACCACACTCGTCGCCCATCTCAGGTAACCTATATCCTAGAAAGATTTTGTCATAGTTTGTATTTGAGTCTTCGCGTATTGTTTGCATGACTCTTTCCTGAGTTTCCGGTTCAAGCTCTTCAAACGGAGCTTGTCCATATGGAATAAGCTCGTTTCCAAATATATGTTTTTGTAGTCATTCTGGTTTTCTTTCCATGTAACCAATAATATCTTTTGTGAATGGGAAAGCTTTTCCCCAACGTTTCAGTCTTGCGTCATTTATTTCTGTAGTTGGTTTTATTTTGTCAAGGAACATGTTTTTCAATACTAACATTTCATTTGGTACTGTCCATTTGAGTTTTCTTAAATATTCATCCCTTCTCGGTTCATTGTCTGCAAAGTAAGTTTTTATGACATTTTGCAAACTTTCGTTTGCAAGGTCATGTACAATAGGTTCTCTTCCTTCTCTCTCCCTAACTTTCTTTCTAAACTCTTCACCAAATATACCATCTCTATGGTTCTGTGTAGTTCTTTGAGATAAATGTTCTAGAACGTCAGGTGTTATATTTCCCTCAGCCATGTTCATTTCATACTGGTCCAAAATATCTGCATCTTTCATATCTTTCAATGGCATTAAAGCCGCGCTGAAAATACCCGTTATATCTGGTTCACCATTCACTTCCATTGCGTCTACAACTTCTTGGAATTGAGGTTGTAAGTTTATGAACCACCTATCCGGATTAGCTTTATGACCCCATTTCATTGTAGTTCCATAGTCTGCAGAAACAAAAGTAGGTTTGTTTCCATATTGGTTAGGTTCTGAATGAACTTTAAACAATGTTTCATTTCTATATGTTTTGTTGAAATTTAACCTTTTATTTTCACCGAGTTCAGCCAAAGATTGAACGTTATATGGTCGTAAGTAAAAAGGATTATTGTATTTGCGTACATTTTCTTTCAGTACTTCCATTCTATGCTGAATATTTTCATCTGATGTTGGAGTCTTTTGTATGTCGGTGAACATTTTTCGATATCCTTCTACTATGTCAGCCGAATTTTTCTTAGACTCTTGGAAAGATTCCATATTCTCCTCATACTCTTGTTCAGGGTCAAGATTTTTCGGCTGTTCCAAATCTTCATCTAGTTCTGTGAAGTTAGTTTCCAAAGGAGGGACTTGTTCGTTTCCTTCAGGCTCTTCTAGCTGTTGTTGCTGAACTATTTCTTCCATGTCTGGTTGTATCTGAACTTCTTCCTGTGGAGTTTCTTGTACCTCATCTGGTGGCATTTCATATATTCCGAGACCGTTTTTAACAAGTTCCCTATCTAAGTCATCTGGACTCATAAACCTTTCTTCTTTCGTTCCGTCTCTATTTTTTACGCGTTTCATGAAGAGAGTTGAATTATCATTTAGCTCTGACATCAAATATCTCGGAGTAAATTCATTCATGTCATTTGGATGATATGCTATTAAATCATATCCCTTAGCGAGCTTGTATTTTCCAGGTTTGAGATTATATCCCATTTGATGCTGAACCATAAAGCTAAATAGGTTCGGGTCAGTATTTCCTTCCTTGAACTTTCTAATAGCTTCTTTATATCTGTCACTAAAGTCAAGAGTATCTGGGTAACCATAATCTTCCTTAAGGGTTGTTTAAGAGTAAGCACTTTTGGCACCTACTCTAATTAAAATGAAGAAGTAATTGAAAACGATTACTTTTATGATCAAATTTTATATATTTTTGGATCAAATCCATTTTAATAGAATTTATATACTATTCATCTATTAGTAAACACTACCGTATATTATTTTTTAAGCTATCTTATTTTTTGAACTTTTATTCAAATCTTTGGTCGCAAGAAGAATTGCATGATAAATAAAAACATTTAATCAAAGTCAATTTTATTTTTCATATTCAAATGGACTGAGTGTTAACATTTAACATTTTTTGCTAATTGTCGTCAAAAATTAGGCGTAAAGCAAAAATTGATATTTCATATGGTTTTCTGATAGATAAGCATTATATTCCCACTCATTATATTCGTAAATTTTGAGGTTTATCCTTCGCTTTTAAGATCATTGAATTTGATTTTTATATAAAATAGTTATATATTAGAAAATAATATGAGTTTATGTGATATTATTTTTCAGAAGATTTCATTCTATATGCCTATGAAAAGTACTCTCAAAACTAACTTTTTCCTAATTATAATTAAATCTAGAATATTGTATTATGCTTAGTATTATTTCATTTTTCTCATTCAATTTAGAATTTACAAATGTCAAAAAATTGAGAGCTGTCACTTTTGATGAATTTCTGTTTATTACAAAACCATTTATCCTTAATATTTGTTATAAATTCAATATCCGGAATTAATTCCCAAATTTTTGAATTTTCGATTAATTTACCATCAAATGCAAAAGCAATAGGTTTAATATTAAACTTACCTTTATAAAATAAACTTTGTACGCAATCATCAAAATAAACGTCTACTTGTTTAACCTGGGTGAGAATTGGTGAAAGTTTATCCATTAATTGATTCACAGTCACGAATTTTGTTCCGTTCATTTCTTACGAGGGGGGCATAAACTTGCCCAGTGAGGTGAAGTGAAAAGTGACATGTTTACATGTCAGAAATGTAAAGTGTCAGATTTGAAACAAAGAATGGATTAATTTATTATTATATGATAGAGAGATTTGGTAAGTTACTATCAAATTTGTAAGTAAGGGAAAAAAAAGTAAGAAAGAAAAAAATTTTAAAAAATAAAAAGCCACTCGCTTCGCTCGCGGTTGACAAAAAGAACAAATTCGAAAAATAATTGTATGAAATTACGAAACTAAGCCACTCGCTTCGCTCGCGGCTTAAGAAAAGAACAGATTCGAAAAAAGATTGTATGAAATTACGAAACTAAGCCACTCGCTTCGCTCGCGGCTTAAGAAAAGAACAGATTCGAAAAAAGATTGTATGAAATTACGAAACTAAGCCACTCGCTTCGCTCGCGGCTTAAGAAAAGAACAGATTCGAAAAAAGATTGTATGAAATTACGAAACTAAGCCACTCGCTTCGCTCGCGGCTTAAGAAAAGAACAGATTCGAAAAAAGATTGTATGAAATTACGAAACTAAGCCACTCGCTTCGCTCGCGGCTTAAGAAAAGAACAGATTCGAAAAAAGATTGTATGAAATTACGAAACTAAGCCACTCGCTTCGCTCGCGGCTTAAGAAAAGAACAGATTCGAAAAAAGATTGTATGAAATTACGAAACTAAGCCACTCGCTTCGCTCGCGGCTTAAGAAAAGAACAGATTCGAAAAAAGATTGTATGAAATTACGAAACTAAGCCACTCGCTTCGCTCGCGGCTTAAGTAAACATCATATTTCAGATTATCGATACTAAATTTTTTTTTATTTTTTTGCATTTTTTTTAAAGCTTCTTAACTTAAATCATGGAATGTCTCAAAGACAAAAGTAGCATACAGCATGCAAAGCTAAAGAAAGATAATCATAATTAATACCTTAATTTTTAATATTACGCATTTTTAGGTGCAAAATTTAAAAACATTCTAATACAATAGAGCAGTTTCCAAAAGTAGCATACAGCATGTAAAGCTAAAGAAAGATAATCATAATTAATACCTTAATTTTTAATATTACGCATTTTTAGGTGCAAAATTTAAAAACATTCTAATACAATAGAGCAGTTTCCAAAAGTAGCATACAGCATGCAAAGCTAAAGAAAGATAATCATAATTAATACCTTTAAAGTTTAAAATCTTGATTTTTTTTAAAATCAAATATTTATAACTTTAATACATACAGCTTAAACCTTATACTTGTTTTCTCTTGTGAGAAAGCAATCTTACAAAGCTAACAATCCTAAAAAATAAAGAATTAAAATTTAATAATTTAATCTAAAATTAAAATCAAAATTAAATAAAATGAGTTCTTTGTAATAATACTTTCAAGGTAGGATATATTTTAGTGGGATCTATTGAGTCATCACTAACAGCATTGAGCAATCTATTGAGCATTGAAATACTCTCGATTTTTCTTTGTCTTTTTACATCAATTTCTGCGTTAGTTGCTTTTTCCATGATCCTAATGACACGGTCATCTGCTGGATTTTGATCAATTTTGAGTTTGATAACGAAAGATGGTATCACTTTTGTATAAATTTCTATAATAACATCATCAATTCTGAGATTTTTTCGATCAGGAAAATAGTCATGTTTGAGTGTTCTAAAATGAGCTTCGGCAATATTGTTAGTTGCGTCGCCTTCACGCCTGTCACTAGCAATCCATCTTGATATGTTGTAACGCCATTGTCTGTTAAAGTATTGAGATGCTGTTGGATCTGTGTCGAGCAACTCCAGAACTTGATCATAGGCAGCATTTGCTTCTTCCTCATGTTCTGCATCTAATTTGAAGACTAAATCCTTCATCAAATTATAGAATTGTTCAAATTTTTCTTGAGAAGAAAACTTATTTGATTTGCGAAGAATTGCACGAAGAACATGTACTCCGCACCAAAGTATTTGAGCTTGTGGAATGCTTTCTTCTATTGCTTGAGCTATCTGTGGAGCACAGTCCATGCTAATGTATTCTGGCTCAATTGTTACCCATCTGAGATAGGCGCACACGCAAACTTGAATGTTTTGATAAGTGTCTGGTTGACAAAAGAAATATAAAAAAGGGAAAATGTGAAAATCTTTGATTTTGCCAGTAAATGCATACAATGGAATGTTTGATCGCAACAATTTATAGGTGCTGTCTATATGAAATGTCTTGATACTATGCGCATAAGCTTTGCCTTCAAAAGGCGCGTAATAGAAACACATATTATTGTCTGAGACTTCAAATGCAATGAGATCATCTGGAGATTCTTCTTGTACTGTCTGAACAAAGATTTGCAATGACACAACATCGTCAGGAGAATATCTAGTTTGAAGAGCATGTATTCTCTCTGCAAATCGTTTGATTGCACGTGGTTTTTGAGCGTACATCTCTGGAATGGACGGACCTGTAAGAGGAATTTCAAGATCTTTGAATGCATTTAGCTGTGCTATCGCTCTTTGATTGTCATCTGTTTGGAAGTAATGTTCTAAATATTTGCGATAAAAGACAGACGAATATTGACTTTTGTCATTTGGGGCGGAATGATCATGTTCTTCAACTATTTTGATTAGTTTGTATTTATTTTGATCCAAGATTGCAACATTAAAATGTGCAGGACATTTTGGATATTTGCAGTGGAATGAAATCTGAGATCTTTCTTTCCTGACACGTTCACCATATCCATACTGTGCTTGTATTTCTTGTTTAACTCCAAATTTACAAAGATCCATAACAGTAAAGATAGTTTCTTCTTCTAATTCCATTTGAAATTGAAATGAAAATTAAAAATTCAGAAATTTGAATAGATTTGGTATGTAATTAAATGAGAATAGCAGTTTGTTCGTCATTGTATGAGGCAAGAGTATTATAGGAATATTATATGATGGATTTGAGTTGCATATAAAGAGTGCAAAAGGATAAAGAGAGAAATTTTGTTAGATTAAATTATTAAATTTTAATTCTTTATTTTTTAGGATTGTTAGCTTTGTAAGATTGCTTTCTCACAAGAGAAAACAAGTATAAGGTTTAAGCTGTATGTATTAAAGTTATAAATATTTGATTTTAAAAAAAATCAAGATTTTAAACTTTAAAGGTATTAATTATGATTATCTTTCTTTAGCTTTGCATGCTGTATGCTACTTTTGGAAACTGCTCTATTGTATTAGAATGTTTTTAAATTTTGCACCTAAAAATGCGTAATATTAAAAATTAAGGTATTAATTATGATTATCTTTCTTTAGCTTTGCATGCTGTATGCTACTTTTGGAAACTGCTCTATTGTATTAGAATGTTTTTAAATTTTGCACCTAAAAATGCGTAATATTAAAAATTAAGGTATTAATTATGATTATCTTTCTTTAGCTTTGCATGCTGTATGCTACTTTTGTCTTTGAGACATTCCATGATTTAAGTTAAGAAGCTTTAAAAAAAATGCAAAAAAAAATTGAATACTTTACTGGCTGGGCAAATTTGTCGCCGCCCCAACGTCTACTTGTTTAACCTGGGTGAGAATTGGTGAAAGTTTATCCATTAATTGATTCACAGTCACGAATTTTGTTCCGTTCATTTCTTACGAATTAAAAAAATAAATTATTCAAAAATGTAAGACATGAATTTTTAAAGTTTATTTTTTATTCATGAAAATAATTATTTCTAATTTCTTTTACTCTCTCGTACATACTAGATTTAAAGAATTCAGAACATTTCCCATAATCTCCTAAATGTTTTCTTATCCCTAACGTGTGCCAGTTATTATATGAAACTGAATAAACTTTATCTTTATCTTTACACCTTTCATCACTTCCAATATATTTATATCTCAGTTTTGATTTAGCATTTTCATATTCATTAGCGTTTAATAATTCACAGTCTTCCTTTTTAAATTGATGTTTAAGATATTCAGGATTTAATACTCTACGTTTATATGCTCCTAACTTAGTTCTAAAGGTTTTTCTACAAAATTTAGGAATTCCATCCTCTTTAATGTCATCAATGATTTCCATTTCATTATTTTCAATTTCTTCTTCTCGTTTATGAGGTCTTTGATTATGACTCCATTGATTCCATGAAATTAAATATTCTTTATCATTATATTTATACCTCATTAGCTTATTTTGGCTTTCATATTCATTTAATAATTCACAATCTTCATTTTTAAATTGAAGTTTAACCCATTCAGGATTTAAACAATGTTTAATTAATCGCGGAATATCTGACATCATCTATATATAGATTCTTTTATAAAAGATAAAAAAATAAATTATTTTAAAATTAATGTTAATTTTTTTAATGATTTATAAATAAATATATTTTAATGCATCGTCTATATATAGATGTAACAAAAAAAGTCACTAAACCCGTCGTATCCTACTACTTTGAATATTAGAGACGTATCGGAAAAAATCAAAAAGATAATGTAAGATATAGGGATGACAATATAAAGAAGCAAATATTCAGAAGAATAATCTTTTACGGATTGAAAATTAAATTATTGAAGCTATTTTGAAAAAGAAATACGTTATAGTCAAATATTTAAATATTAGAAGTGATAAATCAATGTCATGGTAATGAAATAAAATGATATTTATAACTTTTGAAAGGTGATTGAAAATTACAAATATTACAAATTTGGTCAACATAGAAATATCATGTATTTTACAACTTCAAATTTTCAGAGTGATTCAAATAATTCAAAATTTTGATAAAATTAATTTCAATCGGCAATTCAAATAATCGATCAAAATATAAGGGGAAAATGCTTAAAATATTAAAGAGATATGGTAATTAAGCGGTTCAATTGTTAATTATTTTCATATTCAAGGGAATTATTCAATTATTTGTGAAATATCTCAAAACAATTCAAAACTTTACATTGTTATCGATTTGAATGATTTATAATTCATTTCAATGATTTACAAAAAATAATCATCTGGTTTTCATTCCATTGAAAGCAAAAATATTTTATACAAACAAAGCAAAAACTTATATTAGAATATCTATACAACAGTATCCTTTGATATTTGCGATACAAGTTGACCAAAGTTTGATGATGATCTGATAAAAATTTTCGGAGGGTAAGGTAATTCTAAGGATTCCAATGGGGTGTATGTTTCTACTATTTGAAGTTTCGGGCGCTTTGGCTCAGGACTTCGGTAAAGTGGTGCTTTTTGAGAATCGAAATTGTCCGAATGTTGAGTTCTAATTGCCCTACTCCATTCTTCGAAGCGTTGCTTTTCTACTATATCAAGAGAACGCCACATTTTGGCCAATAATGATGTAATTGCTGTACCCTTCAAATGAGGATTTAACTTCATTGCGTTGCTTCTATTTTGGAAGCAAAAGATCTGAAACGGTGTAACAATTAATGGAGTAGTATTTGTCCTTTGAGATTCATAATCAGTGCTGTTCATTTGGATTGAAATCAACAAAAATTAATAATAAAAATTCAATATTTCCATTCAAAATTTTTTATGTATTGAATTTGAATAAAAATCTGTAATCATGTTTAAAATTAGGATACAAATGTGATATCAAAAGAAATTTTGAATTGTATTGTTTTTTTGAATAACAGTTTATGTCACTTTTTCAATACTAAGTTCTGAAATTATTCGAACAGTACTTTTCAATCAATTAGAACTGGTATTCATAAAAATTATGTTGTGCTTTCAAATATATGTTGATATCTTTATTGTATTTTAAATTTTTTCTTCGAATCTTACCGTCATTTAATAATTTTTTTTTATTGACATACTGATTTAAGATGTCTCAATATGCAATTATGTTACGTAAGGCTAATACATCAATGCTGAACTAATTAAACTCTTCTTTTATTGAATAACACTCTATTATGGACATCATTTGTTTAGCTGGATAGAGTTTTCAATGAATTCCTACATTATGGATTCTTTATAGATGTTGCGAATACACGCATGACTTTTGTTCAACTAAATTTGCTCTTACACTTTTCAAGTTACCATAAATCTTATCATCCTGATATAAAATTAGCACATAACATCTATTATATATTTTCATCCTATATAGAACGAAAATTTATTTAATTTCATTTAATTGTTGATATTAAAGCCGGACATCGGCGTTCAATAAATGAGCTATATAACCGTGTCTTTTCGTGATTCTAGGTGGTGTGGTTTTGTCAAGAATACAATAATTTTGATTTCAATACTTTTATCAAGCTGATCGCAAGCCAAAACTTTGAGGAAAGTTACAAGCATATATTTAATGATTTCTGATTCGCTAAAGTTCAAATTACATGTTTCGTAAAGGTGAAGTTAGAAATTTTGTCATTCTGATCCGAATTTTAATTTCAAAATTGTTCATTAGTTTCTGTTGTTCAAATCATATTTCTGAACATTAAAATTATCGGGATTTTTGAGTGCGAAATTTTATTTTCGGTAACATTCAAAATTATTTCCCTCCAAAATGGACCCAATCAAGAAGAAAGTGGTTATCTTAGGAGACAGTAGTGTGGGGAAAACAGCCTTTATTAATAGGTTTGTAATGGGTGTATTTACTGAAAACACAAGACCCACAATTTCTGCTGCATACAAATCTCGGTCAACAATTAGCAAAGGACTTGAATTAGAAATTCAATTTTGGGATACTGCTGGAGAAGAAAAGTATCGATCTCTTGCACCAATTTATGTTCAGGACGCTTTCATGGCAATTTTAATGTTCGACGTGACAAATAGAGAAAGTTATCAAAGCATTGAATTATGGTATGAATTATCACAGTCACGTGGAACAATCCCTGTTATCATTTTAGGTAATAAAAACGACTTAGATGATCGATTTACAAGTGTTTCTACTTTAGAGAACGAAATCAGTGAAAAGTACAATTCAGTATACCTAGATATTAGTGCGAAATTAGGTATGAATGTTGAACCTTCTTTTCAAGCAATTGTCGACGAAATAGAAAAATTACCAATAGAATCGAAAGATCCACGAACTATACGCGCTAAGAAAAAATCTGAAGAAGCGTGCTGCTAGTATTTCATAATTCATATATTATCAGATAACGTGGGTGATTTTTCACCCAGCCGTAAGGGGCTGAACTTTTGAGAGTTTTACATGGCATTTGCCGGTAAATGCCATGTAATTTATTCTCAATTATTTCCCAGGGGTTGCCGGTGCATTTACCCTAAAATATTTGAGATAACTTTACATGACATTTGCCGGCAAATGCCATGTAAAACTCTCAAAAGTGTGATCCTTATGGCTGGGTGAAAAATCACCCACGTTAATATATTTTCATTAATTTGTCTGACAAGTTAATTCAAAATACTATATAAAGTATTCTGTCTGTAAAGTTTTCTTCTTTACTTAGTCTCTTTTTTTTATGAATAACTGAGGGTCGTTATCGATTTTGTAATTTAATCGTTATCGTTATCGATTTTGTAATTTAATCGTTATCGTCTTTTTCTAAACGTGCATTTTGGAACTAAATCGCATATAACTTTAAAATGACTTAATATTTAAAGGTTTATGTGGTAAATATCAACGAAATGTAATATTAATATGTGCACCATATATGAATTACAGACATTTGAGCAATTCGAAATTTCATCGCGTTATATATTCATTTAAATTCGATCAAATCAACATTGCAATTATAAAACCATTACACATCCAGTCAATATTTTTCAATTTCATGCGAATTATATCATTATTACACATTTTAAAATGGCGAAATATAGTCCAAAAAATAAACTTCGTTTTAAACTCAATTCTCACACATATTCGGATTAAATCATATGTGACTCATATGATCATACATCTCATTTGAGGTCTAAAAAATGATTTACCGAGAAAACTTGCATTCGAACTAAAATTTACTAAATTTAATCAAATTGGTTTACAAACGTAAAGTTTATGCCAAATATTTACGTTTGTAAACTAATTGAGTAAATTTATAGCACTTTTTTTCTCGATGCAATAATTTGAACTACGAGTTTACCAAATTAGTTTACAAACGTAAAGTTTATGCCAAATATTTACGTTTGTAAACTAATTGAGTAAATTTATAGCACTTTTTTTCTCGATGCAATAATTTGAACTACGAGTTTACCAAATTAGTTTACAAACGTAAAGTTTATGCCAAATATTTACGTTTGTAAACTAATTGAGTAAATTTATAGCACTTTTTTTCGATGCAATAATTTGAACGACAAGTTAATGTAATTAGTGTTCTCATGTTTACAATTCAATATGTCTATGCATATGATATATGCAAATTCTATAAATAAAATATTATTAAATAAAATTCTTTTCAATTCCTTAAAAATAGCGTTTCTTTTGAATAAAAAATGATTTTTAACTAATTTTAGGACTCTTTCTATTTCAAAAAAATACCTGAATTTAATTTTCTGATGCAAAATTTATGCTTTTTATCATGAAATTCTTTTTTTCAAAATTTTTTTGGATTTTTTTCCATTTTGAATATAGTTAATTTTACTTTATTTCACATTCTATTAAGAAATACTTAGGCCAATCCCTGTGGGACCCAGTGGTAACTTTCCATGGAAACCACTCAGTGGGAACATTTTTTATTTTTGACGGAAAAAATTCTAAATATTTTTTTCATTTTTTGATTTTTGAATTTTTTTTGGAATTAGAGAATAAAATTTAAAGCGATAGATATGCTTGATTATTCAAGATATTGATATTAAATCAGAAATCAATGGTAAATAAAGAGTTTTATAAAAACTTACCACGTGGTAAGATGAAGTGACCACAAATTGAGTTGTGGTACATAAAAATTACCACAAAATTGAGAACTTTTCCCACAAATTGAGAATTTTTACCATAAAATGAACGATGGATATCCACGAAAGTTACCACAACTCACTTCTCGCGCAAAATATGTTTAATATTACATATTAAATACATTTATTTAATTATTTTGAATTGTGGTAAAACGATATGTCACATATTTTTTTATAAAAATTTGTAAAAATGTTTATTTTAATTTATATAATTAAATATTAAAATTTTAAATTTTGAAATAAAATAAATTAAATTCGTCCGTTATCTTTAATTCGCTCGGCGAATGCCGAGCTTACGTACTCATGTATTCCTTCTTGTTACAACTCGAACAAGAACATCACCTTTAACATATTATCAAGAAGCCCACTATAAACTTTTCATTTGATGAGTTTTGAATCGCGAGCTTCTTGATAGTCAAACTACGCACCAGCACTACAACTTCTTTCACCCGAACTAATACAAATTTACACATTGGAGCTGCTTTGCTCTGAGAACTCTCATCAATCGATGAGAGTTCTCAGAGCAAAGCAGTTCTAACCGAACTACGCACAAACACTCCAACTTAAAGCAACCAAATCAATACGATTATATACATTGGAACTGCCTTACTCTTATTTCTCTCATCTATTGATGAGAGATCTCAGAATGAGGCAGTTCCAATCGAACTACTCACAGACAGTCCAGCTAACCAAACCGAATCAATACACATATATACATTGGAGCTACTTTGCTCTTATTTCTCTCATCAATTGATGAGAGAACTCAGAGTAAAGCAGTTCCAATCGAACAGACAAGCTAGCACAAGATTACACATTGGAACAGTTTTACTCTGAGAACTCTCATCGATTGATGACAGATCTCAGAGTAAAGCAGTTCCAATCGAACTACACACAAGCACTGCTTCTTACAGCAACCCAATCAATACGCACATATACATTGGAGCTGCCTCACTCTGAGAACTCTCTTCATTTGATGAGAGATCTCAGAGTGAGGCAGCTCCAATCGAACTACATACAGACATTACCGCTAACCATAACCCAATCAATGTACGTAATTACATTGAAGCTACTTTACTATTATTTCTCTCATCAATTGATGAGAGATTTCAAAGTAAAGCAGCTCCAAAAAGAAAGTGAGAAGAAAAGAAGGAAAGAGAAGAAAGAAAAGAAGGAGAGAGAGAAAAGAGAAAAAAAAAAGGACATATTAAATATGATATGCTGTTTTTAGTGCCGAGGCGGCGAAGCCGCCGAGGCACGATTTTTTTGGTCTCTTCCTTCCACGTGGTAAGCTTTTTTAAAAGTTTGGACAGGCCTAGAAATACTATATATATGTAGATTGAATTCTTTTATTTTGGCACTTTTTATTTTTTTAATGTTTTTTTTTCTCCAACACTCAGCCCCCAATTCAAATCAAGCATTTACCAACGTAAAATACCGGTATTCCAATCAATAAGAGGACAGTTCTGTCAAGACCCTTCCTGATTTGAAGGAACTTGAAAGAACTGCTCTTTAACCGACTTCAAATAAGAAAATTTCACTCATATTATCATGTTAACATCGAAACTACTGCCATTTAGAGAGCAGTTCTTTCAAGATCTTCGAAGATTTGGAAGATCTTGAAAGAACTACTCTTAAAATGGCAGTAATTACCGTAACTTTCTACTTGATAGTAACAATACCGAAGCTACAGCCATTTAGAGGGCAGTTCTTCCAAGATCTTCCAAATCTTCGAAGATCTTGAAAGAACTACTCTTAAAATGGCTGTATTGCGAGAGGGTTTGATTTTTCGTTTATTAAAATTGTATTCTATGATATAATTTAATTCAAGATTTGTATTTCTGTTATTTTTGTGATATCATTCAAGTATATATATCAGAATATGCACATAATGATACCACATATACTTAAACTATACATATTTAAATCGTAGCGATCAATATAATTTTTTTTTTGTAATATCGAATAAAAGTTTGTTTTCGCATTTCCGTTTTATTTGACTACATGAAGATAAGAATTCTTGAGAACGATTTTAAATAAATTGCCAAATTGAAGTATTCGATATATGATGATATTCACTGATTTCTGCCAAACTTGTAGGAATGAATCCATTTAGAATAAAAACGATTTGTGCATTGGAAGCTCAGAACAAGTTATGTTCATTATCCCAATATGAAGAAAATGCACGTTTAGAAAAAGACGATAACGATTAAATTACAAAATCGATAACGATAACGATTAAATTACAAAATCGATAACGACCCAATAACTGAACTCATTTTCATACGTAAAGTCTCCTAATCGTTTTGTTTCCTCAATATTTAGTGAACCTATTTTAAAAATTAGAATAAGAGACTTTTTAATAAATTTTAAAAAGATATATAATTCATATTGTTACTATTTATCGACTTTAGCTGCATTCGATAAAATTATGTACAAAACTTCCGTAATATCTTTAACTTTTATAGAAGGATGTAAATAAGTAAATTTATTTATTAAAAACAAAAAACTAAAAAAAAAAAATTAGTATAACCAAGTTATTGTATTTGGTCTACATACATGTTGTACAAAGTATCTTCAACGTTCATCATGTTCAAGTTGTAAGACTTGATAGAGAACTCCTCGAGTTTAGTGTTCAAAACTGAGAGAAGTTCTGCAACTTTGTCGTCGACAGGAATGAGGACTGTGTCTTCGTGGATGTCATCGACAGAAGCGTTAGGGAACCATCCTTTGACGAACTCCGCCAGTTTGTTGATCTTTGTGTCGTCCTCATTTTCGCCATCGAAGATCGCTGTGAGTCTGTAACCGCAGTTGTACTGAGTTCGCAGTTTAAGTGGCTGACCGTCGAAGATGATTTTTCCGTCGTTCAGAACGATCAGTCTGTTTGAGATTGTCTCTGCCTCTTCGATCATGTGGGAAGAAAGCAGACAAGTCGTGTTAGATGTAGAGATGGCCTTCCACACTGTGTGTCTCGATGAAACGTCGACGCCGGCTGTAGGCTCGTCCAGGATGACGATTTCTGGGTTTCCGATGAATGCCATCGCAAGACAAAGTTTCCTCTTTGTGCCACCGGAAAGGTTGTCTGCCTTAGAGTAAAGGTAGTTTGTGAGGTCGAAGTTGCAGCAGATACGGTCGATCTCTGACTTGATCTCCTCCTTAGGAACACCGCGGATACTTCCAAACAGACGCAAGTTCTCGAAAACGGTCTGTTTCCCGAAGAAAACGGAATCCTGGAAGCAGACACCGACGCTGACGTCCAATTCCCTGAATCCAAATGTGTGGCGTTGGCCGTGAAGGAACAGAGAACCGCCATCGCTGTCGATGCAACCGGAGATGATGTTAAGAAGAGTGCTCTTTCCTGATGAGTAAGGACCGATGAAGACAACAACTTCGCCGCTGCTGACACTGAATGAGACGTCATCCAATGCGCAGATTCGGTGGATCCTGTTGAAGTGCTTAGTAAGGTGCTCTGCTTGGATGAAGGAATCACTGGGGTCGTGTGAAATCTTCTGACGACCGGAGAAAAGAAGTTTCCACCGAGTTAATGAGAAAAGATTTCGGATTCCAATAGGAGGAGAGCCGGATTTTCGTGGAAGAAGAAGGTAAAGAATGATGTAGACAAACAGGAAGACAAAACATGAGCCTCCCATGATGGAAATGAGTTTAAGAATAGGAATTCTGAAGAAAAATTTCTGTGATAAAATAATAGGTCTATTAGTAACCAAAAGCATGGATATTTCGTTATAAAACATGGTGGTTGCATAAGGAGGAAAGATACAAAGCCATGTATTAGTCTTTTCAAAGAAATTAAAAATATCTATCACGTTTCCTTCAGCCAAATTATAACAAATAGGTATGGCATCGATAATAATGAGTATTACTATCAGAATATTCCTCTGGAGATTAGTATTTGCCAACGTAATCATCGAACATAAGAAATAGGTTGAAAAGTACTGTAAAAACATAAAAACAAATAACAAAGCAAAGGTAGATGCAGTTCTACTTTGATATAGTACATAAAGAAATCCCGAATCTAAAATTATTTTGCAAAAAATTAAAATGAAATCTAACGTAAAATAGGCCAACAAAATGGTTAGTTCACTTACACCTGAAATCATGAGAAGATTGAATATGTTGTTGTTTTTCATTCCAAAAATATCAAAAATGCTGGCCAAAAATGAAAAATCTATTGCTGCAATGGTAAAATATGTAAAAAAATATAGAGTGGAGCCATATTCAGAAGTCTTTGTCTTTTTTTCTACAGAAATATAAACATCTTTTGTGTTATTTGTTAAATATTGATTTCCTATATGTAAATAGCATTCCATATATGAACGAGAACCGTATACATTTGCTACAAAATCGTTTTCTGTTGAAAGATGGAAATCATAATACGTTTCTTTGATTAAATTCGTCTTAAGGTCGGTGATATTGGTAACTGTAGTATTTTCATATTTTAAAAAACCCCGTGTGAAATTTGTATCTGGTGCGAAAACACTATTTTTATAAATATTTTCACAATCACGGGTAGAAATTTCTTCATGATCACTGTCATGATCTCTATCTATATCAAAGAAGACAAAACCTAGTAGATAAAGGAATTCAAATATTAAAGAAATTAATAAAGTTGTCCAAAAAAGGAAACTTTTCATTCTCTTTTTGAACAGAATCCGTAGGAGTGCTCTATAATTAGTCCGTGAGCTAGAATGATTGAATGGTTGAACACGAGGAATAAGAAGTTCCTGAGATATCATTATCCTTTTTTTTTATGAACGAATGTATAGAAATTAAATTGATTTCGAAATGTTTAAAAGTGTATATCTGATGTAGTATTTTAAATGATTATTTGCATTTAATTTTTTTGATCTAATCCAAAAAGTGCCATAAAAGTGTCAAATAAGACGAGAAAAAAACCACTACTTTTTTTTAATTCTCCTTTTTTATGCCTAAACCACAGTATAAAGTTTATTATTGTATATGCAAACTATTTAGTGCCATCGATGGCCTGCATAGTGATATCTATAATGAAATTGTAAAGAGCGAAAACAACGATAAAATTCAAAATTTATTTGCAATCAATGATTTAATGGTACAAATAGATGCTTTGGATGAGAATGATATGGACTATGAAATGATATCTGAAACATTGTTCAAAAATAATCCTCCAACCTTTATTAATACAATTAAAATTCTAGACAAATTTATTCAAGAACTTCAGCGATTTCATATTTGCGTACATGGTTCTAGTGAAAACAACTATGATGATCGACCTGTACATATGATTAATTACAAAAAAAAGAAAGATAACAAAATTCAGCTTTCAAAATCAGTAAATTCGAAAAATTATCAACTTTTTATTATACTGTCAAGTAATAATACGCAAATAAATCTCGCAATACTAAATAATGACAACAAATGGGAAGTTTTTTCAAGTGAATCACCATACAATTATATGTTAGATAGTAGTATACCTGTTAATGATGGTCTTATAACTGTAATTCTTAATCAGCAGTTTACAAAATTTTTTATCGAGATATTGAAAGAAAACCTAGTGTAAATTCATCTGTCACATACAGACTAAATGTTTCAGACTTGATCAAGAAGGGTCCTTTCATTGTGATATTTTTATTGATAATGATTTTTATTCTCAGAAAAATTATCTCATGACTAAGTTATATGTGTTCTTTAGAGCTTAGTTCTTTAATGTTACTTGATTCTCTTTGAATTATTTTGTAATAATTGTTTTTGTTATTGTAAACGATTAGTTTTAATCATGTATATGAATCACTCGTAATTTTTTTATTCTTTTCGTAGTAAAAACAAAAATAAAATATTGAAAATATTCGTAATAAGTTTAACTTACGTATTATTCAACATAGAATTGATAATCGAGTAGAATTAAATGGTTATTATGATGCGAAATCATATTCAAAAATTTGACATAATGATTTTGTTTCTCTGCGAGCGCTTATTAACTAGCCAAAATTCAATTATTAAAAATGCTTACAGTAACAAGATGTTAAATTATTATGTAAGCGGCTCAAGTTCTCAGTTTATAAATGGATCTGTAAGAAAAACAAATCCAGAGTATGCATTTGATCAAATAGATAAAAATTACGATTGGTGCTCAAACTGTGGACGCTCACCAGATGATCATCCATTCATTACTTTTAATATTAAAAATCATATTATGAATCTTGAAGGTTACTATGTTAAAAGTGGATGTTGTGGAGATTCTGATTGTTGCTGTTTTGAAGATAATGCATACTGCTGTGCTTGCGGCATGTATAGTTGGGCATTTCAAATTTCCAACGATAATATAACATGGAAAACCATTCATCAAGGAGAAAAAGATGCAGAAATGAAAAGATGCAAAGAGAAAACCTTTAAATTCAGCGAAATTTACTCAGCAAAGTATGCAAAATTAATTCACATTGAATCCTGCTTTGATGACCCTCCATGCATTGCTCTTAACAAGATTGAACTCATTGGAACTTACGATAACAATATAATACAACCTGAATCCTATGAAAATGAAGATGATGATGTAAGTATCATTGGCCATATTTCAAAGAACCGTAACTAATGTCTGTCTATTAAAAAATTCATGTTTATTAATATTCAATAATTTTGTTTTAAATTTAAAAAATTGTTCTAAATTATCATAGTCATATGTGTTTTAGGATGTTCCTTGCTCATAAATGAAATGTTGAAGATGCTTCAATTGGTATGAATCCATAAATTACAAATAAATTTTCGGATCTCAATTTGAAATAGGAAAAATCATTAATAAACATCACATCTCATTATCCATTTCCTATTATTTTATCTTCAAGAATAATAGTTTTAATATAATGTAGTCGCTGGTGAATGATTGCAAGAGCGAACACTTCGAAAAATACATGTCATAAATGAATTTCAGGGTTCGAAATGAATGGTTTGAAATGATAATGTGTTTTTACATCTGAGAGTCTTATCATAGAATATTTTGACTACTTTCTCTCAATTTTAAAATTTACGTACGCAGTTTAGTCAAAAGTGATATAAAAATTATCATTTTTTTTAACCAATAATGAATGGGTATGTTCCTGAAGGCTACCAGCTGGTTTGGAATGATGAGTTTTCAAGCGGTTCTGAATTGAATCCCAATGATTGGAAACATGAAATCAAGCCCTCTGGATGGGTAAACAATGAACTGCAAAATTATGTCAATGGAGAATACAATGGCAAACGGGTTACCGAGATTAAGGACGGAATGTTGCACATCACAGCCTTTGAAGATAACAATAAAGTATATTCGGCCAGAGTATATGCCCATAGTGAGCAAGGATGGCTATATGGATATTTCGAATCGCGAATAAAACTTCCAAAAGGTAAAGGCACATGGCCAGCATTTTGGATGATGCCATCTAACAATGACTATACAACCAATCCCTGGCCCAAATGTGGAGAAATAGACATTTTGGAAGAGGTAGGTGTTTGTCCCAACACAGTTGTGTCATGTATTCATTGTCAGGCACATAATCATTGTAATCATACTCAGATAGGTGAGAGTAAAGACATTAAAACTGCAGAAACTGAATTCCATGTTTATGGTTGTGAATGGACAGCTGATGCTCTGAAATTCTATGTTGACGGCGAGTTACTCATGTCCTATGAAAATGATGGGCAAAACAACCCAGATACATGGCCTTTCAACAAACCATTCTTTATTATTCTCAATCTTGCATGGGGCGGATGTTGGGGCGGCATGCAAGGTGTAGATGAATCAGCTCTACCCGTAACGATGGAAGTCGATTATGTCAGAGTGTATCAAAAAGTTTAAGCAACTAGTTTATATATATAAATATATGTAACGTTGATGAATTGAAATTCTTATAAAATAAAATCAGATTTGATCTAAAAATTGATTATGGTTTTTTCTTTCTAACCTGAGATCGATCAAGAGCAATTGCAAACATATTTTTGCTCCATTGAGTCTCTTTTATTCTCTTTTTCGCAGAGCCAATTTGAGTAATGCATTCCTGTGTTTTTAGGATTCTGGTATCTTTAGAGCGGATTTTTTGAAACTAACCGCCCCGATTTGAATGGTTTATATATGTATCGATGCTAAGTCCTGATAAGATGATGTTATGAGAACTCATATCGATCATTACAAACACAACAGATACTTTATCTAGCTTGCAATCAACCTTTAAATCCACGATGGATATGAAAAATACAGTTAATTCGCTTAAATATTTATCAATTTTATTAGCAGACGATATTTTAGATTACCAGCAGCAAATAGTAACCGTCTGGATAATATACAATTCATTTGAAACCGAATCATTTGATGAACATCCATTCGATCCGCTTTTTGCTTACATTTTCGATATCAGATAGAGCAAGCCTAACACATACAGTCCTAAATCAAATCACAATGTTGTGAACCAGATTCTTGGACCAAATTTTTCCCTTTCTGCACCAGATCTTTCGCCTTTCATCTCTCATTATTGATCAGAGCGTTTCAGACGAGCCAAAAATCAGTCAAATTGACGTCTTAACAGAACTAATGCAAAATATATCATATTATTTCGACTTTGACCCTCCATACATCCGTCCAGAGCCAGAGCTTTCACCATTGTTTGAGCACGAGCTCGAACAAACATTTATTGTTTCCGGAACAGATCCAATGATGATCTTTGATGAAAATCATTCTGCGGAATCCACAAATGTTGCCAAGAAATTACTCCCTCGTGCATCCAAATCGCCTCTATCGGCTACAAAACTTCAAGATTTGTAGTCATGAGCAAAAAGATCAAAATATGCATCGTGATTTTATTTTGTTGACAAGTTACGATGTAACTGTATCCCTATTGCAGTCATTAAAGAAATTGCATATGATAAAACAATCTTATTTGTATTAAATGTTTTGCAACTTTTCTAATTTCTTTCAGAGTTTAATATCCTTATATGAATTTTATAATAAAAAATAAATAAATTGATAAATAATTTTTTATGTGCTAAATTTCATTGATATTTTATATTGGATCATCAGTCATTAATTTGTATCTTCTTGAGTGCTTAGCAATTTGCTTATTTCTTCACTATAAAATCCATATGCAAATTGAAGAGCAGTCCTACCTTCATTATCCTTTGCATTGACATCTGCACCATATGAGACAAGTAATTCAACTATTTCTTTTTGATTTCGAAAAGCTGCAATATGTAATAAAGTTTCACCATCTTTATCTTTTGAATTGATATCAGCCCCGTTTAAAAGTAGATATTCTATTACTTCTTTGTTAAAATCTTTTGAGACATAATTAATAATTGATTTGTCTACATATGCACTATTTTTAATAAGAACTTCAATTGTTTCTTTGCTATTGAAATGTGCTGCAATCATTAGAGGCGTTTGATTTTCTTTATCTCTATCATTAACAGCTGCACCGTTTGCGATGAGAATTTCAGCAATTTCATTGCAATTCTTTTCTGCAGCTTTATGTAGTGCTGTCCTTCCAAAACCACCCTTAATATAGGGTGTCCAAAGGTGTGTTTAGCACAAACCTGAATACTGCGAATAGAAATAAACAAGTTACATATATATAAAGTTTATTTAAATATAATCACCATTGGATTCAATCACGCGTTCGCAGCGATCGATCCAGGCTTCAAAGACACGCTTTAAATCATCATGAGAAAATTGCTCAAATTGCTCTCTTACAAAATTTTCAAGATCATCTGGACTCGCGAATTCGCGTCCTTCAGCTCTCTTTTTTAGCGTGCCGAATAAATAAAAGTCAGAGGGTGCAATATCAGGTGAATAAATTGGGTTTGGAACAACTTTGACATTGTTTTCCACCAAGTAATTCATTACCTTATGACTTTTGTGAACTCTTGAATTATCAAAATGAATTGCAAACTTTTGTTTTTGTTGTTTGGATTTCTCAAACTCATCAGAATTGATAATTTGAGTAAGAACATTGTCAATTAGATACTGAGCATTCATCGTATTAGGTTTTTGAAGAATAGCAATTGCGATGATGTCATTTACGCCCCAAAAAACCGACAACATCATCATTGGTGTGTCAATTTTTTTCTTCGGGAATGTTTGCGGATTTTCATCCTTCGGGATCCACATGATTTTGGCTTCTGTTGCTTATTGAAACCAAGACTCGTCCCTGTTACTAAAAAGCGAAACTTCTTGGATTGATACGCACCCAATATAGAGAGGAGCTCTTTCGAAGATTGGACTCTAGATTTTTTTTGAACTGAATTAAGGTTGTGCGGAACCCAACGTGTATACGCTAGTTTGTAGTTCAAATAATTGTGCAGATAATAACTGACTGTTGTACGTGGTATCTTTGTCATCTCCTCTATCCTTCTGAGTGATGCTCTTGGGTCTTCATCTAGCGCTTGAAGAATTGCTTTGATTTTTCTTTGATCCGGCGATTTTTTGTCAATTTTTATGATGGGCGCCTTTTTGTTCATGAAGTGATACATCCTAACATGATACGTTACAGTGGAATAGCTAGGAGCATCCATACCGAAGCATTTTACCAATGTCTCGTAGATTTTTTTACAGTCTTTGCATTTTTTTGCAAGAGCGAGGATGTTTTCTTTATGATTCATTAAAAAAATGAAAAGAATCCCGCCAAAATTTCCCGCGAAACTGCCTCTTGTCTCAAAATTCATTTTATATCCCGGCATGGCGCCAAAATACAACATACTCATCATATACATATATTCATATTTTTTATTATATATTTATAATCAGCATATATCTCCTTTAATAGTCTCATATAGAGCGCTGTGCTAAACGCACCTTTGGACACCCTATATTAACATCAGCACCATGAGAAATAAGGAGTTTTGCTATTGGAGTGCAGTTGTTTTGGGCTGCTAAATCAAGAGCAGTATCTAAAAATGCATCTCTTACATTGATATCAGGGTAATATGATAGAAGAATATTTTCTGTTTCATAGCTATTGAATTCAGCTGCAATATGAAGAGGCAATTTTCTCAGGTCGCTGAGACTATTGATGTCTATGCCGTTTGCAATGAGAAATTCTGCAATTTCAACATTATTGCTTCTTGCGGCAATATGGAGAGCATTTTGGTCTCGATAATTCTTTGCATTAATATCAGCACCATGTGAAATAAAATATTCACAAAGTGAAGGAATATTAAAGAATGGTGAATTTGCAAAGCATGTATTTATGTCATTTGTATTATCTAAATAAACAAAAAATGCTTGCAAATTATTGTATTCACCACAATGGTGCGGAAAAACTTCTAGTCCATACTCATTCATGAGGAAGCAAACAAAATCAATGTTATGTGATGCGATCGCGAATTCCATGCATTCTCTATTAACTGAATGTTGTTTCAAGCACTCATGAACTATATCAGGATTTCCACCCAAGAATGAATACTTCAGACCAATGTAAGAGGGTGTACACTTGATGTAATTAAGAACTTAAAACATTTAACAGCTCCATAATAGGAACATAAATCCATAAATCCTATATCTGAATCGCCAAAAAAGTCTGAGAATAAATCATTTCTTAAAGTTTGAAGTGGACCGAAATCTTCACTTTCTGTAAACAACATAAACTTTTCTATATCATCCTCCATAATTGCTCTGTAAATCGTGTTCTCTTCAAATACATCTAATGAAAGTTTTTGTAATTTATAACGAGAATTGTTTTGTCCGGATGTTTGGATACCATATTCCGTATTCAAGAAGTATAGGAAAATAGATGAGATTCCACTATCTGTTGTTATATGATATTCATCAAAAATCATCTTGAAGATAGCGAAATATGATCGTAAATAGCGATTATTGAATTTTGCTGCTGTATAGAGTATTGAAATCAACTTAATGGGTGTAAACATTTTTGTTTCAAGTAATTGTTTCTTGATTTCTTGATAAATTTCATCAACTTCCTCTTCTTTATAAGTATGAAGCCTATATAGTCTGACAAATAGGTCATCATAGTCCTTGTATGTATTCATGAGCTCCGAATAGTGAGTGTTTTTCATGAAAAATGAAATCATGTAAATTTTTTGAATGATTCTCTCAAAATTTGAGATAATTCAAATTGCTTTTATGAATAATATTAATGTATTTCAATTGTAGATGAATATTTGAATTTTTCATCAAAGTTCCTACACCATTTCAATTTTTTCCGAAAAAGTGTTGGAATATTTTAGAATTATCTGCGTGTATTACCTTATTACTTAATTATTATGGTGTTATTTTGTTTTACTAATCCGAAATCAGATAAATAAAAGTAAATATTTTTATTTTTATAAGTTTGATAATCCGATAATAAGATCTTCTAGGACAATAGTATTCAAATTATTATTCACTGGATTCAATTGGATCTCAATGTTAAATTCCTTTGCTTTGTTGATTAATTTATCATATAATGAAGATGCTAAAATTTGGTTAGCGAAATTTGAAGCAGCCACGACCTTTTCAGCTGTATTTGCATTATTTACAACCCATCTTGCTGCTATGAGAACATTCTTTCCTGATGGAATTTCATTCTCTTTAATTTCGGTATTCCACATATTTGAGATATTTCTAAGAGTACCTTTCACTTCGTTAAAGTGTCCAACATCTATTGTTAGAATATCTTCGAGTTCTTCTCTGAAAAATTGTGCGGATTCGTCAAATCCTGCCACATCGCTGAATAAAATGCAAACTGCGAGTGCAGATGCTCGAACTTCAGTCATTCCTATATCAAACTTCAATAATGTGTCCGCAGCTTCCTTCCATTTTCCATTAGATAACAAATCTTCAATGATATAAGCCAAAACCCTTGTTGACTGAGGTAAACATTCAGCAAAATTATGTGCATATTCTTTTCCTAGTGTCGTATATATCTCTGCTGCAACATATGGCCATTTTGTCTTAAATGCTTTGACCAAACCATCATCTTCAGCCAGAGCAGCATGAACAGTTGCAATTGGATGAGGATCTGCAAGGTTTGCAGCGTGTTTCCATAGTTCTGGAGAGTTTTCAAGTACAGCTTTCATCGTAACTGCTGAACTTAATACAGAAAGATCTTCAACATTCTTTGCACCATCAATTGATTCGTTTATAGCGAGAATCGAATCATCAACAAGTCCTATTTCATTGTATATCTGTGCTAAAGCAACTGATGCGCGACTGCGAACACTTTCATCATTAGATTTCGATATACTTAAACAGAGATTTGATGCTTCTTCAAGGGCTTGCGATGTTTTCCTTTCTCCTGCATGTTTCAAGGCTAGGTAAAGTAGGGCTTGAGGATTTTTATCACTGCACTTCTTAAGAAATGCTTCTAGCTCGTCTGGAGTTTGTTCTGGAATTTGATATGAAGGTAATGGTGAAAAGAATTTAGGTAATGGCTTTTTGTTGAATAATATATCTGGTTCTAAGAGTAATGGTGTTGAATTTATTTCATCTACTGAGATCCAATTCATAAAATCTGTTGTGAGTTTGGAAATTGAAAAAATTGATATCGTATCGAGACTATGTAAGTTATCGCATATTATAATACCAAGAGGTGACTGATAATTTAGCTTTGTATTCTCAATAAGTTGCTTGATTTCTTTAATAACAACTGTATAGGACTTTAAAAAGAGCGCAATGTAGTTTTGATATGAATTTTGGATATTGTCTGATGAGTTTTCAATGATATTCTTGAAGTGACCAAAAGAAATTTCTTGTCTTTTAGAAGCTTCGACAATTTTAAGAAAATCAGTCATGATTTCAATATTACTGACATCATCCATTTCGTTGAAGTTTTCTAGAAATGATGATGCCAAGAAAAGAGAACAAAGTTCTTCAGATCTCATAATTTTTTAAACGTGCACTTTGAAGCAATAGTTATTTTTCCTTTTAGTTTGACTAAATGTCTTATAAAAATTCAAATGTTAGATTAAAATAATGGAGAAAAACTTGAAATTTTTTTCGATTTTTTATACGTAAAGTCTCCTCGCCTGTAGCCTACCTCAAGACTTTTATTTTCTACCATATAAATAGGCATCATAAATAGTTTCTTTTTTCAAAGTTTGTTCATAGATATGTTGTTGATAAAATATTAAATATATTCAATCTTTCCAAAAACATAAAACAATACAAGAATTCGTTATATCACCCTATGTATTCATAAATTGCACACGAAATTTTGAACAATACTTATTTGTTGATGAACATTATCAAAAAATTGTATTAATAATCTGAATTATTCAGAACTGTTATTAAAATATAAATCTTAGCCTAGTTTAAATAAGTTTTCTGATAATTCAATTGGATTAATTCAACTTTGTTTGGAATAGATTAAATATCATATTTTATAAGCAAATATTAAAAACTTTTGAAGTATAAATCGAACATATTCTGTTAGTATGTTTGAATACAAGTTGATTATGCTCATTTTCGGAATATATCTCATTTGATAATTTTAATGTTTATGTTATATTAAAGTAATCATATCCCCTTAGTTACTTTTATTAATTTGATGCAATATGACTAAGAATACATTATTAAATATGCATGCATTGAGAATTTGCACTTCTATTAAATGCAACTATATGGTTTTTAGTGTTTTTAAGCTGGTAAGAAGAAATACTATTCTATAAAAGGATTATCAGTATATCAAAATCATAAATTATTTTTAATTTGCTTGATGCAATTTTCAAAATCTGTCAATAACTACAAAATTCAGATAAAAATTGATTTTAAATTGAACATAAAAATGATCTTTATACACTAATAATATTAAGAAAATATGAATTTTTTCATTCTTGTCACTTTTCTTTCTAATGGGAACCAACTCGATCTTCTTACAGAAAACCAAAATAAAGCATTTTTGATCAAATAAGATCAAAATTTGCATAGATGTGCTTCATAAAGAGATTGGATTTCATTCACTGATTCCAAATTTCACGATTTTCAAAACGCATAATTATCTTTTTAGAAAAGTCATTATAAGGATTTAAAACACAGATCTTCCATGATGAAAAGATACCCATTATTACAAAGAATTTTCTCATTGTTCTCAAAGTTTGCCAAATTAGATGCTCAAGAAGAGAGAATTTAATGTAAATTGTTACCTTACAAGATCACATCCACTTTGTTGGATTTATTCTACTTGTAACACTGATTTATTACCAATTTATCAGATTTTCAATAATCTTTTGACGCTTTGTTATCCAAAAAAAAATATTATTTGTTTTGTTGTATTCCTATTACTGATTCTATATTCAGTAATACCATTTTCCTCGAGCACGTTACCAAATTGAGAGGGAAAATAAAGCATTATTATTTTAATCTATATACTATCCTAATGCATAATATCATATAATTTTTATTTATATTTTTCTGAGGCATGCCTAAAAATTGAGTGTTTTCATTTGGTCGGTCTCCTTATCGTCCTCTCCCCCACAATATTGATAAAACCCCTTTTTAAAAATTTGAATATGAGACTTTACATATGAAAGACAGTTTATGCTCAATATTCAGTTTATCATAAAATTTGCATTGATCATTATAGACAAAACGCAAATAAACACAACTTCAAAACATAACTCATGAATAATAATAGAAAGAATGGTTGATTTTCTAATTTGTGGTGAAATTCAAAGCCGATGGTTATTTAATTGTGTTAAATATCAAAATGTGTTAAATTTATCTAGAAGAGGACCTTCAATGGACTAACTTGAATCTGGAAATATCACAATTGAATAAATTATAAGTTTAAAGTGTACATAATAATGTATTTAACCAGAAACAGCCACCTTAATTATACCCTCTCGAGTGTAACCTAAGACTTCTCACCAGAATCTGCAATCTCGTTTCTTTCTAATTTCGACTTTCTTTTTGAAATGTACGTTTATTTTAGAATTTTCATGTTCCAAAAGCTTTCAGATCTACAAACCAAATCAAAAACAGGAATTTACTTATTCTGGTGTAAACTTCTGTTGGCTTTCTTGCACATAATTACATTCGGATTTAGTATTTACGGTATTATTGTCACATCAAAAAGTATATGGAAAAGTATCATCGGATCTGGGTTGCTTGCACTCTCAGTAATAACAATGCTGTTATCAATAAGTGCTTTTGTATTGATTTTAATCGGATTAATTGGAATCAATATGAAAGGAAAGAAAATTATTTTTATTATATATATTGTCATTGTCGTATTTGATTTAATTATTAACTATATAATCCTAGGAAATACTACAGAAAGCGAATATCTTTCAGATTACGTTGCCATTGTAGAACATTGCGAACAAATGCTACAAACAAACAAAAGTACAGCAACTGAATTGTTCTGCTGGGATAATCCTACAACATGGAGTCTGAAGCAATACACAAGATATCGTACATTAACATTATATGACATTTTTGCAGGAGTTTCTGCTCCAACTACGATTTTAATTGTTGCCTTCATAATACTAGTTTTTTTGCAGCCTGATGCCTTTGATCCAAAGTCTCCTGATAGTCAACCTCTAGATCCACAATCTAATGATCCAAATGCTCAAAACATTGCAGATCCCGAGAATCCAGATGCTCAAAATCAAAATGATAATAATAAAGCTCCTAAATCACAAGATAATAAAGCAATTTCGCCTCCCCCAGAAAATCCTCCAAAGGCTACAGCAAACAATGCTAATAAAGAGCCACAAAAGGACACCAAACCAGAACAAAATAATACGAAGCCACCTGCTCAAAATCAAAATGCGAACCCGCCGCCTAAACAGCAGCAGCCACCAGATGAAGAGCCTCATGAATATGAGTACGAGTATATTGAAGAAGAAGATTTTGAAGAAGAGGAAGATGAATTTGTTCCTCAATAATTTGAGTTTTGTTTGTTTATATGATGTATGCTTATATGTTTTAAATGTTATGTATAACTGTTTTATCTAGTTCGTTTATTTCAAAACCTTTGATCAAATTTTCTAGTATTATTGAATTACTCAATGTTAGTATAATTGGATACTCATTTCCTATATATTTTAATTGATACCAACTAGTGATATTCATTCATTGCTATACAAAATGATATGATTGATTCTTGAAGTAGAATTTGGATATTAAAAGCAAATCTTGATTATCTAGTGTTCTTTGTAAGTCCATTTAAGTACATGCTAATGCATATATGTTTATATTTTATCAAATTTGAATTTCAAACTTGTCGAAAAATGATGATTTGCGAGGAGAAAATGTGTTTTTCTTTGTTGCAAATCCATGTAGCTCATATTCCTAATATAAAATATGATGGCGGCAAAACAGAGATTTTAGCAAACGGAAAATTTGTTATGAGCAGCACCGAAACCGACGAGAGTTTGAAATCAATCGATGCTGCTCAGACAGGATCAACACTTGAGCAGCTAAGGCAGAAAAATGAACAATATATTCAGCAAATTTCAACCCTTCAGAATCAATTAAATGAATCACTTGAATTCGCGCAAAAAAATGAAATTCTAGTTAGACAAAACGCTGAACTTTCATCCAAATTACGAAAGTCTGAAGATAGTGCTGATGATGCCCGCAGAAGGTTAGAAATTACAATGAAAACTAACGAAGAATTGCAAATTCAAATAGATGAATTGAAAAAGCAAAAGGAAAGAGAATTAGCGCAAAAAGGACAAGAAGAAATTACCAAAATTAAGCTGAATTTTGCAGAACAAATCCAGAAATTAACAGATCAAATCAGAATTAACGAAAATTTACTTAAAAAGTCTAACGATGACATTGAGTCATTCAAAAAAGACATCGCTGGAGTAATTTCTGCAGCTCAACAAGTTTATCAACAAACGTTTAATTCGATTGGCGAAGTTACAGAATTCTTGTTGCAGCAACCTAGTGCTACAACAACACAAATCTCACAATATGAATCAGAAACCTCAGAATTAATAAATGCTTTTAAAGATCAAATTACAAAGAAACAAACAAGACTAAAAGAAGAAAGAGCACTTAGAAAGTCTCTACAATCGAAGTTTGAGGAAATTCAAAGACAATATGAAAGCGAAAAGCAAAATTACGAACAAAAAATTGCAAAATTAGAATTAGAAATTTTGGATAACGTTAAGAATACAGAACGTCTTAAGAATGAACATGAACAACAAATTAAAGCTAAAAATGATGAAATTGAACAGTTAATGCAGAAAATTGAAAAAATCAAAACAAAAATACCAACAGATGAAGAAATAAGGGCTCATTCAGAGGACTCTTATACAGCATGTAAACTTAAGCAAGAGAATGAGGATTTACAATCAAAAATAGACTCATTAAAGTTACAATTAGAAGAACAAGAGACAACTTCAAGTTCAATGCAAAAACAGGCCTTAGCTGTCACTTCACAGCTTAAATCTGTGGAAATCAGTTACGAAAGCCTTAAAAAGAAATATCAACAAATTTCATCTGAATTACAAGATAAAACTCAAGAACTAGATAAACTTAAAGTTGAAAAATCAACTCTGTCACTTGAGAAAACATCTGCAGAAGAAAATGTGAAAGCAAATTCCATCAAATTAAAGAATTCTCAACTTCAAGCTCAAAAATTACAAGCAATGATTGATGAAGGAGCATCAAGATATCAAAAACTTGTTTCAGCTAATGATGCTCTCCAAAACCAGTTGCAAAACCAACAAAATGAAATTAAAGATTTAATTTCAAACAGAGACCATCTTATTGCTATCATTAAACGTGAAAATAATACACTCAAAGCTGCAGAGGCAACAATTTCGGAGCTTACAGCTCTAAACAAATCTCTGAAAAAGTCAATCAAAAATTCTGAAAGTAAACTTGCTCAAGAAATCGAAAAGAGCCAAAATGGAGGTGATATACAACCATCTTCATTCTATAATTCGGACTTTTCTAGAGAACTTTGCACAAAAATCTCGGAATATGCTAATAACTTAACAATCCCTGCCAATTCCAAGATAAAGAGTATTGTCTCATTAATATCCAAGCATTATCAAGACATATTGGCCTCTAAAGAGTCAGAAATCAAAAACAATTCTGAAATTAATGACAAAAACACGAAAACTATTGATAAATTCCTTTCCCAAATAGGTTCTTTGTTCGATTCATCATCATTGTCATGTGAAACCATTGTCACAGACCCTGTTTCTGCATACGAAGTTACAACTCGAGCAAATAAATTGTTCTCCGACCACTTAGATGTGACAAACGAAAAATCCCGTGTTGAAGAAGACCTCTTGGCCATGCTAACTAAGCTAGAAGTTTCAAATACAAGCGAAGGAGAAAAAATGATCAGTGAATTGTACAACAAAATCAATGATCTCCACAAATCTCTTAATGAAGAAAGGAACAAGATGAAGCAGACAAAGAAAGTTTTCAAAAAAGTCACTGATGAATCCAACGAAATTGCGAATAATTTAAGACAAAACCTTAGTGATAGGGATAGAGAAGTCCAATCGCTCAAAGAAGACATATCTAGATCACTCCTGGACAACAGGAAGCTTACCAATGAAATAAACCAGCTCCAAAACGAAAACAAAGAAATTAAAGAAAGAATTGAGCTCCAAAAGCAAGAAAATGAAAAGGAGAAAGACAAAATCAAACAGAAATATGAATCACAAATAGAAACCATTAATAAACAGAACAAAACTCGTTTAGAAGCTAAAGATCAAAATATGAATGACCTCAAAACAAAAATTTATAATTTAGAAAAAGAAGGAAGTCAGTTACGAAGAACTGTTCAAATGATGAGAGATTCCAAGAAGGAACAAGACAGAAATAACCAATTCCTTATTGATCAATGCGAAAACAACCTGAAAGAAACAAGAAAACAAGCAGAAAGAGAAAAAGAAATGATGAAAATGCAATATGATAAATATCTAAGTGAAATCAAAGATAAAAACAATGAACTTGCAAAAGCACATGATGAAGTTATGTGTTCACTCAAGGAATCAGAAGAACAGTTAGCCAGATCCAACAAACAACTCGAGGATTCACTGAAACAAAGTGAATATTTGAAACAAAAATTGGATGAAAGTCAAGAAGAAATTGAAAGAATTAAAAGAGTTATGGAGATGAAAGAGAGATCAAATATATTGGCAACAGAAATGAAATTCGAAACAATGATAGAAGAACAGAAATCGAATTTCTACACTGAAAAAAGAAATATTATTGGTTTTGTTGTTCATAACTTTAGACAGTATTTCGATGCCAATAGGGAATTGGATGATGATTGTTTGAGGGATGTTATTTCTAGAGCAAAACATGATCTTGATGCTTTAATTGTTCAGGAAGAAGCTGCAAAAAAAGTTTTGATGATTAATTCTTCGAAGCCTATCATTGTTTGAAATTTGTTTATAAAAAACTTATGTATTAAATTAACATTTAAATATGATATACAATCAATTTTGTGGTCTCTAAATTTCCGATGTGATTATATAGATATCTTAGAAAATATCATATAAATCACTTAATTGAAGGAATAAAATATAATAGCATATCATAAATTGGGAGCCCTCTCAAAGATGATAAGGTATGATTGTGGAGTATTATCTTGTTTTCACTTGTATATTTCAATTTTCATGATTTCGAAAATTTTTCAAATAATGATAAAATTATTTTTTATTTTTTGATGATAAAAGTGCTGCTGCAGATGTTTTTGAAATTTTAGAGAGATAAGATAATTTAAAAGAAATTAACCTGGGATCTGCAAAACAAATTTCAGTGTAAAAATGGGAAAAAATATTATTAAAATCGTTTGTTAGATTAGTAAATGAAACAGTTCCTAGTCCAGTTGTTGAATTTGATTGAACATATGATTCTGAAATAGTCAAAGTGTAATTTTTGTAATTTTGATCAAACATGTAAACAGCAGTGTTATTTAAAAATATGCAGTGATCGACATTAGTTGTACAGCCACATATAAATAGAATTTGTTCATTATCTGTTCCACATCTATTTCCAATAACATTACAATAAGAAACATTTTGAGTTAATGAAGTAGAAGAAGCGTAAAATGTGAGTGAATCACTTTCAGTTTGGTTGTTTTCTCTGAATGTTGAGAAGTTACATGTCACAGGTCCTCCTCCAAGGACACTACAGTATGATGGGCATCTACTGCATTTGTTGTTTGTGATGTTGTTATTCTCAAATTGGATATCACCATTTACTAGACAGAATGTAGAATATCCTTCTTCTTCGCTTTGACCGCATATATAAACTGAAACTTGGAATACGTAGTTTTTATTAGTATTAGAAGATTTAGTTTCTTGATAAAATGACATAGCACTTATTTGGGAAATTGATTTGTAATAACAATTTTGTTGTTGGACAAACTGTCCATTTGAACAGAAATAGTAAATAGATCCACCACCATATGTGGATTTACAATGACTAAATATTGAGAATTCAACTAATACACAGTTTTCTTCGTAAAGATCATCAAAGTAAATTGCTCCATTTTCTTTACAATTGAAGAAGAAACAATTAGATATGTAATAATTGGAAGATTCTGATATTACATACAATGCACTTCCATCTTGGATCTTATCTACTTTAGGTCTATCTCCAAAATATTGAGACCAATCATAATTTCGTTTGATTTTTGTTCTTTTTGTCATTTCTTTCATAGTATAGTTTTTATTGGTGTTAGAGAATGTAACACTTTGAACAAATGAAATATAATGCATCTTTGATAAAGATTTGAAATAGTAATTTCGTTGTTGGGCAAACTGTGTATTAGAACCGAAATAATAAGTGCATTCACCATGTTCTGTGGAATTGTAAGTATTATATATTGAGTCTTCAACTAATTGGCAAAATCCTTTTTAAATTTCAATAAATAATGGGTAATTTTTATTGTATTCTTCGAACATACAAATAAAAACGTAAAACTTGTTAGATCCTATATAGTTAAAGAATACTGTTTCATCTAATGTTTTATCAAACTATATTTTTGATCATTCTTCAGTCTTGTACTTCGTCTGGAAATTTTTTGTTGCTATAAACGATTTTTTCATGTACTAGTAAGAATCTAGAACTTGGTTTTGCATCATGAAATGCTTCCTATCATAAATTTCCGACAAAATTTTTCTATGAATTTAAAATTTTCTGATTAATCTTACGAGTATCATTAGAAGAAGAGAATTAGCTTTGGTCACAAATTTTTCCGAAAAAAAATTATCAAAAAAAAATGGCCGCTCCCGCCAAACTCGATGATCTTGAAATGCAGCTATTTTTCAGACCTCATGATTTGAAAGTCATTCAGTCTGATAAAACATCACCATATTCTGCTCCACAAGATTGGGAAGATCTTTTTGATTATGATACGTATTCAGACCTTCATCAGAAGCTTATTGATAATAACTTCGAAAAACCTTCTTCCATTCAAGCTAGCTCCATTCAGATCGCTAACGGCGAAGACCATCCAAGTATTTTAGGTCAAGCTCAAAACGGTTCTGGTAAAACCCTGGCTTTTGTTGTCAATTCGCTTTTACGCGTTGACCGTAACTCTAGCAAAGTCCAGGTTGTTATTTTAGTTCCAAATATGGAATTGGTCGATCAAACAGAAGAATATTTCCAGAAATTAGCACCAGAGGGCGTTACATATACGAAAATTGATAAGAATGGTGCTGATATTGATCACTTAGGTCAAATTGTTGTTACATCACCAGGTTTATTCTTCAACGCTGCAAATGCGATTCCCCAATTGAAAGATATTGATGTTTTCGTTGTAGATGAATGTGATGAAGTTATTACAAATAAGATTTACCACGAAGATTTAATCAAGTACGCTGGTGAGATCAAGAATGCACAGTTCCTCTTATATTCGGCCACTCTTGTTGATAAACTTAACGATTTCATTAATACGTTCAGACCAAATATGCAAAGAATTATTTTACCACAAAAGAACGTAATTAACAGGACAAACAAGCACTTCTTCATCGATTGCAGGAAAGGAATGGATAAGATTGACGCAATTAATATTATGTTCCAATATTTATTCCAATTCCAAACCTTCATTTTCTTCAATACAAGAAAATACTTGCAAAAAGTTCAGAAACAACTCGAAGCTCTTAAGTTGGAATGCGATTGGTGCTCAGGTGATCGTACAAAAGATGAAAGACGTGATGTTGTCAAAAAATTCAGAGAACAGAAAATCAAAGTATTACTTACAACAAACTTACTTGCAAGAGGTATCGATATCCCTTCATGTAAGGTTGTTATCAACTTTGATATGCCAAGAAAAGAGAGGGGTGAACCAGATTATGAGTCATACTTGCATCGTCAAGGAAGATGTGGCCGTTTCGGTAAGGAAGGTAAAGTATTCAACCTCATAAGAGATGATGAAGATATGAAAATGATTGAGTACATCAAGAAGACATATTCTGTCGAGATTACTCAAATCACTCCACAGGATGTTCAGAAGTTCGCAGAAAAGAACAAATAGATTTATATTTATATATTTTTTGTCTTTTTTTTCAGAATAAACAATTTAAAAAAAAATAAAAGAAATAAGATTGGAATCCAATCAAGAGAATAGAAATGATTTTAAAATTACTTACTTTTAAAGTTTTTCTTTAATATAATAAATGAACTAATGCATGTATAAATTCTTTTTAATCTAATTTGCCAACCTCACATAATTTGCATACAACCCTGAGCTTTTTGAGAATAACAAACAGCTGTTTAAGTTCCTTATTCTAGAAATCATAATTCTAAGAATTTGTTCAGGTATGTTAATCAATTTCAGCGTATGATATTAGATATTTTAATCATGTTCATGATAAGATTGATTGTGCCAGAGATGATTCTTAAATTGCTTAGAATTCATGATTCATTTAAATAAATTAAAAGACTTAATAGCATTATAACTTTGCAAAAATAATCACCCAATCTCCATAAGCTTGATATTTGATCAGCATGACTCTGTGTAATTAAAAAACGTTTTGAAAAAAAAAATTCATAACGCTTCAGTTTTTTTTTAGAAGGGGGAGAAAAAAATTTTTTTTTCTAAAAATCTAAAATCAGTTAAATAAGAAAAACGACGGATGGCGCAGCCTTACTTTATCATCTTCCAAGATAATATGTACAAGGTTAACCCCGAAGTTTTTAGTCAACAATCAACGAAATTTGCAGAAGAATATCAGCAAAATCCACAACAATTAAAATTCGAAGAGAACGTCGCTAAAGAAACATTTGAAGCTTTCATTAACTCATGTCAGTTAAGACCATACGTTATCTCAGATTTGCTTATTTTTGAACTATTGGATTTATACAGAAAATGGGGTTGTAATTCACTCGAAGCTCACTGTTACAGTGAGTGCAAGAACAGAGGACTTCGCCCACGTCCAAGGGAAGACTATATCGGCATTTTACTTGACAAGATTGACAACAACGAAGAAACTGTTGAAGATCTTCGCCATGTAGCCGAAATTCTCAACGACTCATGGGATGATGATAGACTTCCAGATATTGAACCAGAACTTCTTTACAGAATTGTCGTTCTCGCAGAAAAATATAATATGGATATGGACGAACTAACTAAGTTTACAATGAATTTGTACGACATTAACCCTGAATCTGCTGTTCTTCTTACACTTAGACTTGATTTTGATCACTTAAGCGAAGAACAAATTGATCGTATCTTCCATTGCTCCGAAATGCATAATATTTCAATTGGCTTCTTCGTAGCTATGTCAATCTCCGCAGTAAGAAATCGTACAAAGGATAACTTAGTTGATTCTGAATGCAATCATATCAAAATGATGAACGAATTTCAGCGCGAAATGGATTACGACAGACGTCACATGATTATGCGTCTCGACCAGGAGCATGAAGATGAAATGAGAAAGCTCATGGATACTCTTGTTAAACAACATAGAAAATTAGAAGAATTAACAGACTATCTTACAGACACTGCCGAGCGTCTTGACAGTGGACCGCTTTCTCCACGTGGAATTGGCGATCCAAAGCTCAAAGCTCTTAAAGAAGAAACAGATGAAAAATTACAGCGTATTTATAACAGAATCCAAGCAGATGTTGAGCAGAATCTTGCAGAAAACTCACAGGTCTTTGAGAATTCCATAGCTAAAATCGAAGCCGAGTGGGAAGCCGATTGTGCAGATCCAAGAAAGGTTAGCGCTGATACAGATAGAGCAATAGCTATTGCTGGTGATAAAGCTGAAGAACTCTCCAGAAAGCTAGATGAAATAGAAGCCCAAGTTAAGAGATCTAAAGCTTCAATTGCTGCTAAAATTGTCAGAGATCAGACCCGTGGTATTTCTGGTATGGTCAAGGATGCTGGTAAGGATAACCATGATTCCAAATACTCTATCTTCAAGGGAGAATCTTCTCTTTGGGGACTTACAGAAGAAGATGTCAAGAAAGAGGTTAAGACTATCAAGGACCTTGAAACTCTTATCGATCAATTATGCCCAATAAGAGGTGCTGCAACACGCGGACCAAAGAAGAATTAGATTATTTCTCTTTTCAGTTATTTGGATTAAAAATAATGTCATTTTTTCTCATTTTAGGAAATTTTAACTTTATAGTATTGATTTCAAAAAAAAAATCGATTTTTTGATTTTTCAAAAAAAAGGAGTTCAAACAAAATTTTATTAAAATATCATACAAATAAGTAATTTTATAAACAACAATATGGTATTTTCTAATCTTCTTCAACAATAGCATATATCTGGTTAACTAACTCATTTATTTGCTCTTCTTTGCTATTATTTGTATCATCAAGTAAAGTAAATAGTGTTTCTGAGTTGGCTAGTTCTTCAAATACTGATGTATCTGTAGTTTTTGTAAATTCAAGAATTTTCAATATACAATTAAGGTTCTGCTTTAACTGTGATCTATGTGAAGTCTGTGTCATCTCACAGATTGTGGAAAAAATGTCATTTTCAAGGAAAATTTTTGGATCAATATTGGCTTGAGCTCTGATTACAGATTGTGTAAATGCCTTAAATGCATTTTGTATTATCTTGAACTTTAGATTCGGTTGTAATAATGTTTGTATTAAAGAATGAAAAATTTCTGTGTTATTCCAAATTAAATCGGCTCCGAGCTGAGTTTTGGAGATTCTGTAGAAGAAATAAATGGTTCCTTTCACTTTATTCTCATTTTCGAATGAAAGGAACGGTAAAATTGATTCTGGTGTAATCAAAGACATAGTTTGATCGAAATCTGTGAGAAAACATGATATGTATATTGCAATAATATGTTTAAAGTACTTTTCGCTTGATAATAATTCTGGTGTTAGAAAATTTTTAAGAATTATAGCTCTTGCTTGAGAATTAACTTCACAAATGGCTGATATAGTGTCCAATGCACTTACTAATAAACTAGAATTAATATCTTCTATTGAAATATAATTACATAAAATCTCTATGTATGAAATATCAGTATAATTGAATTTCGCGAGTCGTTTGATGACAGTTAAGCATTCTTTTGTAATTTCGGGAATTGGTTCGGCAACGTATTTTTCCAAAAGCTGAAAAATTCCATATTCAGCTAAATATTCAGGCAATCCTTTCAAAACAGGAATAAAATCTATCATGACTATCAATAAGTTCTTGTTTGGTAGCTGTTCGAAGAATAAACTTAAAAAGTCTAAAGGTACTAAACGATTTAGTAAATCTTGCTGGTATTCTGTAATTTTATCAAGTATATACATCACTAAAGTATGTATTACTTCCGATTCTGTGTGAATAGCGATGTCTATTAACTGATGAAATTGGGAATGATTAAAAATGACAGGTTCATAGTCGATGATTATTCTTAATTCTCTGAGAGCTGTCTGCATCAAATCCGGATTTTCTAAATTGGAAAAGTATTCGTTGATTTGATCATTACAAGTAACAGCAGACTCAAAAGATAAATAATGAGATGTTTCTCCTTCTTGATCTGAGTTAAGATTATTAACCCCAAGAAGTTGAGTCTCTGGTTTTTTGGGTATCAAAACAGCAAAATTCTAAAATTAAGGGGGTAATTAAAAAAAACTGGGAGTGTAATTGTCTATAACTGTTAATTTTAAGCTCCATATAAGTATACCCATAACATATGCATTGTTTTTTAGCAAAGGTAGTCCCATGAAAAATGACACCCTACCCTCCCATTTACTGATCGCTTCCTTTTTGCTCCTTATGCCAAAATTGAAAGAAATGATTTGGGCAGCCTAATTTATTATTCCAATCGGCAACTATTCTATATAGTATAATTAGTTGCATTGTCAGCAATTCTCCAGCATTATTCAAATTAAGATCAACTTCGTAAATTTTAATTATGTTGCAACAATACTCCCACATGGAGTGACATCAAGATTATACCTGCCAAAAACCCACATTAAAAATCGAAATTTTGCATCTTGAAAATACAACAACATAATTCCTCGTGATTTTGATGTTTTTACGTATCTTATGACACACATTCAAATAACTTGAATATAAAAATTATTGCAATACGAAAAAAAGTCATTCATTATATTTATTATTTATGATTTACAATGACTTTTACAATTGGTGCACAGTATCGCATATAATCTTTCGATATTTCTGATTTTATATTTATATATTTTGACAAAAGTATTAACAACTCAAATTGACGCGATTGTTGCTACATTTATGCTAATGTAGTACGTTTCCATTCATCTATTTACTCGTTGTTCATGAAATAAAAAATTTATTTTACTATCTTAAAATAAGAATTTTGTCATGGGTATAATATTTTTGGCAATCATTGTAAGATTATATCAACTCTTAAATGAGTATTTATCAAGGATAAATTTAAAAAACAAAAATTAGTTGATTTTAATGAGTAAAAACGAGTTAAATTGATTATCTGACTAATTATACAGTACTTTGATTTTCTAAAATTTTTTTGAAATCGATATTTTCTATAGAAAAAATGCATTTTTGATTTTCATTTTTAAATTTTTTAAATTTTTTTAGATTTTGAAGTTGCTCAACTAAGCAGAATTAGTAATGTGATTGGTTTATATCTCTCATAAAGTGATGAATTAAAGGTGAATCTTATAAAATCACAAGTATCATCCGCATTATCATTTGTTCTAAAAAGAACAGTACTAAGGATTGATAAAGAATGATCAGTATTAGTAAAATACTTGAATAAAAAGATTAAAAGTAAAATTTTTATTAATTTATATATAAGTTTTATTCGTATTTGTTAGCATTCAGTAGACAAACTATCTATGGTGAAAAAATTATTCATTCTCACTTGTTATTCCTTCTATAGAAACGCTAAATATGATTTTTATTTGGAACATTGATTTATAATTTTCAAGATGAATTTACAGAACCTCTTAAATAAAACTTCACTCTAACAGGCTTAGAACTGGGAGCTCTGAAGATAGGTTGGCAAGCTATAATTATGGTATTCTCTATCATTATTGTATCAACAACCTTACCATTAAGATCTATAATACTAATACTAGCCAATTCAGGTTTATAATTTTTTTGAATAAAATCTGATGTTAATTGTTGAGCATATGGTAACAATCTCATACCAGAATCATTGCTAAAAAGCGCATAAACAATGTCGAAACAAGCAATATTGTTTTTGTCAATTGTTGGTAAAGATAAATGATAAAGAATACATGAATCAGTCGTGAAAGTATTAGATAAATATTTGTAACTTAAACATCTAAATAGTGTTCCTTCAGTTTCAATACTATTAGGAGCGTTTTCTCTACTTTGATCTTCTGTCATGAGAGACTCTGTAAACGAAAAAAATTTATTGTGCCAGAAAGTACTCAATTTCTCTCCCAAACGATGTTTTTGCTCAAATTAAAACATTGCCCATTGAGTTCTTATTAACAAAATAAACTTTAAATATAAAGTAACCATGATATATGTAAAAATAGGGTTGTTAGATTCCCGACGATAGGTGTCTTGGAAGATTTGCCTGGTGTCATCATAGTGTCTTTAAATCAAAAATTTTATTTTGGAGTTAGTTTTATTGATTTTTCAATAAAAAACATTTCTAAAACAAGAAAATAAAACGATAAAATATTTATATTTTATATAAGGATCTTATATATTTAAAATAAATATCATTTTATTTTTTTCATTGGTGTCTGTCAAACCATAATACACTATTCAAAAATTCAATGTGTCTTGCGGTTTCAAAAGACACCTTCAAATTGAACGATAGCACAGACACTATTGAATTTTACCCATTTTATTTAGTTTTTACCCTTTTTATTTTTAAGAATTAATGACTGAAACAGCCGTTTTGCTATGACCTCAATCACTTTTATTTATTATTTTAAATATTATTTAATTTTATTATTTGAATAGGCCAACTTATATTTGAGAAGCTCAATTTGAGACCACTTAATACATTGAAATATCATAAATATTGAAATATTAAAAAGTGTATTTCAAAATATTGAAATTATAAAAATTTATAATACTGAAATTGAGACAAATTAATAAATTCAATGTGTTTTTTTTTTGAAATAACTCTCAAATATTATTTTTTTGTTTATTTAATGGTGAATAAATATGATTGCTTTAGTCAATCATAAAAACTAATTTAAGTTTAAAATAATGAAAGGATAATTTGATCGTTTTTTAAAATACAATTATTTTTGATGATTTGCAAGAGTCTTTGAAAAGAATATAATATAGGTTCTATTTTTGTAAAATTTATCCAAATCATGTATTACATAAATTACGATTAAAACGATGAAAGAACCAAAAAGTGTGTTTTGTGTTTTGTTGTTGCGTGTTGGATGCGGGATCCTGTTATTTCCGAAATCGACAAAAAATTTGGAAATTTAATTTCCGAAATCGAAATTATATTAATGTTTTTAATATTCTTATATCAAAAAGATTAAAGTTCATTAAGGATACCCTTACGTGTCAGATTTTTTGCGCATACGAAGAAGTCATGCTAGACATGAGCTATAAACCTGAAATTTTAGCAACATATTTAAAACTTTTTAAACTACAATACACTTTAATATTCAAGAACAAAAATATTCTTTTTAGAAATTACATAATTATTTTATGTGAAATCTATATAAAAACATATTTTGCGAGCGTAACTTTTTTCTTTATAAGCACCTTATATGACTGATAAACTGTGAAGGCACATAATTGTTAATTCATAGAGTTGATATGTTTCCAAAATTGAGAGGAAATTTGAAAATTGAATACCCTTTCAATTCAATTTTCAAAAGATATCAGCTCCTTCAATAATTGAAGGACGATTTTGATCATTTGCTCTTAAAACAAGTATGCCATGGAGAAAAAAGTTACGCTCGCAAATCTGAAATATAACTATCATATAAAAAAATTAAATTTCTAATTTTTTACTCTATAGATATTATTGGCCACTTGTGTAATGCATAAAAGTTTATGTCATATGCATACATTTGGAAGTATGGGAGACGAGGGAAATTACTTCTATGAGGCACTAGGATTTTTAAAAATTTCTCTATCGGACTCACCATTCAATTTCTCGAAAATTAAAAAAAATCAATAATAGCTAAAATGTATTATGCATAACAAATTTTAATGTTACACGGTATTTTTTGAACTTCATGACATGAATTTTCTTTATATTATTTTTTTTTATTTTCTATGATTTATGCGATAGGCTGGAACAACATTGTAAGTGCAATGATATCATTTATAGAGAAATCTAAAACTTCAGCATTCAGAACTCGCAACCACAAAAATATTCATTTGCTAAGTAAGTAAAGTTGATTAAGTTCGACACTTAGCTTTTATACGTAAAACCAAGTGTGTATTGTTATTTCTTGTTAAATTATTGAGAAAAAAATAAATTGTAAGAGAAACGATACTGATTATTGAAATAATATTGAGGGTAGCTGCAGATTTCTTCATTAACATGCCGGAAATTTGTTAATCTTGGTTTTCTATCATAAAATCTGTCGAAGAATCTAAAAACGGAGATATGAAATAGAGATCATGTAAATCTAGAGTATCCTGTCAGAAAAATAGACTAAGCATGTAACCCTTTTTTGGTCATAAACACTTTTTACCACTTAGTCATACAGATGATCATTAAATTTAAACGAGCACTTTTTGTCAGAATTTATTCTTTTACAAAGACAGAAGATTTTAGTATTATTTAATATTAGTGCTGTAGCAAAATTCAAAAAACGGTGAAAATTCAGTGAATTTGTGAATTCACATTTTTTTTCGACATTTTTCTTGATATATCCATGCACATTAAGAACACAGCTTTGATACGCTTAAAAAAGCATATTTCATATGAAATTGTTAAAGAAATAAACAATTTATATAAAAATTGCACTTATGGGCAGTTTAGATATATAATTTATATATAACATATATACAAATCCATAGACAAAGTGCAATAACTACAATGTTGTAGAAAATTACAGCAGAAATACTGACTTTTTGAAGGATAATAAGAATTCTTCTCAAAATACTGAAAATTAACATATTTCTGTACTCAATTTAGTATATGCACAGAAGTTATGATTTGGTGTTAGGTTTTTATGCCCCAAAATCTAGATTTTTGTGACATCAAATCTTATTAGTGGATAAATCAAAGACTGTCATTTTGAAATAAGCTCATATCAATAAATATCCATTTAAAAGCCTTATTGTAATATGTAACTAGCAAAAAGCCTAATATTTATCAAAATTAATCAAATCAAATGATCAATATTCATGATATGTCATCAGCAATAGCTAATTGATATTTTATTTTGTATTGATATTCATTTTTCTCATATTATACACGATTATATCTCTTTTTTTTAAAAAAAGTTTTTATATTAGACATGAAAGTTGAATTAATACAATTTTGTACTAGAGTTTGTTTGTATATTAAATAATAATGATATATACTTCAACATATTGCGTCTCACCATTACCAAAATGTAATTTTGCATACAATTTTCTTTCATTTAACAATGATGTTATTTGAAAAGTGATACTTCCATGATTATTGATTAATGTTCCATCATATATAGGAATGAATGTTAAACAAGACACGCCTGCAGCTGGGTGCATTCGTGGCATTGTGATAAGGCTTATATATAAAGACTTCTCTCGATCAGCATTACGTCAAATGAATATTGACCCATTATTTTGGCGATGCGCTAGTTCCAAGTAGAAATGCTTTGGTATATTTAGGTTATGTCTATATGTTATGAATCATGGTATTATTGATAAAAACGTTCTTAGTCATTAAATCAATCCTAGTATCTAAAGATATAATTTAGATTTTTTTGTTTATTGCTAAAATTAAATACAGTATAACTTTCTTTCATATTGTCGGTACTAACAATACAAGATTGTGTTGAAAAAAACTTAAATATGCATGAAAATTAAATTTAATGTGTAAATATGATAAAAATTTCAACTTTACTAATAACATACATAAGTTTCTGATAGTTTAATATAGTTCATATTGATGTGACTGTAAACTATATCAAAAAAATATTTTTAAATATTGTTATGCAAATAATGGGATTTCTAAGGAAAAAATGATTATATTTGTTATATAAAGCAATCTTTTTAATTATTCACTACGTTTATTACATTTTTTGCCGACCATTTACGTAATATGCCTCCACCAAGCAGACGCAAACAACAAAGTCGTGAAGCTAACGAAAAATCAATTGAAGCAAGAAAAAACTCCCAAGAAAAGAATGCGCCAAAGGAAGTCGATCCAAAACACTGGACTGCTTCTGTAATTGTTAATGGTGACTCTTATACTCGAGCAAGGAATTTATTTCAAGATAACAATATTAAAGTGCCGAGTGAAAAAGAGTTTTACCGTCATCAAAAAGAAATAGGTAAGGTAATACTAGAATATAAAGAGCAATCTATTAAAAATGCTCAACAAACAATGAAGAAAGATACATTTTTAAGCACTGATTCGCATTATAATGTTGGCAGAAATGCTACAGCGTGCCAAAGTTTAATGATGGACAACCGTGGAAAAGTTGTTGGTGAAACAACTGTTATAAAAAAGAGCTCTGGAGGAGACTTTGAAGGCCCATCCAACATGATGGAAACAGAATGTACAAAGAGGATGATGTCAAATTTTGACTTTACAAATGTTTCCACAGTGGTTCATGACAATGACAATAAAACGAAAGCCATCATCCAGCAATATGCTCCGAATGCTAAAATTACACTTGATCCTCGTCATTGTGTACGTGCAGTTGGCAGAGCTTTCGAAAAGCTTGAAAATGGTGGATATAAAGAAGCAGCAGGAAAAGAAACTGTTAATCAACAGAAAGAAAGTGAATCACAGCCAGCATTCCCAATCAAATCTAAAGCAGAAGAGCCGAAGAAACGTGGAAGACCATTAAAACACCAAGAAAAAGTATTTCATCAGATATATTCGAAAGTTATTAAGTGGTTCACTTTTATTATCATGCTTCCAATTGAAACAACGAAAAAAATTTTCCTATGGAAGAATACATTAAATCATTTTATCGGAAGGCATGAAAATTGCCTTCACGAAAAAGACAAAGAATATCCTGTGTTTCAGCCACTTACAAAACCTGATTTAGCGAAGCAATTTCAACGTTTTACAGATGATGCCGCAAAGTTGATTCCAGAAATTGATCCTAATGCTCAAACACAACAAAATGAATCGATACATCACTCAATGCTTACTCAGTGTCCCAAAGGAAACAACGCAAAATCGTTTGAAATGCGTACGGCTGTTACAATTTTACAAAAAAACGAAGGAGAGAAATGCAAACAAGAAATATACAATCGTGTCAATAATTACCAAATATCTCCTTCAATCCGCGAACTCCAAAAACTTGAATATGAGAAAAATAAATCCAGAAATCAAAAGAAAGCTACACCAGAAACAAGAAAAGAGATCAACAAGGCAAGAAATGCAAAAAGATTTCCTAAGGATAACCCTACAGGTGATTACAGAGGAGGAAAGTGGACCCCACAAGATATCTAATTTTCAAATTTGAAATAAACACATATTTTCTTTGTATTTGAAAATATTTTTATATTATAAGATTTTTGAACCTATAAGTAGCATGACAAAAATTATATAATTTGCTCCTTTTTTATTTTAGTATACAAATATCCCATTTGTTATATGTTCGGTATATATATGATGATATTGTAATCAATTATGCTTAATGAAGCTTTATCCCGTGAACCCCTCATATTATTGGAAAATAAATAGCGAAAACATGTAGAGCTGCTATGTTCTCAAGTGTATGCTGATTTTTGGATTTTTCATGAAAACTAATGGCGGGATATCTTGCATTATTTAAAAAAATTGAACTATGCAAAATAAATAGTATTATATTTTTTCTCATGAAATGCTATTATGAGACAACCATAAAAACCATATGTTTATTTTTATAATTTGATTGATTTTTTTTTACTATTTCATTAATCTTTTATGAATAATATTATTTTTAATATATGTGCTATTAAAATTTCAAATTTTGACTAATATATCTAAGTTATCTGAACGAAACATTTAGAAAATATCATACTTACATTGAAATAGCAAGTAGAGATATTAATAGCAAGTTTCTTGGTTTATATCTATCATCTATTGTTGTTTGAAACAAAATTGGAAAAAAGGGGGTTGGCGTCCTAAGGCGTCCTAGTGTAATTTCTCAAAATTGTGATATTTACATCACATTTTTGAGAGGTTTATGGGCGTCCTAAGGGAAAATTGAATAGCTAGGGCGTCCCGAATTTTCATTCTAAGATTTAAATATATTATATACTTAAGTATATACTACAAGAAATATAAAAATTAAATTTTTATTATGTTAACTTATAAGAAATTTTTTTGAATTATCGTTGATTTATTGTAATCTTTCCAGGCTATACTTTTGAAATCAACTTTACTGTCATACGCATTAATGTAGTAGATGTCCAGGTGTAGCTATTATATCCCAGCAACATTGGTATCATTTGTTAAGATATCAAAATGAAGCGTTTTTCAGATATAATTTTTCGTAATTTTTCAAAAATAAGATGGTAAAAAAGCCTCGACTTGCTCGAAAATAACAATTTTTTTTACTTGTAAAAATAACCTTTTACAGCATGGGCAGCTATTCAATCACTATTTCTTTTTCTAAAAGTATATTTTTCAAAAAAAAAAAAGATCAAATTCGACAATTTCTTGATGAAAGCAAAAATATTACACATACTTCTAGATGCATGGGATAAAATATGCAATTATTCAATCAATTCGCATGATTTGAAAAAAAAAATCTAAATTTGATAAAAATGTAGAAATTTTTTATTTTGAACTTGAAATTCGATTTTTTTGATCCAATTTGTGAATTTTTTTTTGATCGGAATTTCAATTAATTTGTTGATCAAAAATGACCTCACAATGTTTGATCATAAGTGAAGTCATCTTCATGGGTATTTAGAAATTCCAAGAGAAATTGCTTATTTCTCGCAGATGTAATATCTGAGAAAATCGAATTTAAATATTCATAGAAACCCAAATCATTCTCCGGTTCGAATAATTCATCTGTTGCTTTTTCTGTTTTTTCTATGAATTTTAATAATTTGATTAATAAATCTTCATCAGGAAGAATTATTGCTGCATTTGTGATAAAATTCCATATTGAGGTAATATGGCAATAATTACATTTATAAAATGGGGCGCGTAAAGGGTTGGCGTCCTAAGGCGTCCTGATGTAAACTATTCAATTTTTGAGAAGTTTACACCATAATTGAATAGTTTATGGCGTCCTGAGAGGAGATTTCAATGGGTATGGCGTCCTAAAAAAATAGAAGAAAATGATTTTTTCTCGATTTTTCTAGAAATTGAATTTTTTAAAAAAGAAAAAAATCAAAACGTATACATTCAAGAAAGACTATAAATGAAGATTTTTCTATTTTTTTTCATTCTAAAACATCTTTTTTTGGATAATTTTTTTTAAATAAATATGTAAGAAAGATTGAAGAAAAAGTAAATTTACTTTCAGAAAATTCGTTTTACATGATGTAAGACCCATAACAACTATAAATATTCAATTATTTAAAATAAAAAAAGAAAAACAGATTAAATGTATTCACATCAAAATCCATTGACCTAAGGATGTTAAGTTTCTGTTTTTAAAAGTTGATATTTTTTTTTTAATTTTAAGAAAATTAATAGCATGTTATTAGACAATAGGAGTGTAATGATATTGACTAAACAGAAATGAGAGAATAGAGATATAATTTTGATAAGCAATATTGCAAACAAATTCTGAAGTAAAATCGCGATCAATAATTGAAAATTACGATCATGTACTGAAAAATGACGATCGAATTGAATGAATAGAATTATATCTAAGAAAAAATAAATTGTATTTAGAAGATGAACAAAGAAAGGTGTATGCTAAAAATCATTTAACAATAAATGGAAATAAAAATTTGCCAAAAAATTTTGGATAAAATTACATTTTATAAATGTAATTATTGCCATATTACCTCAATATGGAATTTTATCACAAATGCAGCAATAATTCTTCCTGATGAAGATTTATTAATCAAATTATTAAAATTCATAGAAAAAACAGAAAAAGCAACAGATGAATTATTCGAACCGGAGAATGATTTGGGTTTCTATGAATATTTAAATTCGATTTTCTCAGATATTACATCTGCGAGAAATAAGCAATTTCTCTTGGAATTTCTAAATACCCATGAAGATGACTTCACTTATGATCAAACATTGTGAGGTCATTTTTGATCAACAAATTAATTGAAATTCCGATCAAAAAAAAATTCACAAATTGGATCAAAAAAATCGAATTTCAAGTTCAAAATAAAAAATTTCTACATTTTTATCAAATTTAGATTTTTTTTTTCAAATCATGCGAATTGATTGAATAATTGCATATTTTATCCCATGCATCTAGAAGTATGTGTAATATTTTTGCTTTCATCAAGAAATTGTCGAATTTGATCTTAATTTTTTTTGAAAAATATACTTTTAGAAAAAGAAATAGTGATTGAATAGCTGCCCATGCTGTAAAAAGGTTATTTTTACAAGTAAAAAAAATTGTTATTTTTCGAGCAAGTCGAGGCTTTTTTACCATCTTATTTTTGAAAAATTTACGAAAAATTATATCTGAAAAAACGCTTCATTTTGATATCTTACAATGATAAAATACCAATGTTGCTGGGATATAATAGCTACACCTGGACATCTACTACATTAATGCGTATGACAGGTAAAGTTGATTTCAAAAGTATAGCCTGGAAAGATTACAATAAATCAACGATAATTCAAAAAAATTTCTTATAAGTTAACATAATAAAAATTTAATTTTTATATTTCTTGTAGTATACTTAAGTATATAATATATTTAAATCTTAGAATGAAAATTCGGGACGCCCTAGCTATTCAATTTTCCCTTAGGACGCCCATAAACCTCTCAAAAATGTGATGTAAATATCACAATTTTGAGAAATTTACACTAGGACGCCTTAGGACGCCAACCCCCTTTTTTACCTATAAAATGTAATTTTATCCAAAATTTTTTGGCAAATTCGCATAATAGCATTAATATTTGAAGCTGAGATTAAACCTGTGATTACTTCTGTAACTTTTGGAAAATCATCGCAATTTAATAATTCTATTCATTCAATTCGATCGTCATTTTTCAGTACATGATCGTAATTTTCAATTATTGATCGCGATTTTACTTCAGAATTTGTTTGCAATATTGCTTATCAAAATTATATCTCTATTCTCTCATTTCTGTTTAGTCAATATCATTACACTCCTATTGTCTAATAACATGCTATTAATTTTCTTAAAATTAAAAAAAAAATATCAACTTTTAAAAACAGAAACTTAACATCCTTAGGTCAATGGATTTTGATGTGAGATACATTTAATCTGTTTTTCTTTTTTTATTTTAAATAATTGAATATTTATAGTTGTTATGGGTCTTACATCATGTAAAACGAATTTTCTGAAAGTAAATTTACTTTTTCTTCAATCTTTCTTACATATTTATTTAAAAAAAATTATCCAAAAAAAGATGTTTTAGAATGAAAAAAAATAGAAAAATCTTCATTTATAGTCTTTCTTGAATGTATACGTTTTGATTTTTTTCTTTTTTAAAAAATTCAATTTCTAGAAAAATCGAGAAAAAATCATTTTCTTCTATTTTTTTAGGACGCCATACCCATTGAAATCTCCTCTCAGGACGCCATAAACTATTCAATTATGGTGTAAACTTCTCAAAAATTGAATAGTTTACATCAGGACGCCTTAGGACGCCAACCCTTTACGCGCCCACAAAATTCACTCTATTATATGGTGTCAATTAATTAAAACAATTTTTAATAGTTATTTATTTAGTGCGAATAAGTGCAAACTCATAAATGAATAACTTAATAGTAGAAATGAATTATCTGATATAAATCTCACATTTTGTCCATCAGAAATACTTTAATTGCATACGCATAACTATTAGTAATATGTCTGGAGTGTCAATTAATAACAATCCCACAACAAGTAAAATTCAGATTTTTATTAAACTTATTTTTTCCTAAAAGTTTTCTCAAATTACTATATATACATATGTGGATAAAATAATAGTAATATTGTAAAAAATTAGATAATTTTTTTTATTTGAGAACCTCTCAAAAGTTCATTCAATTTATCAATTGTTTCAGTTTGATGTATATTCATTTCTGGAGCCTAAAACTTTAGCAATCATGACAATATCATATTCTCTTTCTAACTACGCAATGTAAGGGTATCCTTAAGAGAAAAACAATTCTTCTTCTTCAATCTATTGGCGCATTTATTTCTACACCATGGTGTCTTCAAAACGCTAATTTTTGATATTTTTAACAACCGAGTGTGGGACAAACTATCCAGTGTCACTTTTTATTAACCTTATTTTAAAAAATTAATAAAATAATAATAAAAAATTATTTGAATCTTTTACATTAATTGTTTCTTTTTTAAAAGTACCTTTAAAGTACAATAAACAAGATTTGAATCTATTGATCCTTGTTGCAAACTTGAATATATTGCTTCAAGCATTTTCAAACATTCGACTTTTTTGTTTTCCAATATTTGTTCATAGTCATTAGCTTTTCGTAATATACGAACAACTTTATCACTATTGATTAATTGAACTTTAAATTTAATCAATAATGCTGGAACAACCGTTGTGTATAATTCAACAACAAAATCGTCTAATCGAATATTCCTTCTCTCTGGGAAATAAGAATGCTTGAGAACTTTGAAATGTGACTCACTGACGTTATTAGTCGCGTCACCTCCGTTGCAATAGCGCTTATTCCAACGATCTAAATGATGCCTCCATTGCCTATCGAAGTACTTTTGGGTTTTCGGTTCAGTGGAAAGAATTTCAAGAATTCGATCATAAACTGCATCTAGGTCTGCAGCTTCTTCTTGAGTGAGGTGCTCTGGAACTTCTTCACTTGTTTCAAACGTTTCTTCTTCTGGAATAAATTCAGAATCGTTTGGATCATCAGAAGATTCTCGTGGTAAAAAGATTTGAGAAGGTTGAAATTCATTTTCGATGAATTCTTCTTCATATTGTTCCTCTTCTTCAATTTCTTCTGCTTGAAGTAAGTGAGATTGAGCTGGTTCCTCTCTAGGATTTTCTTCTTCTTGGTTCTGTTCTTCCTCGGGAGATTCTTCTTTAGTATCGAATACTAATAATTTCATTAGATTATAAAATTCTTCAAAATTGTCTCGTGATTTAAACTTATCCGCTTTTCTTAATATGGCGCGAAGGACATGCACGCCACACCAAAGAATATGACAGTTTGGAATACCTCGCTCAATTGCCTCGGCTATTTGTGGGGCGCAGTCCATACTTATCATCTCGGGTTCTCTATTAATATATTGAAAATAACGACAAACACAATATTGAATATTTTCGCTTGTGTCAGGAGAAATAAAGAAATACAAAAAAGGAAAAACAATAGTATGTTCTGTTTTTCCTGTGAGTGCATATAATGGAATGTTAGCCCTTAGAAGTTTATACGTTGAATCGATGTGAAACGTAGAAATTTGGTGACCAAGGGCCTTCGCTTCGAAAGGTGCATATAAAAAAACTAGTTTTCCCGGCTCAGAGATAAATTCAATTAAATCTTCTGGACAACTTTCTTGAACAGATTCGACAAAGATAGCTAAAGAAACTTTTTCATCCGAACTAAAGCGTTTGGAAACAATTTCAGCTCTTTGAGCAAATTTACGTAATGCATCTGGACCTTGTGCAAATATTGAAAGTAACTCTTCGTCTGTATATGAAATATTTAAGTCTTGGAAACACTTAAGTTGAGCTGTAGCATGATTCATATTGTTTTCAAAGTAATGTTTAAGATAATTTCTGACAAATAATGAGGATATTGTTTTTGTTGATTTCGGAGGTGCAGAATGATCATGAGAGTCAGAGTGGATTAGTAGTTCATATTTATCTTGATCTATTATCCGGACTTTGAATTTAGCTTGACATTGTGGATACTTACATTTGTATTCGATCGTGGAGTATTCTTTCCTGCATTTTTGAGAGTAGCCCATGCTAGCTTTTATCTCTTCTTGGATACCAAACTGGAGGAGCTCCATAGTGTTGAATATCACGGGCTCCATACAACAAATTGAATAAGGTATTTCAAAATTTGAAGGAAATGGTCCATCATTGAATGTAGTGGCCGGGAATTGAATGACATACAGATAGTTTGAGGAAATTTGTTATAAATTATAATATAATTGAAGAATTAATTATCAAAACAAGTCTAGGAGCCATTTGTCAGATTTTCCCGAAATGCAAGGTTAAGATTTTAGCAGCGACTAACTTTGAGTGTACATATATAATTGTTATACTGAGTACTTTCTATCTGTGTTACTTATTTGAGTCTAAGAGCCATTTGTCAGATTTTCCCGAAATGCAAGGTTAAGATTTTAGCAGCGACTAACTTTGAGTGTACATATATAATTGTTATACTGAGTACTTTCTATCTGTGTTACTTATTTGAGTCTAAGAGCCATTTGTCAGATTTTCCCGAAATGCAAGGTTAAGATTTTAGCAGCGACTAACTTTGAGTGTACATATATAATTGTTATACTGAGTACTTTCTATCTGTGTTACTTATTTGAGTCTAAGAGTCATTTCTACCATAGAACTAGATATTGTCTCTCATTAAATATATATAACTGTAAACTGCTTAATTCATTTATCTATTTAGATAAAATTATATTTATATAAGATTTCATGTTATTATTTCATCTTTATTATTTTTTTTATTCCTTTGAAAAGTGACAGTGGATAGTTTGTCCCTTTCTCTTAACAACCCTATGTAAAAATCATGGTCAAGTAAAAACAAACAAAACATAATATATAAACAATACAAACATTCTAATATGAAATTGTATTAATTCTATTCAGGAATAAACTTTGGCTTGTAGTACTTATTTTTGACAAGATCTCTTCTTTTTGATGCAGCAATTGTTGCAGCCTTGTAAAATTGGGTCCACTTCCATGCCCAAATGAGATCTCCGTTGTGTTCTTCGTACGTCCAGCTAAAATTAAGGAGTTCTGATATTTCATCAATTCTATGCCTTATACGTTGTTTTTCACTTTCTGGGATCATACCAACAATAGCAGGAACTGATCTAATATCTCTCATTGGTACTTGTATTAAAGATCCAGAATAATCAGCGAAAAGTTCATCAAAAGGCAGATGAACATCATCACTTAGTACAACTGGAATGCATCGTCTCTTTATTGCATCGAAGAATCGTTTGGAATTCGGAGTATCCCCATGTGGTGATGGACAAAAATCCGAAATGGACATTAAGTAGACAACGTCGAAATTTGTTGTAGCACGCTCTTTCGATACCTTCTTTGCAATTGTAAGCGAGTCCCGCATTTGAGATAATTCTGCAATTAAATTCGTTCTGATTGATTTTGCAATTTGATTTGTCGAATATATGCTTGTGTGACTCTCAAAAAACGCGGATAGTATTCTGCGGGTCTGATTTTCGTTATCTGGATAACTCGACGAATATGGAACAATAGTCAGCCTCCATAGTTCTCTTGGTGACATGGTAGAATATTCGTTTGAAATATCGCCAGTAGATATCATTGAAGGCAATTCTTGAAGGTTTGAATTCAAATTGTAAATCTGGGTGAAAATGTGATCAACTCCTCCATGCTTTTCATACCAATAACTATTGTCTAATAAGTATGGAGTAATTACCGACTGATAGCTTGCTTTCTTTTTATATAGGTTATATGCGCTTAAATATATAGGTACATAGAACAAATCTGCGTCCTGAGGATTTTCTACAGCAGTTCTACTCTTAACAAGATTTTGATGTATGATATATTCGAAAATATAATTACTTCTCTGATTTAATTCTGCATTTGGATCGCAATAGTAGCCTTTGCATACATCTTTTTGATCTGCGATTGTCATGTTATAAATGTATATCTTCAATGGCGCTTCTGCATTCCGAAAGAAAGAATAATGTTTCGTTATAGTTGATTTTGGTGAAAATAAAGGTACAGATATCCTCAGAATCAGGAGAGACAACAGGAATATCTCTAATTGAAAAATTTTCCTGAAAGTCTCTCGAAAATGACCTCTGGAAATCCACACCAAAACAAATTTCAGGTTGCCGAAATTTTTTAAACAGGGGGCATCCCTTACAGAACAATTTTTTTTTTCGCATTTCAATGAAATCTATTGCTTTAAGCGCACTTTCTGCTACAGCAGGTATTGCACTTGGTGTTTACCTTACAGAAATTGTAGAAAATTACCGCAAGAAGAAAGAAATGGCCGCATATGCTGATGACCCTGTATATGCAGACGACGACGCAGAAGAGGAAGAAGAGTTGTATGAAGAAGATGATGAAGATTTCATTACACCCAATCCAACAACTGTTGTTCCAGAAAATTCTTGCGCAATTTTCTTCATAAATAAGAGCCTGAAAATGAGAAAAGGAAAGATTTCTGCTCAATGCGGTCACGCTTCCCTCGGTATTTTCAAGAAGACAGCTAAAGTTTATCCAAAAGTTGCAGCCTATTGGTTTGATAACAAATTCGATAAGGTCTTCTTCAATATAAACGATCAACAACAGATGGAACAGTACGCTCAGAAGGCCCTTGATGCTGGATACCTCTTTGAAACAATTGTTGACGCAGGCCGCACACAAATTGCAGCTGGATCACATACAATTCTCGTTGTAGGTCCAATTGATAAGTCAAATGTTGCAGAATTCACAAAGGGACTCCAACAAGTTACAAAATAAGATGATTTTTAACCATTAATTTGATACCGAATATTTGATAGAATTTTTGTTAACATGAAGCCCCATTATTACGTAAGTAAACTTTTATAGAATTGTTGAATACCTTGTAATTTTTTATATAATTTTAGGTTTAACTTTTCAAACAAATTTCTATTAGGAACTGATCGAAAATCCCAAAGCAATTGCACCCATTAATGGAAACTAATGTTTTTGAGCGTTATTGAAATTTTGATTTAATATTGAATCTAAACAATCCAAATCATAACAATTTTTAATCTAAACAGTTTGTAGATATTTTCCTCCAAAGATCTTGCAATGGAATTTGAAAGGGAGGAAAAAAAAACTGTTTTTTTTTTCTTCAAAATTTATTTAGAATCATTCACGACAAACTAGAGTTTTAATGGCGCAGAATTCCCTCATTGATGATTTTATGGGCGATGATGGAATGAATAATGCGTCTGGTTTGAGCGGCGATGATTTTAATCTACATAACGCATTTGGAAACGACCGTTTTCAAGGCAAAAATTCATTTAATAGCCGTGGAATGAACCAGCCAAAGTTCAACCATGGAACTGGATTCGATGCACTCCCAATGGAAGACTTTGATCCACTGCCAAATAATTTTCCAAATCAAAACAACAGAAACAACTTTTCTAACGAAAGTCTAGGTGATATATTTGGCAATTCTCAAGAGAATGGCTTTAACAGACTTAACCCAAACTTACCTTCTTCTAATAAAAAACAATCATTCGGACTTAAAAACGGATTTGACGCTATACCTATGGGAGATTCAGGCTTTGGTGATCCAAGACAAGGATCATTACTCGGAAACGATTTTGGAAGCAAACTTTCGAAAACAGACAATTTTGGTGCTACACCGCGTGATAAACCTACTATGAAAACAAGCGTTAGTGTTGGCTTTAATCAACCGAAATCAAATCTTGATATTTTACCTCGTGATATTTCCAAAAATTCAATTAATGCAGACACTAAATCACAAGGCGGCTCAAAGCGTTTACTTTCAGGTGGATTACTTAATCTTAAGAATTCCCAATCTACAAATTTCAGTCAAAGCATGGATGCAATTCCAGAAGAGAACGATATGTTTCCTCCATTAGGGAACTCCCAAGAAAACGACATTATAGCTGATATGAATGCGTTTGGTGATGATTCGCCATTTGCACAAGATTTACCAGAATCAGATGAGATGAAACATCAAGTTTCCTTCCAGAATTCCGATATAGCACCATCTACGAACTCAAACAAGGACATTGCTATGATTCCTCCACGCAAAATGAGCCGTGTTTCAAGTTTAGATTCAAATCCACCACAAAACTCATCACCTCCAAGGATCACACCCAACAAACCAGCAAATCCATCACCACAAGAGAAAGTTACACCAGCTCCTGTGAAGATATCTCCCCAACAAAATCAAAATCAATTTATCTCTCAACCTCTTCCTCAATCAACAACATACCAACCACCACAAGCAACTATTCAACAACAACCCGTTAATATACAGCCACAGTTCCAAGCAAATCCTCAAATTCAATACCAATCTCCTCCAATGAGTCAAAACATTCCACAACAGCAGCCAATGGTCATTCCGCAGCAACAAGGAATGATTCGTGATCAGTTTCCAATCGAAACAGGCATCAGGGCTTCATTTGACCGTTCAATTTCCACATTAAAGCTTTATTTCATCAATGACTTCAAGAACTTATGCAGATCAACCTTGTCCATTGATCCTTCACTTCCGGACATCGATAATTTCACAGACCAACTAAATACAGATATTTCATCTTTAATTGAAGTCCCCGTTACTCCATTAGACATCAATTCGCAAAGTATCTCACGCCAAATTGCGAATTCCATTGACGAACACACTAAACCAGTCAGTAGCGAACTTGCAGACATTGATGCACGAAATTCACTTACAGGAGAACGTCATGTCTCCGAATTAAGACAACTACAAGATGATATAGATACCCTGAAGCAAGTTTTCAAGACGCAAAGTGACAATGTCCTGCAAGAACTTGAAAAAGAAAGGAGATATTCAGCACAAAGAAGAGACAGTGATTTGACGATCAGAAGAAACATTGAACATCGATTACGAACACTCAGTTTGAAGCAGACAGAGTTAGAGACAAAAAGCCGTGCATTGACATCAGAAAAAGAATCAGTTGAACGCGGAATCAAAAATTTGGAAAATCAAAAGAAAGAATGGTCAGAAACAGTTCTTCCAAACATTTCAGACGAATCTGGTTCATTACGTAAACAGATTCTTGAAGAACTCCATTCAATAAAAGTTGAGATTCGAGATGGCCCATCAGAAGAAGACTCAAATTCAGTTGAAGAATGTTTCAACATCTTGAGGAATGAAACAGAAAACATCCGAACTGATCTATACGACATTGATATGGCACTTCGATGGGTTGAAGAAAGAAAACGAGATCCTATATCTAGAAGATCTCCAAAGAAGATCAAACGATCTACAATTCTTGATCAGACACAAGAGAAACTCAGCCGTATCCGCAAACTGAGAGATGAATCAACAAAAGAACTCTATTAAGATATTTTTCTTTTTTTAATTTGTTATTTTATATATAAAATTTTTTGTTTTGTATGATATAATCAAGGACATGAATCGTTTTTATACTAATAGCATAAACCTATTTGAGTTAATGGTTCCCTAACCACTTTCGGACACACTGTCAATTTTTTTTGTTTTGTATGATGTAATCAATGATGTATTTACATTTGCTTATCACCATAATTTTGATGAAGATGATTTTTTTTTGTTTTGTATGATGTAATTAATGATGTATTTACATTTGCTTATCATGCGCATATTAAGTTATTAGAAAAAACCATTGACTAAATGGCACATAAGGTTATGAATCTGGTCATCACTATAATTTTGATGAAGATGATTTTTTTGTTTGATGTAATGGTTTTTATTCTAATTATATAAATTTATTTGCGTTATGTCAACGACACGGCCTTCAATTATGTTGTTTACGGTTAATTTTTCAATGATGCATCACTCCAGCTGTCAGAATTTTGAATTAAAGTCAAATTGTTCTGAGTATGCCCTTAAACATCCAAATCTCGATCAAAATCAGACAATATATAGTTCATTTAACTCACAATACCGTAATATATTCCAAAATAATTAACTTCATATATTGCACTGCATGTTATAAGTTAACGCTCGGAATTCTTTTAAATTTTTTCAAATGGCAATTTTTATCAAATTTTCAGTAAAAAGGAATCAAAAACCATATTCATTACCTTCTAAAATATGTTTTCAAATGAATAGTTCAAAAATCATATTTGAATATATTTTTTGAATAGACAAATTTTTTGACTAGGATAAAATGAAATTCAGTCAAAATTTTTATAATTTCATTTTTTCATATGTCTTGTGATAGGAGCGAAGCTAAAAAAGTTAATACAGACATTACAAATTCTAGTCGCATCGAAAGAACATTGTTATCAGAATTTCTTGATCATATTTCAGGGAATTGGGATTATGGAGTTACAAAAGAGGTTGAATTCTTCAAAGATATCTTTACCCCAGTTAAATTAGTTAGTTTTACAGATCCAAATCTCAAAGCAATTCTTAATGAATACAAAGATGGCAAGCCAATTTCATTAGATCTTGAATAGAATCCATCTATGAGAAAAACGATTGGAGCGAATCTCTTTCAAATATGTACATCACGCGGCTGTTTACTCGTTCACCGAAAAAATGGAGAAGTCAACCAAGAAATCCAAAAATTTATTACATCAAATCAATGTCTATTTTTGGATTGGAACATACCAATGTATTCCAATGCAATGGTTATGTATGCAGCAAATACAGTTTCTCATTTGTATAATTTCATTACACATTAAAATTTAATAAATGTCTTAATATAAATAGTATTCATAATTTCTTTTTTACAATTTGATTCGAATGGCATACAATTTATTTCATATTGCATACTTATTAATGATTGCCAAATATTGAGATAATATTTTGGTAGTATTATGGTTTTCATTTTTCTTTTAAGTTCATTCAATGATCTTTAAAGATCATTCAAATCTCATAAATTGATATTAACCAGAGTACAGTCATGTGATACTAAATGAAAACAATTATTACTGAAACTTCGAAAACTTAGTTGTTAATGGAAGGACAAGATTCAGTCCATTAACTGAATGACATCGAATTCTGTGCTATTTTTGTTGAGCAAACAAAAATTTCTTGTGCATAGAACACATTTTTTTTCTTAATATGCTAATGAAGATGTTGAAATTCATTAAACAATGCTGAATGTGCTTCTGAATATGAATCCTAAAAATTATGATTTTTTTTTGAAAAGAATTTAGAATAATATATTTTATCAAATAATTACGAAACAAAAATATATATATAACAACAACAAAATAAATAAAACAAACAAAAAAACATAAAAAAATACAATAAAAAATAATAAAATTAGAACTCTGAAATTTCTGTGTGTGTTGCATCATCAATAAACATCTGTGGTTCTCCTGTTTCATCAACAAGGATTGTGTCTTGTTCATTTTCTTGTGGTTCAACTCGTTTGTACATCATGAATTCCTTAGGTGATGCCTTTCTCAAGTTAATAAGGAAATCAGCCAACAACTGCTTGAATTTCTCCAAACTCTCGACTTCATTCACCAAACTCTGTGACAAGTTAAGTGTGCTGTCTTGATCAAGAGTTGGAAACAGCTGCATTAACTTCTGTGACATACAATCGGAAACAAAAACACGTGGATCTATTTCGCTGTCGATAATTACAGATCCTTTCCAAACAATTTGCATCAAGTGGAAAAAAACTTGAACAATGTGTTGGAAAATGAACTTGTGACTTAAATCAGTCAATACTTCAAGAATAGTTCCAACAATAGACAAGAAGAATGCTGAGTAGAATTCATGTTTGAAATCAATGTTATCGACATTGTCAACACGTGCAACAACTGATGAGATGCAGTTCAAACATTTCTCGCAAATCTGGTGCTGTGGATGACCAACACCATATAAAATGAATTTCATAAGACTTTCAAAAATATCTCTGTCACAGTTTGTGATATCAATAGAATTAGTAATGATCGTAGCCACTAAATTGAAGAATGAATTTCTAAGTTCTGGAAAATCAACCATGTTAACAAACAATTCTTCACTGATTGAGAAAACAAGGACATTAATGACATCACCAAGGAAACCTTGATTTTCTGGTGGTGTTTTGATTATAAGTTTAGAAATAGCATCTAATGTGCCATAGCATTTCAATGATGTATCCAATGATTGGAAGTCTTCAAGCAATTTACCAACAAGTTCTAATGCTGTCTCCGTTGTTGGAAATGCTTCGAAGAATGTTTCAAACAATTTCATCAATGATGTCTTCACACGCTGCAACTGGAAATTCTCACCTGTTTTTGCAATGTTCATAGTGTAGAATTCCATGATACTGCAACATTGGCCAATGATTTGTGAGGTGAACTCGTAAAAGTTTTCATCGGAAATACTGACAACTTTCCCGAGTGCGTCGAGAGGAACAATGATTCCCATGGTGAACTCGATGCTGTCGTCAATGCCGTGAGTGAGTTGTTCGATGGAAGAGTTCAATGCATCTATTGGAGGTCCGAATAACAAGGAAATTAGTTCTGTTTTGGCAGGACCTTGTGGATATCTCTTGACTAAGTTTGCGAACATACCGAAAAGAGTGGGAATGGCATCGAAAGGAAGGATCTGGATGAAATGAGTTATATTTGATAGCCATTGTTGGGTAAGGGACTGCTTTTCAGGTGGATGTGTAGCGTTGATTTGCTGGTAACATGATAGTGAGATCGTTTCGAGACAATTGATGGCAAATGTCTGTAATTGTGGACATGGATATTGAATTATTTCTATGAAACGGGTCAATATGTCGCCAAGTAATGACCAGTCGTTCCTCAGAATGTGGCCGTAACTTGAGGAAATGTACATGAAGCAGGCAGCGGCCATTACGGATTCTAATGTAGGAAATGAGAAGTCAAGGCTTTCGTTGACGACAGAGAGTACGCTGTGAACGAACTTTGTATCAATATCTTTACGAAGAGCGCCGGCAATGGCTCCAGCTGAGTAATATCCTGGTAAATTTTCTAATGTAAAGGTTCCGCTTATTTTTTCGAGTATATCGTCTAGTACTTCGACACCGTTTGATATTCTGCATAGGTTGAATAGAGTTCCGGAGATTTTATTGTAAAATTCTGCATCGGCTGTATCTGATCTATTATCTGCGAGGCATAATTCGCCTTCTGAACTTATAGCGATAATAAATTTCGTTGGGCGAGCCATTCTGCCAACTAGGATAGTTCTAAGAGGAATAATAATTTCCGGCGGAATTGCTTGCGACATTTTGTGTTTATCTATTACTGCTTGCATCGATATTGCATACCACATCTCGATACATGTAGAGAATGTTTCTTCTCCCGTAAAAGCTACGAATGTTGCCATCCAATTCAAAGCGCTTTGATTGTATTGCGTAGGGTTAGTCTGTAGTATAGCGCAAGAGTCTAGTAATAAAAACGATGATAGCGCATCGACAATTGCTGTTCCGAGTGGAGCTTCCAAATATTCGATATCTTCTGGGGTTTGTAGGTAAAGGCTTAAGTTAGCAATGAGCATTTCGAATATTTGTGTCATTGCGTTATCAGCTTTTGCATCGTGGTGGTTCGCAATGGCTGTAAAACAATTAATAACATGAATTCGGTATTCTTCTATTGGCAGTAATTCTGTGACAAGCTGTGAGCACAGTCTTGATGATATTATAAGTCTAAGATCAATCCATCCAAGATAGTGAGATAACGCCATTAATCCTTCCGCCCTCAACGGAACGGAATCTGCTCTTTCTAGTACGCTTTCTATATGCTGAAAAATAAGCCCGAAATCTTTCTCGAGCTGTTGATCCAGTTCAGCTAAACGATCGGATGTTAACTTTTCATCTCTTGCTGCGTGAATTTCATCAGAAAGAGACGCAAAGATTCTTAAATTATTTATACATACGGCCTCTCCTCTTTTTGAATCGTTAATGATTGTATGCGTAAAATTAGGCCAATTAAAAGGCCATTCATTTTTCACTATTTCGATTAAGACGGCATTTGCATTAGATTGAATAAATTGGTTAACACCAGCCTCACTACAGCTGATGGCAAAATCGTAATAGTATTTTCGGTAGTAATCTTTTTGCTCATTTGAGAGAATATTCCATGATTTTTTAATTCCCTGTGAAAACAAATTTAACGCTAGAGCTCTACTGTTCTCGTTTGATGATTCTGAGATAATTGGATGCATTAAAAGCCAGGCGTCCGACCTTTGGCTAATTTCATACAAGATCTTTCTAGCTAAATCACCCTGGTCGCCTTGGCTGCTAAACATATCGGCTAATTCATCGAAATTTGAGATTTCTATCGGAGTTCCTTCTTCACCCAAAGCTTCCATTTAATATATATATGATTTAACGTCACTTTTCATTCACTTCAAAATGGATAACATAATTTTTTTTTGATAACTTATATAGTTATTATACATTGCTTCGTATATGACTAGTATTTATACAAGATTTGAGAAATATTTTTGTTTATTAAATTAGTTATCTCCTCAAAATGAGGGTTAAAATTAACAAATTTGTTCGAAAAGTTCGAGTTGAAGTTCAAATAATAGAACTTCGATAGAAGAATTCTAAATAGGAAACATTTTAAATATGATTTAATCGTTCTTGGTTAAATGATCCATTACAAATTGTTTTGATTTCGTTACTTTATTTTTATTTCTTTTTTAAAGAGTAATGATCTCATAAATGATTATGTTGACTAAAATAAATGATTTTATACATAAGAATATATGACATTATTCTAATTTTGATATTTATATTTAACAATGTGTGATCAGATACACAAATACTCAAATAACCAACAATATAATAAGGATAAACATCAAAGTGTTTCATTGAAATTGCTCAAAACAATCTTCAAACCTATAATCAATTTGAGATGTTGATTAAATCTTTAATATTAACGAGTTTTTGTATATTGATCTGAGAATAGAAGAGATGGTTATGCTATAGGTTAATACATATCCCTCTGATTATAAGTTTGAAAGATTTTATTGTTTACTTTATTCAGATCTTATATTTCGCATATATTTTTCTATACAAACCATTGAATATTATAAGAATATACAGACTGTATTGTAGTTGCACTATTTTTTGAGTTCAATAACTTTCAATTCTTCAGTTTTTTTCAATTTGTAAAGATAAAAATATACTATAAGCGTTATTAAGATGTTTTACATTGAATTTTTGGTGTATTACGAAATCGCGATTTTTTTTTCAAATAAAAAAATAACGTATACCAAAAGTGACGAATGGAGGAAGAAACAAAATTCCTCTCACGCCCACCTACAAATTTGAAATTACGACGTGGTGTAGAACCCATAGTTGACAGGAATCCAGAGATGTTCTTAAAAAATTTAAAGCGCGCGTTTTATAAAGCATCTGGTGAACAACGTACACTAACGTTAAAGAAATGGATAGAATCTGGACTTTCAACCTTTTTACACAATGGAAAACTTACTGCAAATGAATTTGTCGAATATTTTAATAAAGTTGACGCAAATTGCAAAGGTTACATCGAATGGCCCGATTTAGCCATGTATATGATCTGTGAGACATCACCTCCAGAGAAAATCAAGAACGCAAACGACAAGATTATTGAAAAAGTTGAAGTTCCAATTACAGTTAGACAGGAATGTCATCGTGGTACGATCACACAAATCGATTCAATACCATGGATACAGAGATATATTACACTTAGCTATGATGCAATTAAGTTTTGGAAAACAGATCCTTTAGAATTAGATTATTTTCTTAAAAATCAAGCCAATTTCTGTGCATTCATGGTTTTTAAGAAATCGCAGATCATGGCTGTAGCATTATCAACACGTAGAATCATATTCTACAATACAAGTAATTACACATTACTTCCTGTAACAATTGGAGCCTCACCAACAGCATCCTCCATCAAACACATGAACTACAATGACTCAAAGAAGCTTCTTTCTGCTCTACAAGGCCCAGATCTCCCATTATACAATTGTCCAACAATTATGATCGAAGCAATTTACGTTCCTAAGCGTCCTTACTTCTTTGACATGCTCGTTGCTGATGACTGTGGTGTCCTGTCATATTTCGCATTGACAACACCTCAAAGAAGAGATGGCCAGGATTATTCAATTAATTTAATCTCTCATAAAGAGATCCACAATGCTTCAATCACAGAAATAAAGCCACTAGATGACTTAGAAGTATACGCCACTGCATCACTCGATAATACCATTAAATTTATCCAAATTGACAATAATAATATTACAATTCTCAGAACATTCAATGAACTCAACCCAATTGTCTCATTCTGTTACTTCGAGCATCAACACTCTATCCTCATTTGCATGAAACAGTCGCCACCAACTGTTTGGTCAACGAAACCTCCGAAAAGAACAATGTCTATATCGTTGAACTACGATATGCCGATAAAAAGCGTTAATTTCGACCACGACAAGACACAACATTACATGGTCGCGGTCTCACAAAACGGAGATGTGAGATTATTCTCAGGAATGACCTTCCTTCCTCAAGGTACGTACGAAAGCGATTATCAGGAGAAGTTTGGGTCCATTGCTGTTGATGAAGATCGCCACATTATCCTTCTTGGAGCGAGATTTCCTGTATTATGGAGATCTGTTCAAGCGAAAGTCGTAGTTGAGAATGTGGTACACAGGTTCTCTATATGCGGTTGCTTCTATTCAGAGGACTTCCAGAGGATTGTTACGACAGATGTAAGAGGTGTTGTAAATACTTTCGACCACACAAACGGAAACAACGATTTCGGACTTAGATTAGATGTATCTGGTCTCAAAACAGTCTGCATCGATGGAAGAGGCCGAAGACTCTTTACTACTTCAAATCATGGAAATATTGATGTTTGGAATCTCAATTCCGGATCAATTCTTACAACAATAGAAAGAAAAGAACCAGGATTGATAAACGGACTCAAGTTTTTCCATTTCGGAGTCAGAATGTTCCTTGCATATGCAACAACCGTCAAAATAGCCGTTATAATGGTCGAAACATTACCTGGTCAGTTCACTTTTCTTTCTAGATTAGAAGGCCACACCAAAAACATCACTTGTATCGACGCATCTTCCAAACACGGCGTTGTCGTCACAGGAGCAACCGGTGGAGAGATGATTATGTGGCCATTGGATCCAAACGAGAATCCCAGGAAGCAAATCATTGGTAGCGATGTCGACAACATCTGCATTAATGGAGATTATCTTTATGCATCGTGCGAAGACGGAACAATCACTTGTCTTTCACTTCCTCATTTCGAGAACCTCCTGAGAGTCAAAGGAATGCCATACTCAATCACTTATTCTTTGACTGCAATCGCTTGTGCAAATGACATCGTTGTTTCAGGAGATTCCAACGGTTATTTGACGGTTTTTAAGACGATGAACGATAAGTTCTATAACATGTTCCCTGTTAAAGTTTTCCGCTGCCATGAGAGCGAAATCACACAGTTAATGTTCATTCCCGACAGTCCATATTTACTGACAATTGGCGGTGATTTCACAATGAGATTGTGGGAGACTGAAAATTTCGAATGCGTTGGAAATTTCACGAGAAACAGTCAGTGGAATATATCCGACCAGACAACATATATCAAGCAGGACATCAAAGAAAACGAGAAGTACCAACAGGCAGAGAAAACAGAGAGCATCAAAATGACTTCTTCAATGATGACAGCGAGATCTGTGAACTCGAATGGTCCAATGCCTTCATCGCGTTCTCCTGTCATGAGAAAAAGAGATTCATTGTTGAACATGAGCGAATTAAGATCATCAAGGAAACTCGCTAACAATGCATCAATGAAGTCTATGCTGTCAACTGCTTCAATAAGAAAAGCTCTAGGTCAAGAACCAGAGAGATCTCCATCGGAAGGATCAATTGACTGGGATGCTGCTTTCGAAATGATTTCTTCGTATTATTCTTCGGCTGATTCAAGGGAATACCAAGTACAAAGCTTGGATGAAGTCGTAAGAAGAGAACCAGAAAAGGAGAGCCAAGTACTTATTGACCCTCTCATTGAGAATATCATCGCAAATGACCCTTCAAAGGAAGTCAAGAAGATATCAGAAAGCACTAAGGTGTTTTCTTCAAAGAAACAGTCAAGAGTTGAATCAAAACTTAATATGATTGTCAAACCTATGCATAGATCTGCTCCTTCTTTACTTTAATTTTTATATTTATTTTATATCCATGAATTTTACTTTTGTTTTGTTTGTAAACTCTAATTTATATAAAATGTTCTTTATTTATTTTAACCAAATCCATATAATCCATTAAAAATTTGAGATGCATAAAAAATTGTACTCGATAGACCATAATTAATATAGAATTCATGATGTACATATCCAGCACTTAAAATGTTTATGGTTGTTAAGCAACATTTCAAGAGCAAATTTGATCGGAAATATTGTTTCCGAAAGAAAGGGTAATATACAAAAAACTAATAAATTAAGGTATATATAAACAATTTACTACAAACAAATTATGTAAATTAGTTCCTTGAATAAAAATCATTGACAGTCTTGCAGCTGCTTGCACGGCGGAACTTCTTTTGTGGGACAAGAGGAATTCCACGACCAGATACAACTGGTCTCAACTTCATTTTATTGACTAATGAATTGACATTCTTTGGTTGAGTGATGAGTTGGAAAGCAGAGGCTGAATTAGACTTATAGAGTGGAAGATTATCACCTTCAACACTTGTTTCCGAGTCATCACCATATGTTCCTTCAGTCAATAAAATGTTATAAGCAGCAGACTTTTCAGTGAACAACTTTGACTTCAAATCGGCGATAACAGCCGCTTTGTTGTAACCTGCTTCTTCAAGTTGTTTCAAAATATCACTCTTAATGTGAGTTTCAGTTGATGGAGGAATATTAACTGATAATTTCACAAAGAAAGGATGTTCTTGGATATCTTCGAGTGTAATACGCTCGAATGGATCCTTAGTTAACATGCGGGATAAAAGGTTCTTTGCGTCATTTGAAATTTGAGAGGGGATTATCGGTTTCATTGAAAGTATATTTGTGAAGAGTTCACTTTTGCTATCGTCCTCGAATGGAAAAGTGCCCGTTAACATACGATAGAGAATTATACCACAGCGCCAGACTGTTGTAGTGAACGGATTCGACTCATTTCTGATTTCCTCTGGTGATAGGTAGAATGGATGGCAGTGCTTGGCAAGGGACCTCATGGATGTGTCTAAATATTGGCAGTTTTCGAAATCAAAAAGCTTGAGATTGTGTGAATTTGAGAGACTGAAGTTGCCTGCTTCAAGGCTTCCGTGGCAAACTTGGTAGTTTGAATCGAGGAAGCTTAAACTAAGAATCATTTGAGAAAACCAGATACGAATCTTTTCCTCGTCACGTTCTTTTGCGTTTGTGATGTAATCTTCAAAGTTTTCTTCACTCAAATACTCCATTACGATAAAAGACATATCGTCTTCTTCGAAGTACTGATAGAACTTTGCGATAAAAGGATAGTTGGCTTGGCTGTGTATCTTGATCTCCTCTCCGTAATGCTCTGTTTCTACAGATGACTTAGATACAACCTTGATTAGGACTGTAGGGCTAAGATGGATATTCTTCGCTTTCCAAAGTTCATAATAGTTGGTACATTTGATCATTTTAATGAACTCATATGCATTATGAATACTTCCTTTTTCAATCATTATAAGGATTTGTGTTGTAAAAAATGAATAGCCTTTTTGAAAGGAATTCAATTTTAAACAAAGTTAAAATAACAATAGAATAATGTGATAAAAGCATAAATCAAGGTTTTTAGAAACTTTTTGATTGAGTTGACTAAATTTGATAGATTTCCTATATAGGAGGAAATACATTGTTTCATAACAATATTTAATTTGTAAACCTAAATCTCTTCTCAGAAAATTTATTGAGAACATTAAGAAGCATTCAAAATTTAGTTATTGATTGTGACTTCTATGAAAAGTTAAGGATATTTTCATAAATTAATCAATGATATATCAAAATACTTATTACATCACGCAGTTATTCTTAATATTCTCAAAAATTGAAAGAAGTAGGGTAACGAACATTGCATCTTAATATTTAGTTTTTTCTGTTAAACAATTTGAAATAAATACAATGTTCCCTGAAGAGACGTTAATTCAAATAATATTTGACACCTCATTCAATTTATGGGGTATTTAATTTTATTCTTATTGCTTTTGATATTACAATGCCCAATCCAATTTACTTACGACATTATTGATCATAAAATTTTCAATATTGATCATAGAAACATTTTTACTACTATCCGTATTTAACTACGATATCAATCAAAATACACTTTCACCATTATTTTTCAAAATACCCATTATATTTGAGGTTTCCTCAATTGTTTTTGAGAGCATTAAACTTTGGACAAAGATAGTAGTTATATCGACTTTTAATAATCAATAAGTTATTTTCATTTTTATTTTGAAAAGTCATTTTTCATTTTTAATCAGTCATTTCAAATTACCTCTTAATCATCCATCTATTAGTTACGGTTTCAGAATATTTTCGATTCAAAAACGCGCGGCAAATTCAAACTTTTTTGGTCACTCAAAAGTAAAAATCTCTTTCCATTCAATTTCCTTTTTATCCATTTTATGTGAGCTCACTATACAGCAATAACTACAAACATACAGTTTCCTCTTTCCGAATCGATTTTTAATATAAAAATTGAACGTATTTGCCAATAATAATTTTATATATGATAGCTAATTTCATTTTGATAACCAGAAGAATCAAATTGTCAACACCAAATTATAAAACTACATTCAATTAATCCAAATATCTTATTTGGGCGCTTCTAATTTTTAAACATGATAATTCTTAAATTTGATATGATAAGGTATTATAAAATAGGATGGATTTACATATGTTTATTTCACTAGCCAAATATAATACAAGCCTGGTATAAATTGAATACAAACTTTACTTTACTCTATAAAGAGATGACATTTTTGCTTTTGTAATCATATACAAGCAAAAATATCTTTAGGCAAGGCCATTATTAGATTATAAAAGCCAGCTTAGTTGATTTTAACTAAAATTGGGCAGAATGAGATAGATATTTTCAATACTGTATTAAATCTAAATAACTTTTCTTGATGGCAGTTGATAATATTTATCATTTCGATCTAATACAGTTTTTGGAAGAATATTATTGAAATGAAATTCATTTTTTGCCTTTTCGTGGTGGAATAGGTATCGTTTGAGCATCAAGTTTTTTGCATATCATTTCATATTCTTGATCAATATCTAGAGCTCCATGTGCAACTAAAAATTTTTCAATATTTCTATGTCTATTTATTGAAGCCCAATATCTAGGAGTAGTGTTTGATGTTGTTAAAACATTTGGATTCACATGCATTGCAATAAGTAATTTAACAATTTCATCAGCTCCACTTTCTGCTGCATAATGAAGAGGACCCCAATAAACGTATGACAAATTCCAGCATTATCTTCAGCAGCTAAATTAGCTCCATTTCTAATGAAAGTAGTAAATAATTCAATATTATTTGATATTGATGCAAAGTGTATTGGGAGTCTATGAATAAATGATGAATACCATTTTTAAAATAAAGAGAATTTTATCTGTTATATTTATATCAGCACCTAAGGCAATAAGCATATTAAAACATCTTACTGATCCATAAAATGCGGCTACGCTAATAATTGGAGGGTCATTTGTAAGTTGCCAATCTATATTTTTGGAAATAGCTTCACTTAACAAATCTTTTTGTAATATCAGGTTAGGTGAATACTTACAAGTAATACACTTGGAAAGTTCACATTGCATATCTTTCTTTAAGATCTTATATACAGTATCCAACATTTTTTACTAAAATTAGAAAACGTGCACAATTTGGGGTCCGCTAACAATTATTTGGGGGTGACAATAAGGGATGGATGGCGTGAAATTTGCTCTTTCTTCGATTATTGCACTAGGAGAAAAGCTTAAAATAAGTGTATCACGCATCAGAAACGACAAGTCACCGGATGTAATTAAAAATCTTCAAAATGCAATAAACGAATTTGATTCAAAAATCTACAATTTTCAAGAATTAGTACCAAAAACGAAAGTAAAAGCTGAGCCAACTCCAACTCAAGTAACACAAAATCTCGTTGAAGGCTTTGAACATAGAAAAGAAAAAGTTTATTCCCGTTACTCTGAAGAAATCACTCAAATCAATCAAAGATACAAAAACTTACGTAAACAGATTGTTTCCAATACAGAACAATACTGCAACAAAGTTTTCGAAATTGAAGAAAAATTTAAAGCTGATATTGAGAAAATGGAGAATGAAAGAGACCAAGAAATAGAAAGGAGAAGGTCCATTGTTGATGCCCAGATCAAACAAATCGATGACAGACTTCGGCCGATAAAAAAGGAATTTAAGATCAAAACACAAGCGAAAATCGAAGAGGTTAATCAATTAAGCGAGAACACATACAATCATTGGCAAGAATCAATTGCAACAACAAAACAAGCAATTATCGATGTCGACAAGGAATATGCTGAGAAGGAAGAGTTTTTCATTACAAGTGAACAAGACATAATTAATGGATTTAATAAAAAGTGTGCAGAAATACGAGATGTTCAGGATGTCGAAATTAATAAAATTATTGACGAAAAAAATGATATTAAGAAGTTGATTCATAGAGAAAAGGATAAAGTTTTATCACTAAAAGACAGAGAAAATATGACTGTTCAAGCTTACCATTCAAATTATACAGGAATGGTTGCAAAATTATCTAAACACCATACAACACAAATGAAGATACTCGAAATCAAGATAGCTGATGCAAAACAAAAGGCTATCAATCTAACAAAAACTTATAATGAACTCACACAAAAATTTAGTTCTGAAATCTTAGTTAATACTAATGAAGTAGATGATGCTGTTCAAGAAGTACTTGATAAACGACCAAAGCTAGTTGATGATGCTATTAAAGAGAAAACAGCAGAATTTTTGAAACAAATTGAATTATTAGAATCAAAAGTCAGCTCTTTACAAGCTGAAATCAACTCGAATATCAAGGAAGCCAATGAAATCGTGTCTAGAGTCCATAAAGAGATGAATGACCGATTAAATCAAATTCAAGATGCAAATGATAAAGAAGTTCGTGAACTAAGCGACGAAATCACTAAAATTGTTCAATACAAGAGTAAGATAGAAGGAGAAGAGAAGACTCTCAAAGATTCTACCGAAATTATTTTCCAATCTCAGCTAAATAACCTGAATTTCACTTTTACTGCCATGAAAAGAAGGCATGCTGAAGAAATAGAAACAGTTACTGCTAGAGAAAAACCAGTTGAAGAGTTTATTGACTATGATAAGTTGTTAGAAGACGAAATAAACAAGATTGACACAGAATACAGACAAGAAGAAGCTGCATATGAAAAGGAAAAGTCAGTTTTGCTTGGAGTCAAAGCAGAAGAAGACAAATCTCGCGGATACCTCGAAACTCGTAAGCAAAATGCTCCGGAAATCACATCCATGAAAGAAACAGCCGATGAACTTAAAACAAAACTCCATGATGTTACTCTCCGAGCCGATTCTGGAAAAGCAGCTTCCGCATCTCAACTTGAAAGCGATAAAAAAGCCTTGGAAATGAAATTAAACGCAACAATAGCCCAAATAGAACGTCAGCATCAAGATAAAATGAACATGTTGCGTAAAGAAAAAGAAGCATTTCAGAATCAGTATGAAAAAACACTTTCTCTTTTCGAAGAGACAGAAAAATCAAACAACGAAGCAAAAGTAAGGGCCAAACTCGCAGACGAAATGAATGCAAGGATCCCAGAACAGATGAAAGAAGAAGCTAAAAAGAAAAGAGAAGAATTACTCGAAACTTATAAAGACCAAGCATTTGATGTCAACAAGAAACTATCAAAACTCGAAGCACAAAAGAAAGAAGTTCAAGAAAAGACAGAAACGACAGTTAAAAGAGCAGAATACTTGAGACAACAGATCAGCCAAAGAAAGATGGAATACGAGAACACGTTAAATGAGGGAATAAAACAATTAGAACATGAATATGAAGTTAAACATAAAGAACAAGACCAAATCATCGAAAAAATGAGAGAAACGTATAAACAAAACAAAGACTCATTGCTCAATGAAATCATTGATAGATCTAAGTCAGCAGATGCTCTTTTGGAGAAGGTAAACAAGATAGAAAAGAACAGTGAAATGGACATTCAGAGATTAATTGAAGGAAAAATTGATGAATTAACAGAAGAACACATGAAGAAACAGAACGAAAGAAGAGATATCCTGTCGATAGAAACGAAGAAACTACAAACAGAGATTGATAATGTTTTGTTCGAAATAAAGAAGGAAAAGAATTGGAAAACACAAGACAACAGAATGCTTTTGACAAGGAAATTCGAAGAAATGGAGAAAGAAATGAAAAAGAAAAGCGAAGAAGTCGACAAGTTGAATGCAGAGATAGAGAAACTCAAAGTTAAATTAGATTCACAAACTAACTCTCCTTGCAAGAACTGTCCAAAAGTTGCAGAAGAAATCGAATTCGTTAAGAAAGACATTTTAGATATAGTTACGAAAATGCAGAGTTTAGAAGCAGAAGAAACAAACAGAAACTTCATCGCAACACACTTCGGAACTAAATCTTTACCACCTTTGAAAACTTAACACATATTATTTTGTATATAATTTTGTTTGTATAAATATACCTTTTGTATTTTAATTCCTCGTCAATTTAATTAATATTATTATTCATTATCTATGAAAGTACTTTCATTACAGTTTTATCGAAGCTAAATCATACTCATTTGGAGTTTGAGATTGGTTTTAATAAAGAATGCAAATTTTAATGCAAATATGGTTTTAATGACATATTTGAGATTGTGTTGAAATCAGTTTCTATGTCGAATTCTCAATTGAAATATATTTTGATCACATGTGCATTTCTTTGGTATTATTTTGATTTCAACAGGAATAGTGAATTTGAATGGACTAATTTCATTTGTAAATGGTTCATTAACTTGATTTTTAGTGGTTACCCCTATAAGTTTCTCTTTATCTTTATCGAAGTAACTATCAGAAAGAGTAACTTCTGCTAGAGAATTAATAGAAAATACGGTCACATTTGTATTATTAATTATGCTGCAGTGTGAGAAAAGTGCATTTATTTTATCGCAATAAATAATAAGATTTTTATTAGGAAATGAATTTCCGATAATGTTGCAATATTCTGTTGTCATAGTATACTTTGGATCGCTGCTTTCTCCTACATAAATAATACAATTACCTTTATTTGCTGTGTTATTTGAGAATTGAGAATAGTTTGCAATTGAGTCAGATTGATTTGAATAAATTCGAATTGCAGATGCGGTATTGACTTTATTGAAACTTACATTAGAGTTTTTGAAACATGTTTTTCCTTTTTCTGATGAATATATATAACTGGCGTTTTCATTTTCGCATTCTGAAATAGAAGAGATTACGGAATAACTAACGTTTTTATTTGAAATCGAAATATAGCAAAATTGACCTTTTTGGGTAGTTTCTATTGTTGTGCATCTAGTTGCTGTAAATTGATATTGGATGATAGAACTTGAACCAGAAAAGTAAATAGCTCCACCATTGCCGTTATTTGTACACTTATTAAATTCACATTTGTAATGAAGGAATTCGCAGTCATCTGAATTAAAATTTATTGCCGAGCTGCGAAGTTTCACAAACTTGCAATTAGATAGAAAATATGAATGACTTCCTGTCGGAATCTTTGCATTTTTCCCTGAAATCGTTTTCTCTGGCCCATTTGATTGATAAAATGTCTTCCAGATAGCTGCATCAATAAAATCAAGACGCAAACGCAAAAATTGTAGCATTTTAAAAATTTGAGATATTTGTCAGATCCGATCAATACGATCATTTTTACATCAAAACTTATACGAAAAAACTAGCCTCAGTACACATTTCAAAAGGATCAGATATTGAAATTCAAATAAAAGATTTTTCAAAGATTGAGAGAAATTATGTGATTTTTCCTATCTCAAAATTGACAGGACAGATTTTCTAGATACACAGAGTATAAGGTCTGTATAGCATGCGTGCAATAATCCTTGAATTATAAGGCTTAAATCTGGTTAGAAAAGAAGTGTCTGTGCCTTTTAAAAATTTTCGCAAATTATTGCAAATAATCGATTCAAGGGAAATTGTGATATCTCAGCTCATTACGTGAAAACAGTTTTTAGTCTTTGCCATTTTGCTCACTTAATTTGAAATCTTCAGAGTTGAAAATCTAGTATCTCTCTTTTATGGTAAGATTTCTTTAGTTTCGTATTCTGGGATCTTGATGATGTGTGAACATGTCGAAACAGTTGGAAGTTCGTTGTTCGGAAGTTGACCTTCGTCCATGAATCGCATGTTGACTGTGATCTTTGGCGAAATAGATGAAAGTCCGCCTGGTGGAAATCGTGTGAAGCCCGTCATGAATGACAGAACAAGTCGTTGTTCATCTGCAGATAATAACGATAAAATTTGAGAAGGCTATTGAGAGATATAGTACACAATTTGATCTCTATTATATGCTCTCAACTTTGAATGAAAGCTCATAGGGTAATTTTCCTTTTTTTTTAATTCGAAAATTATCGTGATTTCCGCCCAATAAAATATTCAAATTATTCAACCTCATGGATGTACTATTTGTTTGAGTAAACACGAAGATAATTTAGAATCAAATTGGAAAAATGTGTTTAGATAATATTTGATTGCAGATGAAGTTTGGTTTTGTGTGTTCAACATATTTCGGCTATGTTTAATGATATATGATTAATATTAGAAAAAGGAAGTGAAATTGAAGAAATCGGCTTGAGAATTGTTTGCGAAGCTCCGGCCTTTGCCGAAGTTAGAGCCTGAGAGTTTCATTAAGACCAAATTATTTGACAGAAATATAAATACAAAATAACTTTAATTTCAAATTTTGTTTAATCAAAGTCTGGATCATCATTAATAATTTCTAAAGAAGGCAAATCAGGTTCATCTCCAATCTTGCGTTGATGGCCATTGCTATACAAGAAAAATGTTTTAATACCAGGAATCATCATAACAATACTATCATTCATTCTGAAATACTTCGCAAATGTTTTGATATCTTCAATAACGTCATCTTCTGCGCCTTGTTGTGTTGCATATCTGAATAAGATACCTCCAAAGAGAAATCCATAAGTGTTCATAAAAGTATATGGAATCACATTTTCACACCTGTCCAAACGATCAGCAAAAGATTTCATCAACATTTCTCCTAATATTTTGGTATCATTGTAATCTAACTTGGAAAATTTGTTGAAGTACAAAAAGTGATCAACTATCCGCAAATTCCCCCCTCTAAATCTCAATACAATGTTTGGTTGATAATATGACCGAATATATTTAATAAGTTTGCAATTAGGGTCTAGTTTAATGCATCTTTGCATAAAATTATATCGAAATGCCTCAACAGATTCTGCCCATGGGGGAAAGCTTGTAGGAACACAATATTGTTTCTTTTTTTCTATTTTTGGAGGGTTGGTACTAGTTTGTTTAGGATGATGAATAAAATATCTGAGAATGTATGAAATTAACTGCAATATGAATGCTAAAATGTTCCTTGATACTTTGATTTTCATAATATTTCGCATGTCAAAATATGTGTCAAAAATTTTTCTTTGAATTTCAAAATTCAAAAGAAACTTGCTTCCTTCATATACTTTCCAATTCAAAGACCAATTTTCAAATGCCAAAATTTCAAGCTACTTTCAAGTCCTAAAATTTCTTAACACCAAAGATGAATGTAAGATTCATCCATCGGAGCATTTTATTTTTACATAAAATAAATACTTATGTGCTACATTCGAGTTGGATTTTTATCCTAGTTAAAGCTGACAATAGGCATTGATATTGTATAGTTAATGAAACTTCATATCTGTTTAAAGCAAACATATTTCAATTGAATGAAAGCAATTTTTAATCTTTGGAAAAAGAAATTTTATTTGTGTAAAATATTATCATCCTTTCAATATCTCCAAAATATTATCATCATTAATAAATGAACAAAATATATTTTATTTATATATTGAAACCAGTTTCACATTCGCGACAGGCATAAAGAAGTTTTGATTTCATGATTTCTTTAGTTTCGTATTCTGGGATCTTGATGATGTGTGAACATGTCGAAACAGTTGGAAGTTCGTTGTTCGGAAGTTGACCTTCGTCCATGAATCGCATGTTGACTGTGATCTTTGGCGAAATAGATGAAAGTCCGCCTGGTGGAAATCGTGTGAAGCCCGTCATGAATGACAGAACAAGTCGTTGTTCTTCAGCTGGTAACTCACACAGGATGTCAATAAAAAAGCCAATCTGTGGACTGTCGAATGTGTAGCCAATCCCGGCAACAATGTTCTTCTTAAGATCATCGCGTGTGAAGAATGGATCATCACCACGAATGATGCGACAGATCTCGTTTTCGTCAAAGATTTCGAATGTGTTCCAACTCATAACACTGTTGAAACCTTTACGGAATGCATCTGCATGGTCAACAAGTTTAAGACCACTTGTGTAACTCATAACTAATTCAACAAATTCATCAACATTGTCTTCACTGACTTTCTGTGTTTTACCTCCATCGACCAACTCGATGTTTGGAAGACCTGGGTATGTGAAAGGAAGTCCCAACAATCCTTCTGTGACCATCAATGCTCTCGCAAGTTCTGCATCAACCAAATCAATGCTAACTTGTGGAGATCTGATGAAAGAAAAGAAAGCTGGATTGAAATCTAAGTCAACAACAAATTCTTGCTGAATAACTTTAGCAAGGAAAACCCCAAGAACATAAAACATCTGTGGATCAGCAGAAGGATTAATAAATAATCCTTGTTTGCAACTAACAAATTCGCTGTTTGGATTTTCTGTCCTGAAAAAGTGACGTTTTGTTCTTGTGAATTCTTTTGCCAACAAAGAATAAAATTCTCTTGTCGGACCTGCTCCGGACTCTGTTTCTCCAAAGAATGAGACATTTAGGTTCATCATATTCGGTCCGAAATGTCTCATTATCAACACTCCATCAGTAAAAATAGATTTTCTATGACAGAAAATTTTGACTGATTGTGGCTCAGGAATTTTCGACTGCAAAGGAATGTGGAACTCCCTGGAAAAGATGCGGATGGCAGAAAGTGGCTCAAATGTAGCAAATTTAAGCCACATAAACCGCATTTTGAAGTCGAAAAATGATGGATATTTGTAAATTGTCGCCATTTCGGATGAAAATCGACCAACACTGGCTAATGGCTCTGAAAGACAGTTCATAATACGTGCATTGAATGCTGTATTGGCTATTGATTCACCGGTGAAGAACTGGAGTCTCAAAAGAAGCTCAAATATTTGGACATTTTTCTGATTTGGCTGACTTTTGAGAGAAGGAGGGCTTTGCTCGATATCTCCATCGAGAATCTTAATAAGAAGACCTGTATCAAAGATATTCTGTGGTCCTTCTGATGTATCGCATAAAGCAGAAAAAATTGAATCGCACCAAGAGTAAAATCTGTCTGCTACTTGCATGTGGACCTTAGGATACGAGTTGCTTGAGAAAGCCCTATATAACAATGCGATTTTGGAAGGTTTAAGGGTCTGATTTATCTCAATTAATTGTTGTAACTCGGAATTTGAGGAAATTATTTGGGGTAATCGCATAGAATTGAATCCTCTAACTACACTATTGTATCTGCCTTCGATAGAAGCCATTGAATCAAAGGCAAAAACTGATAATGGATATTGTTCTCCGGTTGGAGAGATAACTGTAACGAAAACAGGCTTCTGAGCTATTCTACTAAAGCTATCTGTTGTACATATAGCTCCCAAAGGCGCTGGCTGCAAGAATGATAAAATACCAACAGTATATTCTTGCAATTTCTTCAATCTTTCGACGTCATTATTATCAGATGATACTAATCTGATGCATAAGTCTAACAAATCCGAAGAAATGAAAGCAAATTTTGAGACAGGTTTCCCAATTATATAATCTATAATAGCTGGAAGGTTTTTAGACTTCAAGTCACTAATAGGAAGCGATGTTGTACTATCATCTATCTTCTTCATTATGTTTTTCACTGTTCTTTGGTACCATTGTTTAATTGAATCGTCAACAATTGGAACATTCTTAAGGGAACTGACAATATCAGAGTCAGCAATCATTTGTAAGTCTTCAAAATAAGTAAGAATAGATAAAACAATGGGAGAAACAGAAGATATCGGAGCAAAACTTACTAAAGAAGCCAAAAGATTCTCATTCATGCTGAATGGTTGAACAGTTAAGGTTGCAGCTAATGCAAGTAAAGCAGATCTTGCGAAAAGTGGTCTTTCAGTAATAACTTTGATTATAATTGGCTGAACATCGATTGCGAACTTTCTAGACTCTACAGGTCTTCTATGTCTTGGATAAAGGAATAATTCTGCGTTTTTAGGGACAGGAAGCAAATTTAATAATAATTTGAAAATTAATCTTTGGAATTCAACCGAATTATTAAGAATATATGGGTTAAACAGTATCTTATCGAAATCTAGATTAGCCAAAATGATGCATTGTATGTGTTTTCTCGTTGTTGAGAGATTAACTAAAGCTCCAAAAAGTTGTGTAATAATATCAGTAGAATCTGAGTGGGAAATAGCTGTACAGATCTTCACGATGACATCTTTTGAAATAGATTTCTCTGGAACACGAGATGCGATGTTATTTAATACTGTAACTGCAGGTTCATGAATAGACTGCTCAGTACAGAGTAAGAAGCTTACTATTGTTGACAAATATGGGATAAATGAATCTTTGACATATGAATTTGTAATTCTTAAAACGATTTTCATGGCTGTAGCTTGTTCATTTGATGAAATCTTGTCAATGTACTTAAGAAATGGCTCTATACCTATCATTTGGCCGATCCTTGTGCTAAAATCCGAAAAATCAGTCAGTTTATCAAAAATTCTGATGCAATTCTCTGCAGTTTGGACAGAAACCCAGTCTAACAATCTAGAAGCAAGTATTGCAAACCCATTGATTGCAAAAATTACTTTAATATATTGTGGTTGAGATTCAACAATCCACAAAAGGCAAAGAGTTGCTGGATCAGTAACATCTGCAATGGTATTTGTTTTGAGAATATTTAATAAAGCTGTGCATATCTTATCAAACGGGCATAATTGAGATGAAATATTTTGGGAATAGCTAAGATACAATGATAATTCTCGTAAAATCTTCACTATATCTGCTTGCTTGTTGTTTAATTGCATTAATAACTGATTAAAGACATTTGCTTGTTGAAGATTATCCATTCATCGAAATAACTTTCAACAAAAATGATTACACTACGTGGAAAATATTTAAGATAACTTAATAAGCAAATAGTTTACAAACAGAAAACATTATATTACCAAAAATAAAATATATGAAATAATAATCAATCAAATAACTCTCTATAATCTGACCGAATAACAACACTATTTTATATATATGAGTGGGTTGAACCGAGATTCATTTATATGAAATCATTATGAGATTATCAAGTGAATTTAAGGTTCATTTATAGGAAATCATTATTTAACCAATTAATTTATGAGATTGTGATGTATCAAAGCATGCTTAATTAAATATTCAAGACTTTCATTAACTTACTTCCATGATCATCTAATTTCTTATATCTAGCTGTTTTCTGCTCTTCAGTTTCAGGCAATTTACCTTTGGCAACAAGCTCTTCAATGACTTTATTTATTGAATCTTCTATCAAAATTAGATTTTGGATTGGAACATTCAGATTATTATTATCAGCATTTGATTTTATGCATGATAATATTTGCATTTGTAATTGTAATATAATATTTTTCAAAATCTTTGAAGCTTCTGGTTCATTATCTTCTTTTGGAGCTAATAAACTCGCTAAGTATTGCTGAGAGTTATCGATATGACTTTGTATATCATTTATTTCTTTATCAAGTTCTTCTATCTCTTCTGAATAATCGTATTGTTGGATTTCGTCAAATATGTCTTGCTGTGCTTCAAACATTTGGTCTAAATATTTATTTTCTTCTTGAATTTTTTTATATTTCTCGAGTGCTGTTTGAGCAATGATTTCGACCATTCTAAAAAATGAAGAAATATGATCTTCTGATCATGAACAAACACTATAGTTGGCATATATAAAAATTATATAAAAAATGTGAAATTTTTATCTCTATAAAATAAAATAATTTTTCTTATTGAAGGATTCGTTGCAAAATAGCCTTCTTCTGGCGTTGATTTGCGTATTTGCCCATTACAGCATCCAAAATATCCTGGCTCTGCATACATAATGTCTTGAACAATGCCTTTCCTTGAGAAACAACATTTTCAGGGACATTTCTCTTTACAGATTTTGCTGGAGCCTCTACAAAGAACTTGGAAAGTGCAATAGCTGCCTGAGCAGTTGTTTCCAATGAATAGCTTCTCTTGAAAATAGAAACAATTAATTCAATTTGGGTTTCAGTTTCAGCCAAATCTGCAGGAGGGAAGTATCTCAAAGATGTCTGCAAATACTCTTCAGGGAATGATGCATCAACAGATGCAACTGATAAGAAGAAGGAAACAATATTAGCAATAAGTTCTTTGTATCCTGATTCTTGTTCAATAGCTGTAGCAAACCAATTCTGCACGTAAGGAAGCATTCCACTGACCATTCCATGCAAGTTGGGGAACCTTCTAACAATGAGAGACAAGAAATAAGAAAGATTATGCTGCAAATCAGGATCATCAATTTGACCTGCAATAGAAATGATATATTCACAGAATTCTGTTGGTATTTGTGGATCAATTGTGCAGAATTCGATTGCATCAGATAAAGCTCCTGTAATAGGATACATTACCAACATTCCTTCTGCATTCTTGAGCCATTTAAGTAAGTATCCAGCAATATCATTTGCTTGTGGCAAGTTTAATTGCAAAACTTTGCCAACAAACTCACAGAAAGGCTCAGCAACAATATTTGTTACAGGACTCTCCAAAGCAGGTACTCCTTCGAAAACTTTGAGTTGTCCATCGAAGAATTTTTGAATAATATCGATTGCAACTTCAACAAAATGGTCTTTTTCGAACAAGAAACCTTTCTTGTAAGTTTTCTTCAATGCTTGGAATGCGCATTCCATTATATCAGTTTCTGGACTCTTAATTACACAATCAGACAACAAATCATATATTTTAACTATGTTTGTATGCAAGAAATTATTCATTTCTTCATCTTGTGATGGATTGAAGACCTTTGAAATAACACTTGCTGCAATACATGCATTTATGGTTGATGAAAAGACAGAATTCTCAAATGTTTTGATGATGCATTGAACGGTTATTTGTAAAAGTGACAAATTTCCAGAATAACCGATGTAAAAACTTGCCGCAATCATTGCATCCAGGAAAACACGGGATTCTTCATCTCCTGACTCTGGATGTTGTAATATATCATCAAGGTTCTGTTGGAAAGGTTCAATTACAGGTGCTGCATCTGCTTTGAATGTACTGCAGATTGTTTTCATGAAATTGAAACAGTTGCAAATGTAATCATCATTGACATTTTGACCTTGTAAAGTTTGAGTTATGATATCAGATGCAATTGTTACTAAATCATCAATAAAAGAGTTTTGGGCGACCATCAATGCACCAATAACTAACAATGAATAAGAGCGAACATCGATGTCACGTTCTTCAGATGTAATTGTGTCAAGCCACTCATATATTTCGTCAATTTTTTCATCATCGATATCCTCTGAATTTCCAAGAATTTTTGACACCAACGATATGTAATCTGTCAAATTTTCTTCACGAACTTCTGACTGTTTTGACCAAATTATTTCGAAAATGGTAGCGAATGTTTCACTGTCATCTTCTGCTTCTATCAATTCACCTGCTGTTGAATACGCCAATGTCCTTGTCGCTTCATCTTCGTCAACAATTTTGTCAAAACAAATTCTCAAAAAGTCGATTAAAATTGACATGAATTTTGTTGGCGCCTGACTGAATTTTGCCATTACATGCAATGTCTGCTGGACAATCAACTCATCGTTAGTCTCAACAGCAGAGTTGAAGAAATACTTGAGTTCTTCAACAGTTGCTTGAATAGAATCAGGTCCGTATTCAATCAAAACTCCAATCAAACAAATAGACAAAATCTTTTTGGAAATAGAATCTTGTGATTGACCAAATTCGATGGCTTTCTCGTATATGTAATTTCCGATGTTGCGCGTTTGAATAGCACCTGATATATTCAAGAAAACATCATCGGAAATCTTGCCATCGTTGTCTAAAAGTTTAAGAATTATTTCAAAAGTGAAATTAACATATGCAAGAAGAGTTTCTTCGGAAATAACATCTATTACATCTGTCACACCATCAATAAACTGTTGGCATGCTTCAACACCTAATGTTTCTTGATTTTGGATGAATTCATTAAGATATTTTGCAAAATACTCTTCACTGATGAATTGATGAGAAATTAAGGATGCCAAGATCATTGATAATGAATGTATTGCATCATCTGGTTTCTCTGAAAGGTTTGTAAAGCCTGTTTCGATAATAATTAATCCTTGTTGTGTAAATTCTGAAAAACAAGGTAGATCGTCGCACATTAATATAATGGAAGTAATTTCTTTGATCTGTTTAAGTTGTGTAGCTTCAAAAACTTGAGAGGCCAACATTAAAAGTTGTGGACCATGAGCTTCAATGATTGTTGGGTCCAAAGCAACTGAGCAACTGTTTAAAAGCCTCAAAGCTAATGATGGTTCGCAGTTTAGAACAAATTGAATGTAATTTTCCCAATCGCTAATTGATTTTTGTAAAATAAACAATATTTCTGAAACGTCTATTTGATATTGATCTTCAACACCAGCTGCTGCGTATTGTACAAAGAATTGATAAATCTCATTCGAAATTTCTGGAGGAAATGTACTTAAACTTTCTCTAATGTATTTTAAAAGATATGTTAATGCTGATTTTGTATCCTTCCCGTTTGCTTGGATAACGAATAATAATATTTTATAGTAATCTGGATCATTTTTGAGATTAAAGAGCTCTTCTGTCGCTTGATTGATTAATTCTTGATTAGGTTGCAAAGACTTCTCAACAAGACTGATAAAATAATTAGCTTTGTCCTCCATTAAAATCTGGTCATAGAACTCGGACGATAGAAGATTTTAAAGAAAAATCATAAGATCAAAATACATTTTACAATAAAATTTATAAATAACAATGGAGTTTTAGAAAATCAACTTTTTAATTATTAACAGTAGGTATTAATCCGAATAAACTATAATTTAGAATATGACACTTTTTTGGAATTGGAATAACTGAGTTTATCCATATTGCCGATATAGGGTCGAAAAGTGACAATAATGGAATAATTGAATTAGAATAGGGTTTGCTAGTAAATTAGGAATTGGAATTTGGGATTTTGAATTAGAATATAATTAAATCACACATATTTTTCTTAATAATAAGATTGAATATTTACTCGCGAATATGACAAAAAATGACCATAAATTCTAGATATGTACTATATGGTTATATTACTATGATGATTTATATAAGGTATATATAAGGTGTATTAAGGATGTCAATTTGGAAGAAAAGTGAGAAAATTCCTAAAATGCTAAAAATGAATTTTCCAAACGTGCTTTTTTATCTCATTTTTTTGATTTTGAAAAAAATTTGGAGAGAAGATCTCTTCGTTTTTGAATTTTATCACGATGGTTTTAAAGTATATTAGACACATGTATTGATATTACTATTTTTGTATATTTTGAGAGAAAATCCCCAAAAAGTAAGAAAATCTAAGACGGTTTGAGAAAATATATAAACTATTGAAAATTTGAATTAAACTTCTAATTTGGAAAAAAGAAATTTGGAAAGAAGAAAATTCAAAAATCGAGATTTAGACTCAGCGTCAAATGGAGAACAAAATGTTTCTTCATATGAAGGAAAAATTTTCTTGAGAAGAAATAGAGTTTTTAAAATTTTATTGTATGTAATGAAATAAACAAATATTAAAATTATTTTTTGATAACAAGAAAATTCCCAACAGAAAATATTTGAGACAAAGAAAAAAAGAAAATTGAAAAATATTACTCTTCTTTATATTTCATGAGATTTTAAATTTATTCTCATAAAATTGACAATTTTATACGTTTAGATGAAAATAAGTGATTTTGCTTGAAATAAAAGTTATTGTTTGCTTACAGCTATCAAATAGATTTTTGCTATTTTGATTAAAATTTGTTAATCAAATTAATAAATTTTTTCTAAATATCTTAAATATCTGGATCACTCACTGATACAATGAATTGAACGATAAAAATAATACAAACTCAAATAAGTTTCCTGTTTTTCAACTAAAAAAAATTATGCAAATTAAATTAAATTGTTTATTCAAATATAAAACAAAGATGAAGTAATTACAGTTATCATAAACTTTATGAATAACTCTGTAATTGGTTCAGATTTTCGTAAAAATATTTTTATTAATATCGATAAGAATACGTTACCTACTATCACAACATATCGATAAACAAGAGTAGAGTGATTTTTATCATCGAAACTTTTTAAAAGCTGTAAGCTGGAAGTAAAAATCTTGTTTTTTCTGAGTTAGTTGTAGAACTATTGATGCACGAGTTATCATTGTGATGTAGAAGGATGTCAATGTACTGACTGAAGGACATGAAGTGAATTGAATTTCATTGAATTTCAATTTGATCAAAATTTGTTGAAATGATATGAATGTGTCAACATCTGTATCACTCTCTTTCACTCCTTCCCTATTTTTTCGAGAACGAAGCTAGCTCAGCTTTCGCTGAGCGAATTGACACTTTTGATGCCCTAAACGTACATACTCTCAAATTTATCGAAAAAATTATACCACCCAAACTAGTATATTCTTATTTTAAATATGATATTATCCTTAGAAATCACACTAGAATATATTTAAATCAACTTTTAAAAAAGTTCGAATCCTGCGCGTCTCACTTTTTAAATTTTCCAAAAGGAAAATTATATTCTCCTAAAATGAAAACAATTTTCCGAATTGACATCCTTAGGTGTATATAAATTAGAATGCTAATTGTTAATAATATTGTAGTGTGAAATAATTTATGAATGAAAAGTGTGAAAAAATGTCACCATAAATATGACTAATGTCAATTTATACTTAGTAATACATATATTAAACACACTACTATAGTAGTATATATTACTATGTTTTGCCTATTCAGAGTTGTTATGGATTCATCTGCATCAATGAATTGGCATGCAAAAATTAACATATTCTCAATATAACTATACACATAACCCTAATATCAATATAAATACTGCATATGATATAACACATTCAAGACATATTATCAATATATCATAATTTTTCTCTGGTCTGAGATACCAATCTTTCTAATCTGTGATAAAGTAAAAAAAAAAGATTCACGGTTATTCTAAAAAGACAAATTAATGAGATTGCATTACAATGCATCTATTAGGAAATTTTGGTGTTAATAAATTGAATAGTTCGAGTTTAGGATTTTGACTTCGCTAAAAAAAATTGACTCAAAATACACAAAAAATGAAATAATTTGAAGTTAGAGATTGAATAATATTATGCATGAGGAGCTATTAAATAAAGTTGTGTATGAGAATATTGCACTTAGATTAATAGAAATAGAATTATAATTCAATAATAATGATGCCTGACGAAAATGATAATTTTGTCACTTTTTCCAGGCTAAATTGATAATAAAAAAATCGTTCAGATTTTTCTTTAACACATTATTTTCCACCAGCACACACAACCATATATCTTTTATTTATTTATATCAGCAATATATCTTTCATATCTATATCTTCAACAATATTTTCTATGTTGTTGATTCCTATTCCAGAAGCATCAATTTAATTCTGATGACAAATCTATCTTTCAATTCTTAATTATTGACAAGAATTTTTGATTCGGATAAAGTAAACTTTATACGCAATTCCAAATTCAAACCGATTCCTGATTCATGATTAATTCCATTATTGTCACTTTTCGACCCTATATCGGCAATATGGATAAACTCAGTTATTCCAATTCCAAAAAAGTGTCATATTCTAAATTATAGTTTATTCGGATTAATACCTACTGTTAATAATTAAAAAGTTGATTTTCTAAAACCCTAATATCTTCAATTAAAAGTGACTTCAAATGTGACAAAAATGACTGAAATTGAGGTGAAGATTTCAACTGATGAAGCTGGATACAAGAAGTTTATTCAAAACTATGCACTCAATATCACAGGAGTACTTCATCAGATGAATATTTTCTTTAATACTTATGATACAAATTTGAAGAGGTCTATGAGGTTAAGAAGAATCAAATCAGCTGAACTTCCAGTTCGCTGGGTATTCACATCAAAAGGTCCTGGATCTATTGTTGATGGTGTTTCGACACATAGTGAAATCGAAGAAGCTATCTCGGACGAGAATGCAAATTTAATCCTCTCCGATACAAAGAATCTTTATAAATATATTCCAAAGTGCATTGCTGATGCAGTCGAACCAACAAAAGACTCAGAATATTATCTCAGTGGCAATTTCTTATCAATTCGCCGTGTTGTTCCAATAGGTTCATTCACTGTGGAAGCTGATGAGTGCACATATCCTAATGGCGACAAATTCTATGAATTCGAGGTCGAATCGACAAAACCATTGGAAGCAAAGGCGGAAATCCAAAAGATACTCAATGACTTAGGTGTCAAGTTCGAAGAATCAAAGATTACAAAACTGAAAAGATTATTCAGCTATCCAAGAGAGCAAAGGATTAATCTTTCCATTCAATAAACATGCAACAATTATATAAATACATACATCTATATCTTTACTTATCCTTTCCTTTTCTCTAAATCAATTTTGAATTATTTTAAAATTTCAAAGAAATAACAAGTACCTCAACTCAAAAATGAAATAAGTACAAAGAGTAGAAGTAATTTAAGCTATAATTTATAAATTTATAACAAACATTTTATTCTAGATAAAATTTTTTTCATGTTAAGCTCTTCTTGACCTTTTCTTAGTTGTCTTTTTATGGGTTTCCAAATATCCTTGAATAAGATCTTGAACTTCTTGGGACTTTATTATGGAATCGAGAGTAAATATTTTGGATTCAAGAGATGGATTTCGTTTAAGAAGCAATTCAAGTGCAATTGGACAGTTTGCATAAATTGCTTGAATTGCTGGTGTGAAACCTGCTGGACTTTTCATTTCGATATCAAAATCTTTTTCTTCTAAAATCATCATTAGAAGTGGCATGATTTCAAATTGAATAGAGCGAAAAACAGCTTTATTGCTAAAAGAAAACTTGCCTGACTTTAATACACTACTCATTGCTACAGAACTGCATGATATAATTGCATCTTCCATGGTAAATGGTGCGTTTTCAAAGTTATCTAATATCCAATTAGCAATTTGATAGTGGTGATGCATAATTGCTTCAGTCAAAGTATTATTAAAAGATAATCCTCTTTGATAAGCTAATTCGATTATCTCTCTATTTCCACCTTTAACACAATATTTGGCTGTTTCTGAATCGAATTCAACCCCATTAATGCATAAGAATTTGAAGATATTAAGGCTTCCACAATAAGCTGCCAAATTTGCAGGGGAAATCTTACTCTTATCAAGTTTAAATTCTAAACTAGGACATTCTGTTCCAGGAACTTGTCTCATAAATGATTCAATCTTATCATTCTGAACTAATTTTTCGAAAGAATCATCTTCGAAAACTTCTTCCATTTCCTTAAGCGTTAAACCTCCAATGTTCGTTCCCAAGACTTTCATTTTTGGAAGAACCTTCGAAACTGATAAATAAGTGATAAATAAACTCTGAGGAAATGGAGGAACTTTGCTTCCAAGGCTCTGGAAAAGCCTTTTATATAAAGGAAAATGAAATCTTGTTATAGTTGCAGCTAAATTGATTACTTCTGCAATATAATTAACTGAAACGTTTGATTTAAGGAGTTTTGGAATAGTTTCATTAATATTTTCTATATTTAAGGAGAAAATAAGTTGTTCTATGTTGTTATACTCAATGAGCTCAGGTGTTATAGCATCTATCTCACGTATTCATTTGACATTGAGAAATTTTTCCAAGATGTACGTTTAGAAATTACTGGATGAAGGCAACTAAGACTGCTCCACTTAATTACGTATATGTTTTACGTAAAGGGAGCAATGACAAACCAAAGAGAGTTTTCCTATGCAAGAATAATAAAGAATTTCAAAATTCTTGCAAAGGATTTCTAAAAGATAACGAAGCTATTGGAAAAATCTGGACAAAGCACGGAAGATTAGTAAAAGAAATCTCAAGAGTCCACGCTGGAGCTACATTAGAGTTAGAAATTGTTGATGAAAATTCATTAGTACACCAATCTATTCCTCAGGATAATCTTAAGAACATCAAGAAATACAGAGGTGCATCTAAAATGTTTACCGTCGTCGAGGATGAAAAAGAAAATGAAGAACCGGAAAATATAATGGAAGGTGCTATTAAATTCGATTTTACATCAGATCCTACGAATCCTGCAAATAAAAAGCAAGAAAAAGTCGAGGCAACCAAAAAGAAATCCATTATTAAGAAAGCATCAGAAATTAATCTTGAGCAAGCACTGAAAAAATACACATACTCACCAACCAAGCTTAGTAGAGTTACCATTGATGATGTTTCATCAGGCTCAAACTCTATGATGTCTACTCTTTCACAATGGAATACACTAGGAGTTGATTATCAATCAATTTTCAATGCATTCCCTCAAAAAGAAAAAGATGAAATACAAAACATATTTAATAGAGAAAATGAACACGCAAACTACTGGGTTAGAGGCGTAGAAAGACTTGCATTCGAAGAATTTGGTGTTGATACAAGATTTATTCAGTTCTTACCTGATATTATTGATCATATCAAAATGAAAGGAATGTCAGCAAATACAAGAGTTCTTTCTAAGTATATTTATCATACATTTAATCTTTTCATTTATGGTCCTAACAAATCCGGAAGGACAACAATGCTGTACCTTGCTTGCGTTGAAGCTGCAAAAACTCTTGGAATTGCAAACGAATGGAAAGATAATCTCTTTCTTCCAATTGACGCAAGAAAGATTATTGATGAAAAACCAGATGCAACTAATATGTATCATTCACTGGTTTCTAAAGCTTGCAATGCAATTGCAGCAGAATTTCCTATTTATGCAAGATCGGCTTCAGAAGTTTCAGAATATTTAACAAAATTACCTAATTTGCATCCAGAAAAACTCTTTTTAAACGATACTTGCCTTGATCCTGAATTCAGAAAAGAATTGAAGAAAAAGATTACAGATATCCTTGAAGGAATGTCAGAATCATTTTCATCAAATGATAATCAATTCCTGGCTGAAAGCATCTGGTCTGTACCTCAATTACTTACTGATGCATTTGGTATTAAGAAGCTGGTTTATGTTATGGATAATCTTGAAGCATCTGATGTTACATTCATCTTCTCAGAAGAAACAAATGCAACTTTCCTTTCAGAGATTGTCTTGCTTGCATTGGCATCTAACCAATATATAACTACTATTGGTGATCAAAAGCGTTTCTCCCCGTTGTGCATTCCATTCACATCAAATGGACCAAACATTTTAAGTATTTCACAGGTTATAACAACATATGACATTATTGATGAGTATTCTTTCTTGTCGCGTGCTATTGTAGTTAATACTACTGGAAATCTTCCAATTAAAATCGACATCCCAATGCTCGGAGGAATTCCTGCCTATGTCTTCAAATTCCAAAGAGTTGGAGAGCTACTTGATGTAGCTGAAAGATGTGGCGATGATGAAGAACAAAAAGTGGAAGCACTGGCTGAAATCGACGATATTGTTTCAGATTTGCTTAATATTGTTTTCCCAGATCAGAAATTTATCATTGAAAAGGTCCAGCTTTCTTCATCAATGGGCTTTTAAACTTTGTTCATTATTGTTTTAATAAAATTTTGTATTTGAGAAATTATAATATATATTTTTAAGGTATATCTATATTATTTCAAACATTACATGGAATACGTTTTAAATCATATAGATAAGTTGCATTCAATTTAGTAGAATTTTCTAATTTTTAAGAAAACTGAACAGTTTACTTTAAAGTTTATCCTTGAATATTTAGTAAGTACCATTTTTACTGCATCAATACTTTTCTTAATACTATTAGCCAAATCAGCCGTGGGATCATAAACAAGTTTCTTCTCCGTTAGAAAAAAAAATTTAGATTCTTTTTTCACTTCAGAAGAATCAAATTTTTCGTGCTGACTTTTTCAAAAATTGCGAGACAAATTGTAATTTTGTTGGCATTTTTCTCTAGAAATTTTGGGAGCTGCGAAACATTATATTTTTCCAAATCACTATATTATTCCCAAATTATTCCTAAATTTTAGAAGAAATCTGATTTGTAAAGTTTAAACAGATAAATTGATGAGTCACGGCCTTATTCAGAATTATGAATATATTGCTAATCATATCAAAGATTATATTGAAGAAAATAAGATATTTAGTGTGTTTGAAACGCAAGATATCAAAAAAATCATGGATTTGTCACAATTGGCAACCAATGACTTCGTTAAACTTCTAAAACAATCATATCCTACAATCAAACCAAACAAATTATACAAATGCACTAGAAAGGCGAATGTCTCTATACAAAATTTCGAAGATGTGATTTCAATTTTTAAAACAATCAAGAAATACATGAAACTAAGAATCCTTGATGGTGTTATTGATTTTTTAATACATAAACAAAATGAAATACCAGTTTGTACTGCGAAAAACCAAAAACTTCAAACTGAATTAAAAACAATTCAAAATCAACCACCAAAAAGCAAAAAAGTAACAAAAGTCAATCTGATTAATGCAGAAAGAACTAATGATAATGAAATTCTAGCGAAAATTTCAGAGCTAAAAAATTGTAATGATTTTGAAACAGTCTACAAATTTTTTGACGAGCTTTCATGCCAAGAAAATCGAAAAATGATATCTAAATCATGCGATGAAGGACTTTGGACAAAGATTGCTGCAGGAGAATCACCTTTTTTGATAAAAAGAATGTACTCCATGTAGCATGCCTGAAAGGAAATCTCAGACTTGTTAAATATCTGATTGAGTGTGGTTGCGATAAAGAAGTAAAGAATGAACAAGGATGGACTCCACTCATTTATGCATCAAGAGGAGGCCATCTTGAAGTTGCTAAATATCTTATCTCTGAAAGCGCTGATAAAGATGTGATGGATAAAAATGAATCTACTCCTCTATTACATGCATCTGAAAATGGTCATCTTGGAGTTGTTCAATATCTTATATCTGTTGGAGCCGATAAACTTGTGAGAAATGCTGATGGATCGACTCCACTCATTTGTGCATCATCTAAGGGTCATCATGAAGTTGTTCAATATCTTATCTCTATTGGAGCTGATAAAGAAGCAAAGGATAAATATGGATATACTCCACTTATTCGTGCATCACATGGAGGTCATCTTGAAGTAGTTAAATATCTTATCTCTGTTGGAGCTGATAAAAACGCAAAAACTAATTATGGATCTACCTCACTCATTTATGCATTAGAAAATCGTCATATTGAAGTTGCTAAATATCTTATCTCTGTTGGAGTTGATACAAACACAAAATTGAAATCCGGAATTACTATACTTAACTGGACATTAGAAAGGGGTTATCGAGAAATTTTTAAATTACTTATTTCTGCTGGAGCTAATAAAGAAGAAAAGGATAAAGATGAACGGACCCCACTCATTGTAGCATCATATTATTGTGATTTTGAAATTGTTAAATATCTTATCTCTGTTGGAGCTAATAAAGAAGCAAAGGATAAAGATGGAGAGACTCCACTCTTTCATGCAGTAACAGGTTACAAGTGTCTTGAAGTTGTAAAATATCTTATCTCAGTTGGAGCTAATAAAGAAGCAAAGGATAAAAATGGACAGACTCCACTCATTTGTGCATCAAAAAATGGTTGTCTTGATGTTGTTAAATATCTTATCTCAGTTGGAGCTAAAAAAGAAGCAAAGGATAAAGATGGAAGAACTTCACTCATTTGGGCATCAAAAAATGATAAACTTGAAGTTGTTAAATATCTTATCTCTGTTGGAGCTAATAAAAAAGCAAAGGATAAAGATGGAAATACCGTCCTCTCAGTTGCAGGAGAAAATGTTGTTTTATATCTGAGATGCTCATGAATTATATTAAATATTCAGTTTAAAAATAATTTTCTCTTTGATATAATTCAAAGCTGTTTTTATATATGTGAACTCTGCAGTAAGGAACTAAATGTGTTTTCATGTTTTTCGCTATTGTCTCTCAATAATTAATAAAATAAAAAAATGCGTTTTAATATTGTAGTTATTTAACAATAAATAATTTATATAAATAATTTTAAAGTGGGCTAAAGCCGTGCTTTGAGAGATCATTGTGATCATTTTCCTGATTCATTGAAAACTTGAAAGGAACACTTTCTTCAAGCGTTGCCTGTCTTGGAGACTGCGAAATCGTCTTGAATGCGACATATCCAGCTGTTCCAATGATTGCTAGTATTATGCCGCAAATTATAACTTTATATGCTGGATTCATGCCTGCATTCTTGACTTCTACAATTGGAACACGCTTGTTCTCATTTTTGATTTCGTTTTTATGCTCTTTTTCTGCTTTTTCTATCTTTTCAACACCATCTTTTTTAATTACGACTTTCTGACCAATAATTTTAGTTTTAGCTGGTTCAGGATGCTTTTCTTCCACTTCCTTTACTTCTTCCTTGCTTTCAATAACAGCTATTTCGTTCTTATTTGTAGATATTTGGGATTCGGCTTTTTTATCCGGTTTTTCATCATTTTGTGGTATATCTTCGACCTTTGTAGTATTTTCTTCTTTTTCTGGCTTTGGATTTTGCGTTTCCTCGATTTTGTTTTTATTATCTTGTTCTGGCTCTTTTTGCTTCTCATTTTGATTAATTTCTGTATTTTCTTTGCTTATTTGAGTCGAGTTTTGCGTTTTTACCTGATCAGTGGTCGAATTTTCAGATGATATTGTTGTATTTGGTTGTTTTACAATTTCGGCGTTATTATCTTTGGTTTTATTTGTAGTTTCATTTAGTTGATTTGGTGAATCAGCTTTTTTATCAGTATTTTCTTTAATTTGAGTTTCTATTTTTTGTGTTTCATTTTTTTCTTCAACTTTCTGTTGTTCTTCTTGCTTTTTATTTTCTGGAACAAGAGATTCCGAAGTATGATTTAGGTTTTGAGTAGAATTTGTTGTATTTGATACAATAACAATTGGTTTTCCTTCTTTTGTTAATGGTTGTAAAGCCTGAACATTGCTATTTTCAGTTGCATTTCCATTTTGGAGAGATTCAACAAAGAGAAAAGCCAAAATTATCATTTTTTAAATGAAAAGTGACATTTTTGGAAACCTCTCACAATTTCTTTCTCTGATCTGTATACTAAACATCGTTTTTACAACAACCTTTAATGTACCAAGTTCTGAACATATAAATATTGCTATATTATGCGTATTTTTTATACTAACTGCATACGTTCGTTTTAATACATGCATAAAATTATTTTCATAGCTCATTGATTGATACATATATTCTTACGAATTTGCTGACATATTAAGGGTATTTTCTTGTTTCTCATACTTTTGAAGTTAGGCATGCTAGACCCAAATAAAATATGAGAGGATTAATACAATTTTTCAAAAAAAATATTTTATTTATTTTAGATAATAATAATAAAAAAAATTTACATTGGCTTTGAAGTACCAGTTTCAATATTAGCGAAAGTAGCTCTTGGTGCATTACTATTAGCAGAAGGAGGCTGACCATTACCTATTGATGTTGCAGACATTGTTGCGTTTGCGGAGTCAGTTCCTGTTGCTATTTCATTGTAATCTTCTTCTTCACCAGAAATCAAACCTAAAACATTTTCTACGAACTCGTATGCGTTCAAATGTGACGGCAACTCATCGCCAACTAAAGTCTGTATGCATTTCTCTATGTCAGCGATTGGCATTGTCTCACCACTTGACTGTAATATGTTGAACAAGTCTTTAACAGATAACAAACCTTGTTCATCAGCACCGAGAACTTTGAAGGCGTGTTCAATATCATCCAAAGAAGGAGGAACAACAGGTCTGTGATTCAAGAACAATCTCAAGAAAGTTTGGAAGTCGACAAACTCTGTTTCTTTGTTCGTCTCCAAGTACTTTGAATAATATATCTCGTTCTTAATGAGTTCAGCTTCGTACTGTGTTGGATAGAAACCTAAAGCGCAAAGAAGAGGAACAACTTCACTGATAGGAACAACTTGAGGAATTTCGTGTGGTTTATCAGTGAGTTTTCCTTGAACTCTGAGCATACTTGAGTAGAAGTAGTCAACGATTTCCTGGTATAATTGGCCATCTTGACCTCCTTCCAACATCGCAATGAATGGATCTCCTTCTCTCGATGCCAAAAGTGCAGATGCTTCTAAATGTTCTGGATGGCAAGTGAAAATACCAATGTAATTATCAACACCACTTGTAACTAAAACACGAGATTCATCACGAGACATGACTAATCTTGATATCTGTGTTGGATGTGCGATTAATCCCATTGACTCGTTTGGATTTCCTGTCAAAGGATAAAGAACTAAACCTAATATACATGAATCTGTCGCGTAAACAATTGCTGGTCTTCCTGTTTCAACGAATTGCATGTGAACAATGTCTCCTCCGAAAGAAGGAGCCAATGTTGTACTGCGACAAATCATTGTCATGCCATTCCATAATCTAAGTTTTCCTTCTGTATTCGCAACAACAAAGAATGGTCTGTTGTCTTTCAATGTCCATGCAAATGTCGTTGGTTTGGCCGTCATTTCTACTTTTGTTTCCATTTTAAGTTTGACACCATCCAAATAAGCAGATGTCGCGTAATCGTATTCGACAACTCTTCTGTCTTTTCCAATTGTAAATAGTCTGAAAGGAGATTCCTGAGTGCCTTGGCCGATGAAAGCAAGTCCTGTAATTGGCTCCCAATGGCTGCGATGGCGACCAACGTATTCCCACTTCTTCATGTCTTGTTGGATAGTTGTCATCTGTACTTTGTCGTCATCGGCACCTTGGCTGATCATAGGAGTTGTTGGAGAGAGTTTGTCGAGAGAACGGAACAAGGCAAGCGTGTTGTCACTCAATGTACATGCAAGGAATGAAGAATCGGCGCTGTATTGGATATCTGTGATGGAAACGCCTTTTGCAATTCTCTGCTGATAGACTTCATCGAAGTTTTCTGTTGTAACAACAGAGATGCTGCCGTTAGTGAAGCCAACAGCTAAAAAGTCTTCACATGGATCGTATCTTAATGCTGATACTTGTAATTTGTCCATTACGACTCTGTTTACGGCCAAATGATTGACTATGTCCCACTGAATCAATTCGCCTTTGTCGGAGCCTGTAACTACACGTCCATCGTTCGGATTTACGGCAATTGCCTTTACATTGCCTGTATGGTTTCGGAGAAGGATCTCTGGTTGATGGGCGCCTGTTACATCGAAGCAGACTTGATCTGTAAGTCGAAGAACTGCGGCTGTAGCTGTAGCGACGATGAATGGTTGGCATGAGAATTTTTCTCGGTCGTTTGGCATAGAAGTATTAGCAAATGAGATAGATGTGATCGGACCATTCTTGATTTCTTCGAACCATGCGATTAATCTGAATTGGAAATCGTAGAATTTGACAATTCCATCGGCACCACCTGTAACAATGTAGTTATTATGAATTTCGAGTGTAGTAACTGCTGATTTGTGAAGGCCAATTACTTTGACTGGCTTGTGTTCTGCATCTAATCCTTGATGTAAAGCAAAAGGATCACGAACCATATGGACAACGGATCCTTCTGATGTAGATAAAATGACATCGTCGTTTTCTGAAAGATATCTTGAGTAAATGAGGTTGCCAATAGGTTTCTTTAATTCGCGTGAAGAAACTGCAGGAGCGTAGTATGAAATTTCTGTAGTTGCGGGATTCCACTGCCAAAAGATAATTGTTTGTGCACCATTTGTAACAATTTGTGTTTCATCGCGTGGATTAAACTGAATGCACTTCATTTGATCAGGGAAAGGAATTTCTATAAGAGCTACTGGCTCAGGATCATCAGAGACGGTTGTACAATTCCAGATTGCAAGATGCTGCGGAGTTTCATTAGAACTTAAAGTTGCAATGTAGTTTCCTTTTTGTGAGAATGCACAAGCGCAAAGACCTTGTGGATGTGGGTTAAACTTTGTAAAAACAGGAACTGCTGTGCGAGAATCCCAAACAATTAAAGCAGATTGATCGCCAGTGTCACCTGTAGCAATAAATGCTTTATCAACTGTTGCAGCAACTGCAGTGATAGTATGGCGATGGCCTGATAAAAGTGTCTGAGTATTATTTTCCGTATTTAATATAATTCCTGTATGTGCTGTTGGATAGAAAAAGCATTTGCGAGTATCATCTGTTAAATCAATAACACCATTGATGATTGACGTATTCGCGCCAAGAACCCACTCTAAAGAAAGAGCTGATTGCTCTAAAGGACGCGTGGACATCAAATTTTCGTTATTTATTTTTTTTCTCAAGAAAAAAACGAATAAATTCCAACTTTTCTTATTAATATGATTTATCCAATATTCTAATAATATATCTTGAATTTCTCGCTTAAATTATTGTTAAAAACCGAAATTATGATTTCATATTTTTATTAAGAAAACTTAAGCTAAAAATTATAAAAAACTATTAAACCTCTCTATGATCTTGGAAGATTCATTATGAATAAGAAGTCAAAAAAAGAAGAAATTCAAATTGGAAAGAAATAGTATTTATAAACAAGAAGAATAAAGAACCTAGTTGATACGTGATGGTATGTGAGCATTTTTATAGAACTATTATTATAAGAACTGCAATTTTTATCAAAAACTAGATATTCAACAAAATCCATGGAAATTAAGTTGTACTTTGAATGAAGGTACGAATTAATTCTGATTTTGACTTTCAACTTCATTAATTTTTGTGAAAAAGATTTTGATACGATCTAAGTACTTTTTGTTTTCAAGATTTTGCCCATTTGTCTTGAGATAACATAAGTAAAGGGTTTGAATAGCATATGCTATAGTAGTTTTGAATTTTGTTTTTTCTAATTCGTTCATTCCGGCTAAAGTCTCTTCGAGTGGCTTTTTCATGATTTCATTTAACATATTTTCGACTTTATCAAGTTTGACTTTAAATTCATTCAGGACTTGAGCTGTATCACTCATTTTTGCCTCTCAAGAAAAGTGACAATTATGTGCCCAAGAATCACTAACTCCAAAACAAAGAGATCAGGATAAAATGAGTTACATTATGCTCTAGATAACCTATGCTTACGCCTATATTTTGAATTAGTATTCCATTTGAGATTGAAATCTTCAATAATTAATGAATTCAATGGAAAATAGCTCATATCAATCTAATTTAGTGTATCAGTATATGGAGATGTACTCATGTTGGCAAGAATGTATTAAATTAAAGAAATTTTTATTGTAAACTCAATTTTTAAACTTGATAAGCTGGGATTTCAATCAAGCAGTATCAAAAATATAATTTAATTGAGTCATATTATATACATACTTTATTCTTTCTTATCAAATGTAAATCCTTGTGGCATTCCTTTAATCCTAATGTTTCTGCCAGCCCAGTTGAAGTTACCACGTTCTAATACTCTAATTGCATCAGCTGGGTTTTGGAATTCGACCAAAGTTTGGCCGTGAGAAGTGCAGAATTTAGTAACTTGGAAGTGTTTCTCGAATCTTTCTCTTACAATCTCTGTTTCTTTACCGAATGTAAGGTTTGAAGCTAAGATTGTTCTGTTGTACATTAATTGTGAAGGATCGTGGACTTCTTCTGCTGGTTTTTGCTCTGGTTCTTTCTTGGGTTCTGGTTTAGGCTCTGGTTTTGGCTCTGGTTTTGGTGGCTCAACAGGTTTCCAATCTGGATTTTCGACTGGAGCATAGAATGATGATTGATATAAAACTTTTGGACTTGCTGATGCAGAAAAAACAAACATTTCGTTTGATTGGTAGAATTTATCCTCGATTTTTACGTATCCTGAAGTATGGCCAGTGATTTCATTGCCAATTTGAATACCATCTGAGCGCATTACAGTATGATCGCCTTTAACAAGTGTTTCATTATATTTTTCTGTTGTTTTTGTTTTGTTATTTTCGAATTGAATCTCTAAAACAGCATCTTTTTCATAAAACTCATTGACTGCTTCTGGGTTTTCTTGTAAAACTTTATACAAAAGTGTAACACGTTCTTTAACCAACTCGTCACTGATCATTGTAAAATTAAGTGTCTATTTGTCACTTTTGGTAAAAGTGTCAAAATTTTAGATGTATTCTATAAAAAGACAAATATACTTGAGGTGAAAAATAGTAATTGTTTACTGTCAGACTATGTCTCGTCTAGAAAGCAATTTTTAAGAAATTATTTCCTTTAATTTGCGCCATGTTGCTTTAAGTATTGAACAATTTCGGTTAAATGTAGATTTGCTGCCATACTAATATATGTATTATGAATATTAAAAAAATACCATAAAGCAATGAAAGATATATAAAGAAATAAAATGTAATAAAGAAATGATACACATGGAAAGAAAGAAAATGTAATAAAACAATGAGAGATATGAAAAGAAATAAAATACCATAAAACAAAGATTGATATGGTAAGAAAGCAAATTTCATAAAGTAATGAGAGATATGAAAAGTAAGAGAAGAAGTTCAGCGTTGACATCAGCTCCATTTTCGACTAAGTATTGTACAATTTCGATTGAATGATCTTCGATGGCGACACAAAGTGGGGTTTGACTAATATTAAAAAAATTTCATAAAAAATTGCTAGATATATACAGAAATAAAATGTAATAAAGCAATGATATACATGGAAAGAAAGAAAATGTTACAAAACAATAAATGATATAAAAAGAAGGATAATATCATAACATAATGATAAATATGAAAAGAAAGAAAACGTCATCAAAAAATGATAAACAGAAAAGGAGAGAGAATGTCAAAAAACAATGACAAATAATAAAAGAAAGAGAATATAATAAAACAATTATAAACATGAAAAGAAATAGAATCCAATAAATCATTGACAAATAATAAAAGAAAGAGAATATAATAAAACAATTATAAACATGAAAAGAAATAGAATCCAATAAACCATTGATGAATATGAAAAGAAAGAGAAGGACCTTAGCGTTAAGATCTGCACCATGTTCAACTAAGTAATGCACAATTTCGATTGAATTTCGGTTAATTGCAATGATGAGAGGGCTTTTATTAATATCTAAAAAATTGAATAAAAAAATGATAGATATATAAATATAGAAGATATGATAAAATAATGATAAATATGAAATTAAAGAGAATTGAATAAATCAATGCTAGATATGAAAAGAAATAGAAGGATTTCAAAGTTGACATCAGCTCCATGTTCAACTAAGTAACGTACAATTTCGAGTGAACCCGATTTGATTGCAGCACCAAGAGGGCACTCATTACTATATAAATAATTTCCCAATAAAACAATGAGATATATTAAAAGAAAAAGAGCATCATAATGCAATGAGAGATATGAAAAGAAAGAAAATGTAATAAAGCAATGATAAATATGAAAAGAAAGAGAAAATTATAAGATAATGATAAATATGAAAAGAAATAAAATACCACTAAGTAATGAAGAATATGCATAGAAAGAGAAGAGCAACATCATTGATTTTAGCTCCATGCTCAACTAAGTATTGAACAATTTCGAATGAATCCATTTCGATTGCATAAATAAGAGGGGTTGTACTAATATCTAAATATAGGGTGTCCAAAGGTGCGTTTAGCACAGCGCTCTATATGAGACTATTAAAGGAGATATATGCTGATTATAAATATATAATAAAAAATATGAATATATGTATATGATGAGTATGTTGTATTTTGGCGCCATGCCGGTATATAAAATGAATTTTGAGACAAGAGGCGGTTTCGCGGGAAATTTTGGCGGGATTTTTTTCATTTTTTTAATGAATCATAATGAAAACATCCTCGCTCTTGCAAAAAAATGCAAAGACTGTAAAAAAATCTACGAGACATTGGTAAAATGCTTCGGTATGGATGCTTCTAGCTATTCCACTGTAACGTATCATGTTAGGATGTATCACTTCATGAACAAAAAGGCGCCCATCATAAAAATTGACAAAAAATCGCCGGATCAAAGAAAAATCAAAGCAATTCTTCAAGCGCTAGATGAAGACCCAAGAGCATCACTCAGAAGGATAGAGGAGATGACAAAGATACCACGTACAACAGTCAGTTATTATATGCACAATTATTTGAACTACAAACTAGCGTATACACGTTGGGTTCCGCACAACCTTAATTCAGTTCAAAAAAAATCTAGAGTCCAATCTTCGAAAGAGCTCCTCTCTATATTGGGTGCGTATCAATCCAAGAAGTTTCGCTTTTTAGTAACAGGGGACGAGTCTTGGTTTCAATATGCAACAGAAGCCAAAATCATGTGGATCCCGAAGGATGAAAATCCGCAAACATTCCCGAAGAAAAAAATTGACACACCAATGATGATGTTGTCGGTTTTTTGGGGCGTGAATGGCATCATCGCAATTGATATTCTTCAAAAACCTAATACGATGAATGCTCAGTATCTAATTGACAATGTTCTTACTCAAATTATCAATTCTGATGAGTTTGAGAAATCCAAACAACAAAAACAAAAGTTTGCAATTCATTTTGATAATTCAAGAGTTCACAAAAGTCATAAGGTAATGAATTACTTGGTGGAAAACAATGTCAAAGTTGTTCCAAACCCAATTTATTCACCTGATATTGCACCCTCTGACTTTTATTTATTCGGCACGCTAAAAAAGAGAGCTGAAGGACGCGAATTCGCGAGTCCAGATGATCTTGAAAATTTTGTAAGAGAGCAATTTGAGCAATTTTCTCGTGATGATTTAAAGCGTGTCTTTCAAGCCTGGATCGATCGCTGCGAACGCGTGATTGAATCCAATGGTGATTATATTTAAATAAACTTTATATATATGTAACTTGTTTATTTCTATTCGCAGTATTCAGGTTTGTGCTAAACACACCTTTGGACACCCTATAATATCATAAAAATTGATAGATGGATAATTTAATAGAAATTAGTAAAGCGATGATAGATGTAAAAAGAAAGAGAATATGGTAAAGCAATGTTAAACATGAAAAGAAAGAGAAATTCATAAAACGATGGGAGATATGAAAAGAAAGAGAATTCCACAAGTAAACGATATATCTGAAAAGAAAGAAAATATGATAAAGCAATATTAAATATAAAAAGAAAGTGAAATCTGTATAACAATGATGGATATGAAAAGAAAGAGAACTTCATAAATCAATGACAGATATGAAAAGAAAGAGAAGAAATTTAATGCTAACATCAGCTCCATGTTCAACTAAGTATTGAACAATTTCAATTGATTTATTTTCGATTGCTCTACTGAGGGGGCATCCATTGCTTTCATAAAACAATTAAGGATATGAAAAGAAAGAGAAGAAAAACAACGTTGATATCCGCACCATTTTTAACTGAATATTGAACAATTTCAATTGAATTTAGGCTAGCTGCAATACTAAGAATTGATTCATAAAGCAATGAAAAATGTAAAAATAATGAAAATTCTATAAAACAATGATTGATGTAAAAAGAAAGAAAATGTAATAAAGCAATGATAGATATGAAAAGAAAGAGAAATTTGTAAAGTAATGATAGATGTATAAATAAAGAAAATGTAATAAAACAATGATGAATATGATATGAAAGAGAATTTCATAAAACAATGAGAGACATTAAATGAAAGAGAATTTTCTAAAATAATGATAAATATTAAAAGTATGTATATCGTTAATATCTGCTCCATTAGAAGGCAAATACGAAACAACATCATAACTTCCGTAATACATGAATTTTGCTGGTGAATTTGGAATTTGTCCAAAATTTGTATGAAGATACTCTGCAATTTTATAATGATGATATATCAATGCAGTGTTGATCATGCCATCAAATGACTGTCCATTTTCTATCATTTGTTCAAAGATGTTTATATTTCCGCCTTTAATAGCATATTCTGCAGACTTTTCAGTATATTCACCTCCTTGATTCTTCAAGTAATTGAAACATAATTCTGATCCATATTTAATTGCGCAATCCAATGGAGTTATTTCAAAATCTATTTTCTTATTGACCTTAAGCTTTGGGAATTTACTTTTAAGTTCATCGATTTTGTCCCATGCAATGTAGTACAAAGGAGAATCTGTTTCATATAAATTTTGAATTCTTTCTTCTGAATAATATGGCTCGGAATCTTCAAATTTGATACCTTTGTAATATAAAAATGAAGTCAATTTATAATTTTTTGGTCTGGGGGTCATGAAAATGTGCTTGACATCTTTTGGTAAAGTTCTGCAAATAATTTAATATCTTTTGCACGTAATTTTGAAATAAAACTAATCAAGTAGAACGCCATTTCGACAGTTATTTTGTTTGAATTAATTAGATCGATGATTTTTGATGACGATTGTAAGATATTACTTGAATTGACTTGCCATATAATTTTTGAAGCTTCGTTTGGATATTTGAATACATCATTAGGTGTTATATCACTAAAATCTTGTTTGATTTCGGTCTTTGGTGACTCTGAACTCGACATTGTATTTTAGTGTCACTTTTTGGACAACTGTGAGAATTTCGTGATTGATTGATTTTATTAGAAGTTTATGAGATTTTTCAAAAATAATCATATCAGAAGATAGAGGATAGTATAGATGTGCTTTGTGATTAACTCAAAATCAGGAAAACTCAACATTCAACGAGGAAAACGCTCAACATATCAAAAATTTAACAAAGTTGTCTGGTCGGAAGTCCCTCTTAAGGCTAGCATAATCTCATTCGAATATATTTAGCCTAATGTTACTATATAATGATTTCTAATAACTCTTTCACGACCAAAAATATTAGCTATTTACCTTTAAAAAAATGGGATGTAAAGCTTGGATGTTAAAAAATAAGAATATTAGAAATTGGTGCACTTACGCCCATCTGACTTTAATTCGAATTTCTGACATCAGGCGTGAAACAGCTAATTAATTGAAGTCAGATGGACGTAATTCTAATAATATAACAAATCTAAAAATTATTAAGAGAAAGATAACATTTACGCCCATCTAACTTTAACTTCACGTGAAACGTAATTGAAAAATAAACATAAAAATCAGAATTGAAGGTCATACATGTGTAAGATAATTTCATCAGGAACTCATTTACAAATTCAAACATAAAAAAATAAATAAATAAATTAAAAAAACATTTATTAGAATATAAACAAACAAGTAAGGATATTAAACATCTAAGAGCTCAGTTTCTACTGGTTCAAACAATGGAATTGCTTCATCTTTAACTTTTGAAGCATCTGAAATAAGTTTCTCGAGATTAATTTGTTTCATATTGTCACACAAATGTAATTCTGGATCAAAGTAAGTGATTTCAGTTATTTTATTAAAAAATGCCGTTAAATATCTTGAAAACTTCTCTTCATCAATTTTTGCTGTGCTAAGAATGAAAGGAGCAATGCATTCTTTCATTTTTTCTTGTGAAACTTCTAATTTGGCTGCTACAAAGTCAGCAATCTCATCTAGGTAAGTTTTAACACCTTGTATGAAGTACCTAAGATGAAGAATCTCTTTGTAATAAGGAAATGCAAATTTGAAGACTCCACAAGAAATTAACCTGATTATCTCCATAAAAACGTATTGGTTAACTGTATACTGGAGGGATTCATCAGGAAATGGCTGGTTATAATAAAATTGATGGATTTCAGAACTTGATTTTTCAATTTTTGTAATAATTGAACATAAAATTTTATGAGCGGTCAAAGAGATCTCTACATCGCCATAATCGCAATAGAATAATACTCTTTGAATAATTCTGGCCATGTGGTCGTTCAATTTCATGAGATTTTCAGAAAAAGTTTCGATATAAGTGAAAATCATTTCAATTGAAAGAGAAATGCAGTTATGGGGAACATTTTCAGCCAGAAATGTATCTAAATAAAAGGTTGGTGGTTCATTTTTCACGATTTCCTCTTTGAATATTATCAAACTTTCTTTAAGAAGCTTAAAAATGCCTGGAACTAGTAGATAAGGCGGGAAAGTCATGAAGAAATGAATTAATTCAACGATATATTTGAACTCCGGCTTGTCAAAAGCTTTGATTGTTTCAATGTACCCTTCAAGTAAGGAATCCATCCATTTCCTCATTGTATTCGCTTCATCTGACTCAAGGGAATCCCTAGAAACATTGTTTTTCATACAAAAATCATGAAACAATTTTGTAATATTTTGGAAATTGACAAATAACTGGTTCATTACATCATTAAATATATTATCATGCTTGTATGGTAATAATGGGAAGTAATGACATAATTTGCAACCGATTATCATCGTTTCCATCGATAAAATTTCTTCAGGATTAATTTCAATGATACTTTGACCGACAAACTGGAACAAAATGTTGCACATTGAGTCCTCAAAGTCTCGAACTACCTCTAGAAGCTCTGGATTAGAGAGGGAAATGACGGTTGTCATTTGAAAAACAACAAAATTAAATTTCATAAAGGGAATAATGACGGGAGGCAAGATATTACCGAATACATTTTGAAAGGCAGGTCCAATGTTATCAAGTAAACGTTGGTTGTCCTTTGAATCCCTTAAATAAGGTTGAATTGTTAAATTATCTTTTTCTGGAGCTTTGTAGTCATAGTCTAAAAAGAGCCTTAGGCATTCAGCAGTAAACATCTGGTGTACAAAGTCTTCTACGACTAAGTGTTGATAAAATAAGAAATAAATTTGAGTCAAAAACTCTTGATTTTCTTCTTCGTGATAGAGATCCCTTTGTTCTGAGTAATAATACAATATAATCTTCTGTAAAAACATTATATTTTCATCTGAATTTGAAGGATTTTCTAATTGAGTGAAAAACCAATTATTTGTCTCTTTTACGATCTCCTGTCTTGATCCATGTGGTAATCCCTTTAACGCAAACATGGTTACAGTAGTAAAAATTGAAACATATCTTATAAAATTTTCAAATGCGTTTTGTTCATTCATAAAATTGCTAAAAGCCTTTCTAATTTGTTCCATGACCAAATTAGGTGCTAGTCTACTGATAGAACAAAGAATTGTCTTGTAAATTTTATAAGATGAATTTTTGACTTCGCGATCAAAAGAAATTGTATCATTTTCTATTGAAAATTGAAGTGGAATTGTGTTTACGATACTTTCAAGTACAGAAGGAATTGTATCGTGTAAAATCGCATAAAAACTGTTTTGTGAGGTAATATAGCAGATAGCAACAAGATATTGTCTATTAAAGAATGAGAGGAACTTCAGATATTGATCTTGTAAAGATTCTCCATTTAATATTTTTTGGGATAAAATTATTACTAAATTTGTCATTTTATCTATTATATAAGGAGTTATTTCGTTTTTTACTTTGAAGAAATCAAACAATTGAGGTACATAATCCGAGAAAACCGTATAAAATTCAGGAATTTCTAAAATGTTCTCGATAGAAACGTTGTTTTCTGAATAAACTTGCATCACATCACTTAGGTCAAGTAGTATTTGGTCGGTTTTGTAGTAAAAACTATTTAAAGCCAAAATTGATTTTGATAAAACAGGAAAAATTTGTTCTGCGCATCCATTGACGAATATTTCATTCATTGTGCCTATGTTACAGTCAAAGAACATGATTCTGTTGATTTCAACTAAAAATTCAAATAAATTAATATAAATTTGTGAATTTTTGGCTTCAGGAGTAATTGTTGAATATATAAACCTAATGGTATCTTCTATCTTATCTCTATGAGTTGATAATGCTTTAATTTGGTTAATATTTCTTGAATTTCTTGTTTTTTCGTCATGAATAGATTTATCTATTGAAACTGCCACATCCTTAAGTATTGAAAGCGAGTCTGATATTTTTGGAAGACTTTGTTCGTCCAGATCATAAGATAATACAAATTCTAGAAAATCTCCGTATGGAGAAGGCCAATTATTGATGGCAATGAAGGATAATATCTCATTGCAGAGCGATAGTATATGCGTATCTATTAGCAAGTTCTTATTAATAAATTTGCAAAATTTGCTAAGAAATTCTTGACATTTCTTATCTTCAAATTTCCATTTACTCTCGACATACTTTTGAATTGCTTGCAATAGAATATATATAGGATCCAATTCTAGTTCATCAAATAATAAATTTATCGAGATACTCATGAAATTCTCATCAGATATCATAGCATTGATTTTGTTAAGGGATTCTTCGTTATTATTCCGATACCCTTGGCATATCTCGGTCCAAATACCCCCGGTTATGGATCTCATGATGAATTTAAGAGGGGGGGTATCAATCAATTATAGAATTTTTTTTTCTTAGGGTCTTTTGACTTTCTTAAATATGACTTATTTGACTAATAATATTAAATAACATACAATGGCCATCTGATTTGAGAGCTCAAAATTGATTTTTCTTTTGAAAATCAAAATTTTCTAATTTTTTTCTCACTCTAGGCTTTCAAGCTTGGTATATTTCAATACTTGAGTGAAATGCATATATCCCAAGCATGTATTAATAAAATGATATTCTATCAATATTTCCTCATATTTCTCGATTTTTGATTTTGCAAATTCAATACAAAACATTAGCTATCAGGCATCTAGTCAGTTCATACTTTACTATTTGCTAAATGTTTTGTCTAAATGTTTCAGATCGCATATTGGATGTTATTTAAACTATCCATATAATTGACCAATACTCAACTGAATTTCCTTTATTATTATACTTGGTTTTTCCTCAGCAGAAACAGTATACATTGATTTACAGTATACGACCCATGTACGATTATTTGCAGAATTTTTGGATTCGACCCCAAATTGTGTGTGCGACTCACCTTTGAAAAATAAATTTTAAATTAAAATTAGTTTTTCATCATAAAATAATTGAATTTTTAAAAAATAAACGATATGATAGCACATTCATATCATTATTGATCCATCTATAATATCAGAATTTAAAAAAGATCACTGTAGACAAAATTATGAAACAAATAACGTACAGTTTTGAAAACTCATCAACAAATATATCTATTAAACTGAGATAAATGAGTGGAATTAGTGATCTTGACATCGATTATATTGTTAATAACATCGAAACATACCTGGATCAAGATACATTTTTCGATTTATTTGAAGAAGATATTATTTCGGAAGTTTTATCTCAAGCAAAAGTTAAATCTAAGGACTACTTATTACTTACAACGCAAGGTATATTAAAATTCGGCAAAACCAAACTATATCATTTGATTAGGAAGTGCAATACTTTTGTTAATTCTTTCGAAGATGTGATTAATGTTCTTCAAAGCTACAAAATGATACTTAAATTATACTCTATTGACCCACTAATAGAATTTATTGAGGAATGTAATAACACACACACTACAAATCCAAATGAAATTAAAGAATTAGAAACAAAGATTCAAAATCTTGAACCAAAAGTTATAGAGCTTAAAAAGGGTATCAAAAAATATAAAAATGATATATCAACACTTAATAACAAACTCAAAATATTTTCCGATTTACTGCAAAAAGATGATTTTGATACAGTTTACCAATTCATTCAAGAACTTTCAGAAGAAGGTGATGAATCTAAAATCTCAATTGCATGTTCAGCAGGAATAAGTGAAAAGAGAAATCAAGATGAAAATACACCACTTTTAATGGCATGTGTTAATGGTGATCTTCAATTAACAAAATCTCTTCTTGAAGGAGGATGTAACAGAGATGTTGTTGATAAATTTGGAAATAATTGTTTACTTCTAGCATCATTAGGTGGACATCTTGACATTGTCAAATATTTAATTGAATTTGGATTTGATAAAAACTGGCAAAGCGAAACTTATGGATTTAATGCAATAATTTGTGCATCACAAGAAGGTCATCTTGAATTAGTTAAATATCTTATTTCAGTTGGAGCAAATTTAAATGATAAAACTAATGATGGAAAATCTCCAATATTTGTTGCATCACAAAAAGGTCATCTTGAATTAGTTAAGTATCTTATTTCAGTTGGAGCAAATGATAAAGATATTTATGGTGATAATAATGCCAATGAAAATAATGATGAAGATGATGATAAAAATGATAATAATGATGAAGATAATGATAATAATGATGAAGATAATGATAATAATGATGAAGATAACGATAATAATGATGAAGATAACGATAATAATGATGAAGATGATGACGAAAAGGATGATGATGAAGATGATGATAATAATAATGACGAAGATGATGCAGAAAATGATGAAGAGGATGATATGGATGTTGAGGAAGATACAGAAAATGAAGATGACGATGATGAAGAGGAAGATACTGGAGATACTGATAAATTTATTTCACTAATTATGGCAATACATATAGGTGATCTTGAGATCGTTAAAAATCTCATTTCATGTGGAGTAGATCCAAATGATAAATTTGGTGATGGAATTTCTCCAATTATTACAGCGTTAGTTTTTGGCCATCTTGAAGTCGTTAAGTATCTTATTTCAGTTGGAGCAAATCCAAATGATAAAGTTAATTATGGAATTTCTCCAATCATTACTTCTCCACAAAACGGCCATCTTGAAGTTGTTAAGTATCTAATTTCAGTTGGAGCAAATCCAAATGATAAAGATAATTATGGAATTTCTTCAATCATTACTTCTTCACAAAACGGCCATCTTGATGTCGTTAAATATCTCATTTCAGTTGGAGCAAAGCCAAATGATAAAAATAATGATGGAAAATCTCCACTTATTGCAGCATCATATTTTGGTCATCTTGACGTAATTCAATATCTTATTTCAGTTGGAGCAAATCCAAATGAAAAAGGTATTGGTGGATTTTCTCCATTATTTATTGCAGCACAGAAAGGTTATCTTGAATTAGTTCAATATCTTATTTCAGTTGGAGCAAATCCAAACGAAAAAAATATCAAAGGAGCTTCTCCATTATTTATTTCATCACAAAATGGTTATCTTGAATTAGTTCAATATCTCATTTCAGTTGGGGCAAATCCAAATCAAAAAAATGAAGACGGAAATTCTCCAATCACCATTTCATCACAAAAAGGCCATCTTGAAGTTGTTAAATATCTTATTTCAGTTGGAGCAAATCCAAATGATAAAACTAATGATGGAATTTCTCCAATAATTTTCGCATCAAAAAATGGTCATCTTGATGTCGTTAAATATTTCATTTCAATTGGAGTAAATCCAAATGAAAAAGGAGCTCTCTCATTATTTATTGCATCACAAGAAGGTCATCTTGATGTAGTTGAATATCTCATTTCAGTTGGAGTAGATCCAAATGAAAAAAGTATTAATGGATTTTCTCCATTATTTATTGCATCGCAAAACGATCATTTGGAAATTGTTAAATATCTCATTTCAGTTGGAGTAAATCCAAATCAAAAATGTAAAGATGGAGATTCCCCAATCATTACTTCTTCACAAAAAGGCCATCTTGAAGTTGTTAAATATCTTATTTCAGTTGGAGCAAATCCAAATGATAAAAATAATGATGGAAAATCTCCACTTATTTCAGCATCGTATTTTGGTCATCTTGAAGTGGTTCAATATCTTATTTCAGTTGGAGCAAATCTAAATGATAAATCTATTGGTGGATTTTCTCCATTATTTGTTGCATCATATAATGGCCGTCTTGAAGTTCTTAAATTTCTTATTCAATGCGGATGCAATAAAAATGAAAAAGGGCCGAATAATTATACTCCACTTCATTTTGCAGTCAAAAATGGACATATTTATGTTGTTGATTATTTAATTTCCATTGGTGCCGATCTAAATGCTAAAAACGATTTCGGATTAACACCCCTTGAATGTGGTCAAAATGATTGAAACGGTAATGAAAATAACGAAAAGATTATTAATCTTCTTATTTGACCAGGTGCAGATTAAAGAATACGGTGTATTTCTTAAAAATCTTGATTCTAATAAAAATTTTATATAAATTCATTCATCTGAATCCATAATCTGAAGGAAAATAATATTTTTTTTGATTAGCAATAGATAATATTTATTATAGATTGAGGTGCCTATTCATCATCACTTAAATGTATTCATGCAAAATGATAAGGATGACTGTCAATATGTATCATATTTATTGATAAAGGTGCACCATTTGCAATAAGTAAATTAAAATTATAACATATGTGTCATATAAAAATTAAAATTAATGATTGTTTCTTGATTCATATCACAAACCGGCAGGAATTTGTCATGATCTACTTAATAATTTGAATAAATTAAAGAAGAATTTGATGCTATTAAAAGTGAACAAATTCTTGATCAATATTCTTTCCTCTTTGTTTTAAATTCAAATAAATCTGCTATAATTGTTGAAAACACATGAGCATTTAGCATTTTAACAGATACCAAATATAAAAATACTGTTTAAATTATGAAGAAGTGTCCTCAATAAAAAAAATCGATCAAAAATCGGATCATCCATATAAGATCCTCTATAAACAATGTTTTAAATAAAAATTTTATAAACTTTTTTGGTTTGGATTTTTAATTATGTCAAATCCTGAACCTGAGAAGATGATAAAAGATCAAGTTGATTATGATCAAGTATTCGGCGCCCTTGAAAAGATTCGCGGTAGAATTCCAGAGTACAGTGATGCAATAGCTTTTTTAGACGAAAAAAACATAAACAAAGACAATACTTTACGATTTATTAGTTGGTTGATTGCATTTGGAATAATTGATGATGAAAATACGCGTGCAGACAAGCTATTTCGAAAATTTCAAGATTATACTAACATGATAAACGAGGAATTCAACGGCAAAATTGATGATCCTCTCTCTTGTTTAGAAAGTACTAAAGCAGCATACGTTATTAAAGCTGATGTTGATAGAAGTATTGGAATGTTTAATAAAATGGCTGACCAACTCAAAATTTCTGTATATAGTACAAAATATGCCCATCAGCATGCTATTCGTATACTAGCCTTACTCACAGTTAAATTCCATGATTTATCCTACACTCAAGGATTCGATCGTTACATTCTAACATGTTATTTATTAGCACTTGATTTTACTTCACAGAATTGTTTGCCACCGACATTTGCTGAAGCAATGACATATTACCTAGCACCTGTATTTATGAGAATGGCTAACATTCATCGATTTATTGATGATTTAGCAAATACAACAGAATATTTTGATCATTTAGATAAATTAGTTGCTGCAAAATATCCAGAACTCGCTAGTATTCTTGAAAGATGCGGTCATGGCTCAATTCATTACGCTTTACGATGGCAATTACTTTTATTTGCTGATGAGTATAATGCGAGAAGTCTTTTCTTGATTTGGGATGCAATTACAGTCAACAGAGGCAACTTTGATGACTTTGTTACCAATCTATGCATTGCACACGTTCTTCAGATTCCATTACCGAAACCAAATGAAATTTTGATCGAAAAAATACAAACTTACAGAGACTGGAATGTTGTTCAAGCACTAAATACAACGTATTCGCTGATGCATCCTAAATCAGAAACAATTTTCAACAACAAGACTTTGTATCTTACTGCTGGTGCCGCCGCACTTGCTCTGTTATATTTCTTTATGAGATAATTTTGATTCTTTTAGAATTTTGTTTAAATTAGAATCATTTTTTTAAATAATTGTTATAAATAGTTTTATTATAATAAAATTAGTAATGTTTTCGTGTATCTTTAAATATAGTTAAGGGTTTTGTTTGGAGAAATAACCACTGGGATCTCCAAATTCCAAAATATAAGCTTCTCCAATTATGTTTCTCCATACTGCATTTTAGAATTGGAGATAGTTTTTTCCAGCTCTTTCCAACGGTAAAAACATTTACAAGAAGATACATATCGGTAATGATGCAATCCATGTCCTTTGGAGTGAAGATTTAGTGGAATATGATATTTCCATGATCACATCTCAGTTCAATCACGCCCATATCGTTATATATCCATTACCTCATGCTAAATTCGCCGTCCACGTATTCCAAAAGACTGGAGTTAAGTGGTTTGGCTCATTAAGAGGTAAATCAGTCATTTCTGCACAAGCATTACCAACATTCATCAGATATACAGCTATTGAAGCTGATGTATTGGCAAGAGAGTTCACTGCTGGCATCAAGATGCTTCCTTCTGAAAAAGTTTTGAATTCAAGAAAGACTTTGTGGGAAATGACTAACGATAAGGATAATACTTTTGACCAAGCAGTTTCACTTGATTAAAGTAAACAATTTATTTTAAATTTTTTTTAGAAAATATTTTATATAGGGTTGTTAAAAATATCAAAAATTAGCGTTTTGAAGACACCATGGTGTCTTATAATTTTCCCTTCCTTATTGGCGTGTAGAAATAAATGCGCCAATAGATTGAAGAAGAAGAATTGTTTTTCTCTTAATGAACTTTAATCCTTTTGATATAAGAATATTAAAAACATTAATATTATTTCGATTTCGGAAATTAAATTTCCAAATTTTTTGTCAATTTCTGAAATAACAGGATCCCGCATCCAACACAAAACACACTTTTTGGTTCTTTCATCGTTTTAATCGTAATTTATGTAATACATGATTTGGATAAATTTTACAAAAATAGAACATATATTATATTCTTTTCAAAGATTCTTGCAAATCATCAAAAATAATTGTATTTTAAAAAATGATCAAATTATCCTTTCATTATTTTAAACTTAAATTAGTTTTTATGATTGACTAAAGCAATCATATTTATTCATCATTAAATAAACAAAAAAATAATATTTGAGAGTTATTTCAAAAAAAAACACATTGAATTTATTAATTTGTCTCAATTTCAGTATTATAAATTTTTATAATTTCAATATTTTGAAATACACTTTTTAATATTTCAATATTTATGATATTTCAATGTATTAAGTGGTCTCAAATTGAGCTTCTCAAATATAAGTTGGCCTATTCAAATAATAAAATTAAATAATATTTAAAATAATAAATAAAAGTGATTGAGGTCATAGCAAAACGGCTGTTTCAGTCATTAATTCTTAAAAATAAAAAGGGTAAAAACTAAATACAATGGGTAAAATTCAATAGTGTCTGTGCTATCGTTCAATTTGAAGGTGTCTTTTGAAACCGCAAGACACATTGAATTTTTGAATAGTGTATTATGGTTTGACAGACACCAATGAAAAAAATAAAATGATATTTATTTTAAATATATAAGATCCTTATATAAAATATAAATATTTTATCGTTTTATTTTCTTGTTTTAGAAATGTTTTTTATTGAAAAATCAATAAAACTAACTTCAAAATAAAATTTTTGATTTAAAGACACTGTGATGACACCAGGCAAATCTTCCAAGACACCTATCGTCAGGAATCTAACAACCCTAATTTTATATGTTGAATTGAAATTTCATTTATGTATTTTCATAAAACATATAGCACTGAGATTGTTTTTAATCTAATTTTCGATTTTAATTTTTTTTCAGATTTTTTGTAAAGTTACGAAATCGTAAAAATCGAATCAGGCCATGAATCTGAATTTCGAACACATTGCTGCTCATATCAGCGATTTTATTAAGAATGAAAACTTTTTCGATATATTTGAGATCGAAGATATCAAAACAATCATGAAAAATTCACATTTAACAGCTGATCAGTACATTACTCTTCTCAAACAGTCTTCATCGACTCTCAATGCCAACAAATTATATATCTGTACAAGAAAAGCAAATGTTACTATCCAAAATTTCGATGAAGTTGTTTCAATTCTTAAATCTGTCACAAAATACATGAAATTCAATATATTTGATGGAATCATTGACTTTATAAATCAAAAAGACAAAGAGTTGCGTGATTCTACAGAAGAAATCAAAAACCTTCAAACAGAATTAAAAACATTACAAAATCAAATACAAAATGCGGCCAAAGAAACAACAGTAACTCCAATTAATAAAACTCACAACTTTTCGAGAGAGTTTTTAACTAAATTATCATCACTTAAGGAAACAAAAGATTTTGATAGTGTTTACCAATTCTTTGAAGAACTTTCTTCTAAAGGCAATCGCGAAATGATTTCAAAGGCTTGTGAAGAAGGACTTTGGAAAAAGACAATATGGTCTAAAGAGAATGTACTTCATGTTGCAAGTGAAAAAGGAAATCTTAATCTTGTCAAATCACTTATTGAATGTGGCTGTGATAAAGAAGCAAATGATAAAGATGGACGGACTCCACTCTTTTTTGCATCATCTAGAAGTCATCTTGAAGTTGTTAAATATCTTATCTCAGTTGGAGCTGATAAAGAAGCAAATGATAAAGATGGATGGACTCCACTCATTTGGGCATCATATTATGGTCGTCTTGATGTTGTTAAATATCTTATCTCAGTTGGAGCTAATAAAGAAGCAAAGGATAATGATGGACGGACTCCACTCATTCTTGCATCAGAAAATGGTAAACTTGAAGTTGTTCAATATCTTATCTCTAATGGAGCTGATAAAGAAGCAAAGGATAAATATGGACGGACTCCACTCATTTGGGCATCATTTAATGGTCATCTTGAAGTTGTTAAATATCTTATCTCAGTTGGAGCAGATAAAGAAGCAAAGGATAATGGTGAATTTACTCCACTCATTAAGGCATCATCTAATGATCATCTTGAAGTTGTTCAATATCTTATCTCAGTTGGAGCAGATAAAGATGCAAAGAATATTGGTGGAAACACTGCACTCTCATATGCAAGAGATAAGGTAAGAGAATATCTAAAATCTATTGGAGCTAAGTAATCTAAATGGATATCATATTCTTGTTTTCAAGCTATTATCAATTTGAATATTATTAATTCTTCATAGAATCAAAGAAAATAAAGATATTTATTATAAATTTATAAATATAAGGGCACAAAAGTATGAATTTTTCATCATAAACAATTAATGAAAACTTCAATTCTTCGACTTCTTTTTCTAATTTCTCCTTTTGAATTTCAAGATTTGACTTGTCATCTTGAAGTAATTTGATTTGCTTCTCTCAGTTAACTACTGACTGGATGTTTCCATTGTCACTGCGTTTAATTCTGCTAAAGAATTCTGAATTTTGTTGATGTTTGATAAGAAGAATAATATGGATAAACTATATCCACTTATTACTAGAAAGCTTCTATATCCATTATAGTGAAGTAATAGATATTTGTATAACACAAGAAATGATATTTGAAATAAGAGAAAGGTGACCAAACTATTTTTTGAAAGTCCGCCATAACTTTAATGGTACTATTTCAGCGTGTACAATGAATACAAAAATTCTAAGAGTGCCACATAAAATAGTACTTTAGACTTGAGTTAATGCTACCAAGCAAATGTTAAAAAGATGACTTTAGTGTTTTGATAATCAAAGATTAAAATCTTTATTGTCTAAATCAATAATCATAACGACAGAAGTTAATGTTTTTTCATAAGTGCTTTAAATCCACTTTTAAAAGTATACCTCAAAAATCAAAATATCAAAAAAAATTGGCCGATAGGTTTGGCTTTAATTTTTGTCTGCTTTTATGATTTGATATGGATGTTATAATTTTAAAAGTTGAGCCAAATTCACCAATAGATTTTTGAGATTTGCAAATACTCAATAATTTTCAGCGTGTTATCTTTTATTAAAAGAACTATTTGGTTTCAGTATCATATAAATTGATATTTACTTTCTATTTGAACCTTCATTTAGCTAATGATTTAATAATACAGATTTCATCTAGTCCTTATAAGAGAATTTTGAATTTGTTATAATAAAAAAACAAACAGATATAGCTTACACTTCTATAATAAAGATACCTTTTATAGAAATCAGTATGAAATGTGTTTTGGTTTATTGGAAGCATATCAGACATAATCGCCATAATCAAAAAATCTATATACCCAATAAGTAATAAATTTGTCGATATAGATTTTCCATAAAATTAGTTTTTAGTCTGATCTTAAAATAAATTTAATTTTTTATAAAAAAAATCACATTTAAAAGTACCTTTTTAGTAGCTCGAAATCCTGTTGGTGGATTTGGGGCGTACTTCAAAATTAGCTTTTCTTCTACATATGCAAGCTATATTTTAAATATGGAGCAAATCGGATCGGCGAAAGGAGTTTAGTTACCTTTAATAAGAGCTGCGTTTAGATTTCTACTTTGCAAAATTATGCAAAACTACATTTGGATTTGTTTATTTTGGTATTTAAGTAGATTAGATTTCTTCAAAAAGAGTTTTATTGAGAAAATTATTTGAAAACAGTTTATAATAACAAACATCAAATAGAAAGTAATTATTTATATAGAATATATGTATTTGTTAATCTTCTGATACGATTACTGCATCTTATATTGAAAATCAAACAAAATTTTTAATGAATCCGCTAAAATATCGCAAATTATCTAATACATAATAGTTGGAATTCCTTCGGTCTTTGTTTTAGCGATTTGTTCCAGACTTGACAAAAGATCGGAAAGTTTACAAACATTGGTATATAAATCATCAACAGAAGATAATTTGTTAACAACTTCTTCGACTGCTGTTGCAATTTTGTCTAATTGATCCCCTTCTTGTTTCGCAATTGAAGCAAATTCGGATGCAATTTTTGTATTTTGTTGTAAAGCTAAGGAAGCTATGTCACCTGCGCTATTTAATTTATTTGAAATTTTCGATAAAAGCTCTTGATGAGCTAAGACTAAGTACTTTGAGTAATCTTCGATATCAGCAAGAGCTTTCAATAAAAGAGGTTCTCCTTTTTCAGGTGTGTTGATTTTAGGCTCTTCAACTACATCTCTTGTAATTGCTGTTGTATAGCCACTCATACGATAAATCGCCATTTTTTAATTTTTAAAATAAAAAGGGGGCGGTTATGAAATTAAGGTAGACTTTGATTTTTATAAAAATTTGATCAAGTGAATTTGGAGCTGCAGGAGCTACTCTCAAGAACAGATAAGGTAAGCTATTGAAAGTATATATCGAAAGTTTTTTTATATGTCAAAGACTAAAAAGCGGCTCTTCCATCTTCGCCTTTTTCTTTGATTTTTGCACCATGAAAAATAAGATGAACTGTTGCTTCTTCACTATTATTTGATATTGCAAGATGAAGAGCAGTTCTTCCATCTTTACTTCTTTCATTGATGTTTGCACCATGTAAGATAAGACGCTCGATTAGATCTTTTCTGTTCTTATAGGCTGCATAATGAAGAGCTGTAAATCCATTTTCATTTTTTTCATTGACATTTGCACCATGTGAGATTAGTAGATCTGCTATTTTGATATTATTTTTAAGCACTGCATAATGAAGAGATGTATTTCCAAGTCCATCTTTTTCGTTGACATTTGCACCATGCAAAATAAGAAGTTCGGCGATTTCTTTACTATATTTTCCTACTGCATAATGAAGAGATGTTTTCCCTTTTACATCTTTTTCGTTGACATTTGCACCGTGCAAAATAAGAAGTTCGGCTGTTGATTTACTATATTTTTCTGCTGCATAATGAAGAGCTGTTTTTCCAAGTCTATCTTTTTCGTTGACATTTGCACCGTGCAAAATAAGAAGTTCGGCTGTTGATTTACTATTTTCTATTGCTGTATAATGAAGAGCTGTTTTTCCAAGTCCATCTTTTTCATCGATGTTAATGCCGTGTGAAATAAGAAGTTCAGCTGTTTCTTTACTATTTTTTCTGCTGCGTAATGAAGAGATGTTTTCCCTTCTACATCTTTTTCGTTGACATTTGCTCCATGGGAAATGAGAAGTTCAGCTGCTTCTTTACTATTATTAATTGCTGTTATATGAAGAACGGTTTCTCCATTTTGACCTTTTACATTGATATTTGCACCAAGTGAAAGGAAATATTCCCAAAGGGACGGAATATCAAACATTGTTGAAAAAACAAAACATTGGTCAATATCATTAGTTTGATCGAAATAAACCAAAAATGATTCAAGATTATTATAAAATACGCAACCATATAAATCGATCTCTATATTGTATTCATTCATCAAGAATGTCACAAAATCAATGTTGTGTGAAATAATTGCATTTTTCATGCATTCTTTATTTGGTTTTTGATATTTCAAACATTCACTCATGATATCTGGATTTCCTCCCAAAAATGAAAATTCTAAGCATGTTTGAGTTATTTCTGAGTTAAATTTCGATCTTAATAACTTGAAACAATCAACTGCTCCATGATAACAACATAATTCAAGAAATGAATATCCTTGCTTAGAATATGGATACAAATCACAGATAAGCAGTTGAAATTCATTAAAATCATCTCTCTCCGTGAATAAAATGAATTTTTCTAAGTCATTATACATAATTGCTCTGTAAATCGTATTTCCTTTATGAATATCTAGATTATAAAATTCAATTTTTTCGAAATCATCGGATTTGTCAAATTTTATTCCATATTCTTCATAAAATAGGAAGTTTGAAATGATTTTCATACCACTGATCTCTTTGATATGATATTCATCAGATATAAGTTTGGCAAGAGTTAAATATGACTTTGTATAGCGATTATTATACTGAATAATATACAAAATTTCTATGATTATATTTTGGGGAAGATATTTCTTTAAATCAATCAATTCTGTTTTGATCATTTTGTAAATTGAGTTTAATTCTTCATCATTTTCTGTTTTCAGCTGATACAATGCATTGTATGGATCAATGTAGTATTTGTATATACTTCGCAATTCACTGTATTTATTTGGATCAATGTCTTGGTCTGTCATCAATAATTTTTTAAAAAGGACATATTAGTATTTTTGCCATATTAAATATCTTTAATATTCATTATAAAACAAAAACATTGTGTTTTATTTATGGAAAACAATAACCACAAAGATTTCTTAAATAATTTATGAATTTTTTTAAAGTTTATAGATATGAAATGATTCAATAGCAATAATGAAGTCAAAAACAATAAGGTATTCATATGTAACATGAATTTTGCAATCGATATCGATGTTTTTTAATAGATTATTGCTAATTTTATGAATATATTATGTCTAAAAAGAGATATCAACAAAATATGATTACCGAAATTTATACATCATCTAGCAGTGCTTCGCGCCGATATATTGAAAAAGTGACAAATAATGTGAAAATGTCAGAAAATACATTACCGAAATTATCAGATGATTTATCAAAAGGAGCACAAAACATTGATATTGAGAGTCAGAAGAAGCCAATTCACAAAAGAAAACCACTAACAAAAAAGCAAAGAGAACAATTAGAAGAAAAAAGAGCCTCAAGCATTGATAAAATCCTCAAGAAATCAATTGCACCACTTAGTGTTATATTCTATTTCTTTTTCTGGCAATTTGTTAAACCAGGACTCGAAAGAATTATTCCAGACAAACACCCTTTCCTTTACAACTACTGGGAGAAAAACGAAAAGATAGTATTTAGGTTATATATCTCCACTTCCAAGTCAGTTCACCCATGGAACGCTAATTTAAGTACATTAGTTGCAGAAAGGAAAGATTTTAACTATTTCGTTAAATGGTTCAGAACTCCTGTGCTTTCCAAAAACTATACATTCAAAATTACCAACGAAATGCTCCGAAATCTCACTAAATATTACTGGGTTTTCCAAGCATCGAGTAATAAGTGTAATTTTGATGAATACGAGAACCGCAATGGTCAGACATGCGTTATAAGTTCATGGGCAGCACCGATTATTCGCTGGGAAAAGAATAAAATCGATATTACACGAAATCTTGCTTTTGACAAGCGAATTGACACTGTTGTCGACCTTAACCCTCATCCTTATACATATGAGAATGCAACCTTCGATATCGTTTACCATCCAGACCCTTTGAAAGAAACAATTTTGGAATATCAAAATTACAAATACATAAATCTTAACAATGATGAGCGAAGATTCACTAATCCTGTATCAGAATGTCGTTATATGCATGTTAGAAAGCACAGAACGTGGTTAGATGAATCACAAGAAATCAATATTACATATCACATTAATGTTCAGCTGAAAAGGTTCTATTTATGGGACTATCAGCTTAGCATGGATGTACAGCCTAACGATAACATGCAAAAAATCGTTGACGACATCAAAATTGCGTCAGTTGATAATCCACCATGGCTTTTCTGGGGATACGTGGTTTTGGCCTTCACTAGAACGATCATGAAGGTCATTGCATTCAAAGAAGAGATAGAATGGTGGTCAAGTTTGGACAATTTGAAGGGAGTTTCAGCTCAAGCGATTATTTTCGAACTTTTCTCGGAGTTCGTTATCATTCTTTACTTGCATGATGAGAATGCGTCATTCCTGGATATTGTTTTCAAACTTTTGACCTTAATAATGACATGTTATAAATTCTTTAAGTTATTTACGCCAATTATGGATTGGCCGTACTTCAGATGGAATGGTGGTGATGATACAGAGACAAGACAGTTCGATGCTGAAGCAGGAAAGTACTTATACAGAGGATTGATTCCTTTGTTGGCCGGATACACTATTTATAGCTTGTTTACGATGAAGTTCAAGTCATGGTATTCGTTTTTGATCAAGAACTGTGTTAATTTCGTGTTTTCTTTCGGATTTCTGAAAATGTTCCCTCAAGTTTGGGTCAATTACAGGCTGAAAAGTGTTGCAGGTATATCAACGCGTGTTCTCATGTATAAATTGGTCACTACTTTCATTGATGACATTTATGCGATTGTAATGAACATGCCATTCCTTTACAGAATTGCCTGCTTCAGAGATGACATAGTGTTCTTCATCTGGGTCTACCAATGCTTCATCTACAAGGTAGATTACAACAGAGTGAACGAATACGGAGAAATTCTTGAAATCCCTGAAGAAGAAGAAGAAATCGTTGAGAAACCAGCCCAGAAACCAAGTAAATTCAGACTAATGTTATCGAAATTATGGCTCAAAATACGTTGGTCATTTGGAAACAAAGCAAGAACAGAATAACCCATCCAAAAAGATACCCAAGGTAATAGAAACCATTAGTTTTGCCTATATGAACTACAGTTACATGCTTTGTTCAGATTTTTGAGTCCAAAAAATTAATTTATTTAATTCATGACCAATTTTGACCTTTCGATAGTTTTTTCTATTGTTTATATTGTTTCTAATACCTAATTATGCTATAATTGGACTGTTTCTCGATGAAATCAAAAATCATCTCATTTATATTTGGGTTGATTCATATGGAGAACATCTAATTGGCATTAAAAGAGTTTGTTAATGTATGTAAAACTGTTAAAATTGAAAAATAAGGTTTAGATTTGACAAAACAATTAAATTTTGTAGAGTAAGTATATCTTTATAAGGCATGATCATACTGAGGCTGTGGTGCTGATCTTTATCCTCAGCCTCTTTAATCTTATTCTGTCAAAAATAGTGTATTGTTGTAATTTCTCTGATAATTTTGTTAGATAAAGAAATAAATTATATGTTTAAACAACTGTATTTTAGTTATATGTTTCTCGATGGTTTACCTTAAATCTCAAGCCGGTGAAATTCATTCCAAAATCAATGAGTTCAAAGAAAAAACTAATGTTGCCTTAAATAATATGGTTTATCTGTATAAATGATAATACGAAATTTATGAAAAACTTGATAGGTCAGATTCAAAAAATTGCAACCAGGCTTGGAATCATCTATTTATATTATAACTTAAATCTCTTTTAAATGATATATAGATTTCTTGGATTACTAGGCTTTCTTAATGAGATTTCTAATCCCCTCATCAAGATAAAAGGATTGGAAGTAAATTTGTACCTAGGCATGATTAAGCGAAAAGTATTGTATGTTGTTTGCGCAGGTAGAAAAGTTTAAATTAAAGAAGACAAAAATAGAATTGGGATACAATTCAATAATTTCAATGTAAAAACTTTATAATCACAAAACAATAACAAACAAAAATGGTAATATATTAGTTGCCAGCATATCGACGTTCGAGATTTGTCCAAAAATCGTTATTAATCTTATGGGATGAAACAAAGAACTTTGGAAGTGGATCACGCGAAACTTCAAGCGGTTGCCGAGGCACTATCGTAACCGTATAAGGTCTTGTAGGTTGGTCGTAAACATTATCTGAATCGTCATGCGTTTGGCGTGAGTATGAGAGAGGATAGTCTGCTGCAGAAATGGTTCTGAAATTGTCGAAACTTTGTGATGTAACGAGGGGATTTTTATTTTTTTGTTCTAATACGACAATTGTATCATTTGTTTTAATGTTGAGACCTCCGATGGAGATATACGGATTAATTACTGCATTTTTGAAGTAGAAAACGAAATGGTCGTTCGATTTTGGAACCATTCCATGTGATTCTAAAGCTTCGTAAAGAGAATCAGAACTATTTGCTCGTATAGTTTGTTTCTCTCCTCCAATGAGCCGCACGAAAAAATCAACCGAAGAATTTTCCGGGAAGGCCATTGCACTATAAAAAAATTAACAATCGAAAACCGTCACATCTCTCACAAATTATATTCAACGTAACCTTCTCAAATTATTAAGGGTAAAAAGTTTCATCTAAAAAATGAATAATATGCGTTAAATTTGGACGATCAAATTTATCTTTTTCAAATCACTTTTCAAAATAATTCTATTACTTTTCTTTCAAAAGGTTTTCATATGGCGCCAATTGATTTTCTATTATGTCGTAATTTTGGAAAATGCAATTCTAAAATACGGTTAATAGCTTGTTGTGAATATCTGCCTTGTTCTATTTTGAGTTCGGTTGAGAGACAAAATTTCCAACTTGATTTCAAGATCATACAACATTACTTTTTTGCATGTTTAAATAATAGCCCACTGCGTTTTGGAATTTTTTTGTGGACAATCTTTTCCAAAAAAAAAATTTAATAAAATTATTTAACAATAACGTTTAAAACAAAAATACATTACATAGCAAATATAAATATTTCTTATATATCATCTTCTGAGCTTACTTCGAATGACATACTTTCACTTTCTATCTTAGTTGTGATGTTGACCGGGTCTTTAACAACATCTTCGGATAGACTTGAAAGGAAATCATCACTATCATCAATTTTCTGCACATCAACTTTCTTTTCTTCTTTCTTTTCGGGTTCTGATGCGAAATCTGAAAGAATTCCGGAACTTTCTTCTTTCTTCTTTGCATCAGCATTATTTTGCTTGTTTTCTACTTTATTTTCTGCCTGCTTTTTACTGGTATCATCAGTTAGATCAGAAAGGAATTCGCTGGAAATATCTGATTTTTGAGTTTGATTTTGAATTAATTTCGAATCTTGGTTTTGTGGCTTCTCGAGTACTATGACTTCATTGCTGTTTATAGCTTTGTTATCTTTTTGTTTGGAAAGATCTTGTGGAGCTGTATCTGTGCCTTCGAATATAAGAGATTCAGAGTCACTCTCTACTACTTCTTCTTGTTTGGTAACTTTCTTTGTTGTTTCATCACTATCTTCAAGGCTTAAGAAAGAGGAACTGCTTTCAATTGCAATGACTTCGACTGACTTCTTAGTGACGTCTTGCGTCTTTTCTTCTTCCTCTTCTTTCTTTCTCTTTTCTTCTTCCTCTTTTTGTTTTTCTTCCTCTTCCTTCTTTCTCTTTTCCTCTTCTTCTTTTTGTTTTTCTTCCTCTTCCTTCTTTCTCTTTTCCTCTTCTTCTTTTTGTTTTTCTTCCTCTTCCTTCTTTCTCTTTTCCTCTTCTTCCTCTTCCTTCTTTCTCTTTTCTTCTTCTTCTTTTTGTTTTTCTTCCTCTTCCTTCTTTCTCTTTTCTTCTTCCTCTTCCTTCTTTCTCTTTTCTTCTTCTTCAGCCTTCTTTCTCTTTTCTTCTTCTTCAGCCTTCTTTTGTTTTTCTTCCTCTTCCTTCTTTCTCTTTTCTTCTTCTTCCTTTTTTCTCTTTTCTTCTTCCTCTTTTTGTTTTTCTTCCTCTTCCTTCTTTCTATTTTCTTCTTCTTCAGCCTTCTTTTGTTTTTCTTCTTCTGCTTTCTTCTTTTCTTCTTCTTCTTTCTTTCTCAGTTCCTCTTCTTTTTGTTTTCTTTCTTCTTCCTCTTTCTTTCTCTTTTCTTCTTCGGCGGCCTTAAGTCTCTCTTCCTCTTCTTTCTTTCGTTTTTCTTCTTCTAATTTCTGCCTTTCTTCTTCCTCCTTCTTCCTCTTTTCCGCTTCTTCATTTTGTTTCTTTTCTTCCTCCTCTTTCTTTCTCTTTTCTTCCTCTTCTTGTTTCTTCTTCTCTTCTTCTGCCTTTCTTTCGGCTTCTTTCTTCTCTTCCTCCTCTTTTTGAATTCTTTCTTCATTCTTTTGTTTCTCTTCATTTGCATCGAATTTGATTTCTCTCTCTTTGACTTCATTGAATTCTTTTTCGTACCAATTCAATCCGTCATTATTTTGTTGTGGAACTGTGGCTTGAGCTCTAATTAGTGCTGGAACGGCAACCATTCCAGGAACGCAAGTAATGGTTGACTGGTCACGACTTGGAGGAGCATCTTGCGATGGATCAAGAGCTTCACCTAAAAGATTTGCAAGGATATCATCTGGATTTATTGATAAGAGACTTTCTTCAACATTCTTTGGTTCCTCTTTCTTTTCTTCGACTTTCTTTGGTTCTTCCTTCTTTTCTTCAACTTTCTTGTGTTCTCTCTTCTTTTCTTCAGGCTTGTCTTCCTTGAAAGGACCTTCTTTTGTCAATAAGTTCTTGATGCCAAGTGTAAGTAGTTGATCTTTTGGTTTTTCTTCTGTCTTCTTTGGTTCTTCTTTAGATTCGTGATTTTCTTTCTTAGGTTCATCTTCTTTCTTTTCATCTTTTTCATGTTTCTTTTCTTTATGAGTCTCTGGTTTCTTTGACTCTTCATGTTTCTTTGGCTTTTCTTCCTTCTTTTCTGTTTCTTCGGATTTCTTTGTTTCTTCGGATTTTTTTTCATCTTTCTTTTCTGCTTCCTCGAGTTTCTTTTCGGAATCTTTAAGAAGACTCTTTATTCCGAGTGTAGTTACTTTGTTTGATTCACTAGCTGGTTTCTTTGGTTCCTCTACTTTATCTTCATGTTCTTGTTTCTTTGGTTCTTCGCTCTTCTTAGGTTTATCCTCTTTCTTTGGCTCTTCTTCCTTCTTTTCGGCTTCCTCAAGTTTCTTTTCAGAGTCATTGAGAAGATTTTTAATTCCGAGTGAAGTTCCATTGTTTGGCTTTTCTTCCTTCTTCGATTCTTTATCCTTCTTAGGTTTTTCTTCTTTCTTCGGCTCTTCTGATTTGGTTTCTTCCTTCTTCTCCACTTCTTCGAGTTTCTTTTCTGAATCATTGAGACGATTCTTAATTCCAAGTGATGTTTTCTTCTTTGTTTCTTCATTATCTTGCTGTTCTGGTTTATTTGGTTCTTGGCTCTTCTTAGATTTATGTTCTTTCTTTGGCTTCTCTTCCTTCTTTTGAGGTTCTTCTTGCTTCTTCGGTTCTTCAACTTTCTTCGATTCATCTGGCTTCGTTTCAGCCTCTTCGAGTTTCTTTTCTGAATCCTTAAGAAGACTCTTAATTCCAAGTGAAGTTCCTTTCTTTGGTTCTTCTTGCTTAGGTTTGTCTTCCTTCTTTTGGGATTCCTCTTGTTTCTTTGGCTCCTCAACTTTCTTTGGCTCATCTGGTTTCTTTTCAGCTTCTTCAAGTTTCTTTTCCGAATCTTTGAGAAGATTTTTGATTCCTAAAGCGTCTTTCTTTGGCTCTTCAGTCTTCTTGGATTTATCTTCTTCTGGCTTCTTTGGTTCCTCAACTTTCTTTGGCTCGTCTTGTTTGTTTGACTCAACATGTTTCTTTTCGGCTTCTTCAATTTTCTTTTCGGAGTCTTTGAGAAGATTTTTGATTCCTAGTGAAGGATCTTTCTTTGGCTCTTCTTTCTTAGGTTGTTCTTGTTTCTTTGGTTCCTCAACTTTCTTTGGTTCTTCAGTTTTCTTTTCCTCTCTCTTTTCTGCATTTTCGAGTTTCTTTTCTGAATCTTTGAGAAGATTTTTAATTCCCAATGAAGTTCCTTTGCTTTGTTTTTCTTCTTTCTTAGGTTGTTCTGGTTTCTTTGGTTGTTCTTGTTTCTTTGGTTCTTCAACTTTCTTTGGTTGTTCTTGTTTCTTTGTTGTATCGTCTTTCTTTGGTTGTTCTTGTTTCTTTGGTTCTTCAACTTTCTTTGTTGTATTGTCTTTCTTTGGTTGTTCTGTCTTCTTTTGTGTTTCTTTGAATGGAGTATTTTTACTAATTGCATTTCTTGGACTTCGCGGGCTTCGTGGACTTCTTGGAGAGCTAATTGGTGATTTAGTTGCCTCTTTGTTTGGTTCCTTTACCTTCTTATCATTTTCTGTTGTCTTCTTCACTGGTTTCTTTTCGCTATCTGATTTAGCAGGAGGTTTCTTTTGACTTCCTTTCTTGTTGTCATCAGATGATTCGAAACTCATGCTTCCTTCTTTATGAGAAACATTTGTTCTATTGATTGGAGGTGGATTTTCTTCTTCTTTGTTTCTTGGTGAAGCAGCACTTTCTGATTCACTCTTTGGAAGTTTCAATTTCGCATGCAAATCTTCATCAGTATCATTATTTGATGCATGTAACTTAAGTGCTGATGGTCTTCTGCTTGAATTTTGTTCTGAAGCAACATTTCCAATAGATAAAGAGTCTCTCAAAGATAGATTTCCTGTTGACTCTTGTTCATCATGTCTTCTTGGAGAATGTTTCTTCATTTCGATTCCCTTTGGAATGTTGTCTAATTGTAATTTCGGAACAACGTCATTCTTTAGTTCTTGTGTTTCTAAGTCTGATGGCTCGATGACTTTTCTCTTTTCTTCTTCTTTTGTTTTATATTCTTCAGTTGATTCGAAAGATAAATCATCACTTGATTGTTTCTTTTCTTCTTTCTTCTTCTCATCAGTTTTCTCTTTATCATCATCACTTGATTGTTTCTTTTCTTCTTTCTTCTTCTCATCAGTTTTCTCTTTATCATCATCACTTGAAGAAGCAAATGACAAAGAAGATGAAGATGATGAACTTTCTTTCTTATCTTCTTTATCACTTGAACTGCTACTACTTGTTTCAATGATGATTCCTTCACTTGAACTTTCATCTTTCTTCATTTCTTCATCCTTTTTCTCTTCTTCTTTCTTTTCTTCAACTTTTGGTTCTTCGATTTTGACTTCAACTTTCTTTTCTTCAACTTTTTCTTCTTGTTTTGGTTCTGGTGGTTTAATTTCTTCTTTTTTAGGTTCTTCGATTTTGACTTCTTCTTTCTTTTCTTCATGTTTATTGTTTAGATCATCATCCTTTTTGTTGTCTTCGTTTTTGGATTTCTTCTTTTCATCATCAGATGAAGTTGACAAAGAGAATGAAGAGGAAGATGATTTCTTCTTTTCTTCAACTTTTTCTTCTTTGATTTCTTCTTTCTTTTCTTCATGTTTATTGTTTAGATCGTCATCCTTTTTGTTGCCTTCGCTTTTGGATTTCTTCTTCTTTTCGTCATCAGATGAAGTTGACAAAGAGAATGAAGAGGAAGATGATGAAGATTTCTTCTTTTCTTCGACTTTTTCTTCTTTGATTTCTTCAACCTTTTCTCCGAAGAATGAATCTGATGATGAACTACTAGAAGAAGTCTTCTTCTTCTGAACTTCCGATTTTTTTGTTTCTTCTTTTTCATCATCTGATTTCTTTGTAACTTTTTCTTCTGTAATTGTGGATTCGAAATCTGAAGATATTTTCTCCTCAACTAAAGGTTTCTTTTCTTCTGTAATAGTTGATCCGAAATCTGATGAAGATGAAGATGACAATGACGATGATGATTTCTTCTTTTCTTCTTCTTTCTTCTTATCATCATCTTTCTTCTTTTCTTTTTCTTCTTTGATTGGATTTTGTGGTTGGATCTTCTTCTCTTTTTCTTCTGGCTTGTTTGTTTCTTGTGTAACAACATCCGAATCATCGGAAGTGAAATCTGATGAAGATGATTTCTTTGGCTCTGGCTTTTTGACTGGAGCTGAAGCTCCAAGTAGAAGTTTCTTGCTTTCTGGATTCTTCTTTGGCTTCTCTTCTTTCTTTTCTTCAACATCATCTTCGAAATCTGAATCATCTTCACTAGAAGAAGACGAAGATGATGAAATTTGTTCAAGTTTCTTTCTTCTTGCCGTCGATGTTGCAATTAATTGTTGTGTCTTCTCTTCATCTTCGTAAGTTCCGAAAAATTCCATTCCACTGATGCATAAAATATTGATTCCGTCTGCTGTCTTATTTGTCTGTTTAACTCTAATGTATTTTGCTCTAACATTTGTTCTTACTACAAATTGATGAATCTCAAATGGCTTATTGAAATAAGTACTTTGTCTTTTTTCATCAATAGTATCCCATTTCTTACCATCCATTGATCCTAAGAGTTTCCAGCCAGTTGGGAACCACATTTTGCCGCATTTCATGGAATAAGATGTCAATACGAAAATATGTTTAGGAAAATGATATTGTAGCCATTGTCCTCGTCCTGCCATTGAAAACCATTGATGTTTATGTCTTGGTGATATTACTGATGTCAAGTGATTTCCATTTGATGAAACAAAAAATGGCAATGCTTTATCTTCTTCATCAAATAATTGAACTTTAGATACTGATAGCTTTGATTCTTTCTTTGTTTCTAACTTAATTCTATAAAATAAAAAGTCTGAGTCGTTTTCAATTTCAATATCTTGAGATTCTCCACTTTTTATACGTTTCTTAAGTCCTTTTACAAGAGGAACCCAATCTGATTGATCTTTAGAGCCTGAAATTATTATATGTCTCGAAACATCTGATGTTCCAGCAGTAATTGAAATTTTATGAACTTCTGAAGGAGAATTCAGCCAAAAATTAATTTCTGGGCTTGTCTTAATAACTGTTAGCAAACCTCCACTTTCTGATCCTAAATTTGATGGATCATTTGATGATGCTGAAATTTCAACAATTCCACTTCGAATAGGATTTCCTAATCCTGTACTTATTTTGGCAATAAGCCCGTATTTAGGTGGTTTGATTTTTAACGTCTTTGTCGAAGAAAATGTAGTTGATTCTTCTTTTTTATGAGATTTTTGTTTTTCTAAAGTACGACGCCTTTCTCTTTCTGTTTTTATTGCATTGAATTGTTTATATTGCTTTTGTGTATAGAAATATTTGAAGTCTTCTTGTGATAATTTTTCCCAAGTTAAAAATGGTACAAATCTTTCTGGTTGGCCCGAATAATTTTTAAGATGCTCTACAACAAACTTATTAAGATGCTTCTGATCGACCTTAGTATCCTTGCAACACTCTAAAAATGAAAATAGAAGCTTTTGATTGAGTGAATGACAACTTTCTAGTTGTAGCATTCTATCAAACTCTTCAGTTGTAAAGTCTTTTGAATCTGGTAAGCGATTTGAAGCAATAAAATTATCAACAATTCCGTATAATTTGATTTCTGCTTCCGGTTTCCCGTTGATGTAGTTTTCAACAACTTGTCCAATTCTATTTGCCTTCCATTCATGAGCTAATCTTAGAAGGACATATGCGTTAGGTGTCGTTAATTCAACTTCATTGCCATGGGCCATCTCAATGAAGATAGAAAATATCTCTTCTTTGTATGAATCGTGAATTTCTATATTTGTATCCTTATAATATGGATATAAATCTTCGAAATATTTTGAATACTGACATAATAACATTGGATTAATAAAATATGGATGTTTGTTATGAAGTATTATGAATTTTCTCTCTGGTTTCACTGAGATTGTCTGTGCATGTGGATCAGAAAGCGACATCCTGTCACTTTTTTATTAATTTTATAGCGAGTGAGACTTTTTTCTTTTACGGGTGTGTCAAAAGGCCTTTTTTCCGAAAAAAGTGCCAAAAAGTGCAAAAAAGTGGCATTTTCCTAAAGATTTGATTGAATATAGTGGAATAATCAATCAAACTACAAATATTGTTATAGGATATGAATCATCAAATATAGGTACATGATTTCATAGTTGAAAATCATGTTTTTTAAAAAAACACGTCATATTTATTGCAATCTCCAAAAATCTAATCGAATTATACCGATTTATCATTCGGATTATATTAATTCAATTGACGATAAGTAAATCTTCTATTACAAAATCAAAATTCGTATAGTTTTGTATCATCAAAAAAATATGACAAAAATTATATACAGCAAATTCATTACATAAGATAAATACGAAGACAACAAGTAGAGAAAAGCGTATTCACCGAACTGTTTTAGTATGTTTTGGTTTACATTACCTAAATATTTTAGTTTGAAGTTTTTATTAAGATTTATCCATTTTTGTTCTGGGTAATCATATATCTGCTGTTTACATAGATTGCTATCTATAAATTAGAATAAAAAAATTCTTTTTACAAAATATAAATTTTCCATTTTTCATATTTACACTTATTATGATTATGTTTAAAAAAAAAAAAAAAAAAAAAAAAAAAGGTAGTGGGGCTTCCAGGCACTTCGTGCCTTCTAGCCCTGAGGATGTTTTGTCAAGACTTCTTCATCGTAAATGTTTTGTCAAGACTTCTTCGTAAAATCAGACAAAAATAATGTTTATGTTAGAATGTTAGATCTAACACGTTTTCTAACATGTTTTCTAACATCGTAGAAAACTCATGATTTCATCGTAAATGTTTTGTCAAGACTTCTTCGTAAATGTTTTGTCAAGACTTCTTCGTAAATGTTTTGTCAAGACTTCTTCATCGTAAATGTTTTGTCAAGACTTCTTCGTAAAATCAGACAAAAATAATGTTTATGTTAGAATGTTAGATCTAACACGTTTTCTAACATGTTTTCTAACATCGTAGAAAACTCATGATTTCATCGTAAATGTTTTGTCAAGACTTCTTCGTAAATGTTTTGTCAAGACTTCTTCGTAAATGTTTTGTCAAGACTTCTTCATCGTAAATGTTTTGTCAAGACTTCTTCGTAAAATCAGACAAAAATAATGTTTATGTTAGAATGTTAGATCTAACACGTTTTCTAACATGTTTTCTAACATCGTAGAAAACTCATGAGTTTTGTATGTTTTAGACCATGTTAGAAAACATGTTAGAAAACATGTTAGATCTAACATTCTAACATAAACATTATTTTTATTGAATTCCGTATGAAATTTCATGAGTTTTGTGTGTTTTAGACCATGTTAGAAAACATGTTAGAAAACATGTTAGATCTAACATTCTAACATAAACATTATTTTTGGGTCATTTACACTCATTACGATGAAGAAGTCTTAACAAAGTCTTTACGAAGAAATCTCAACAAAGTCTTTATGAAGAAGTCTTGACAAAACATTTACGAAGAAATCTCAACAAAGTCTTTACGAAGAAGTCACAACAAAACATCTGTCAAAAACCGCTTTTTAACTTCACTTAAAATGCCACGTAAGCTACGTAAGAATATACGTAAGAGGAAGAGAGCATTGAAACATCCAATAGTAAAACTGACACCACAACAACAGTTGCAACAACAAATGCTGAATGACCCCACTATGTTGCAACAAATGTCAAGCAATCCTATGCTTTTAAACCGAGTTGTTGGTGCACAGAGTGGAGGTTTAAGAGCGGCACTTTTAGCGAAAATGGCAGGCTATGGTGGAGCTGCAGACGGAACAGCCTATAACCCTCAAAGTCAAATGAATTTGAGTTCACTCAAAAATCAAATAACAGATGTCAAAAAGTCAAACATAGACATACAGAAGCAAATAAGTGAAAACGAAAAGAAACTAGAATATGACAGACACACAAAGAAACTCAATGAGTTAAACGTAGAGAAAAAGAAGAAAGAAGAAAACTGAAAGAACTAAGTACAGAGGAATATGCGAAAAAAGTGTCAGAAAAAGCAGCAGAAGTAGCAAAAATGGAACAAGATGTCATAAATTTGAAAAACCATACTACTCAATATAAAATACTGAAAGATGAAGAGATAAAACAAAAAGCCCTGAAGACATATATGGATAGCGATGAGTATAAAAAAGAAGTTGAAGCAAATGTAAAGGCAGAAAAACTTTTACAGTTGCAAAACCAAACCGTACAGTATGAAAACTTAGCACAAGAAAGTAAAAATAACGACGCAGCCATGCAAAAGGCAATGAAAAGCGCAGAATATATAAAAGCTAACAATGACTGGTTAGATGCCCAAGCCAACGCTAAAGCAGCCCAACTCATAGGGTCAATAAGGACAAAAATACAAGCGGATGAAGATAGTTCAAATGAAGCTTTAACAAATGCTGACTTTAAGAACGCCTTCGAAGCTCTTCATAGTAAAGTGAAACTAGTGAACGACTTCTCATCTGGAAAGAAACTGAAGTCTGAAGGTTTCGACAAAGAGTTAAAAGAAGTAGCACAAAATATGACGAAAATAACAGATGCAGCAACGAGACAGGCAGTTCAAAGTGCCTATGACGCCGTTAGAGCAACTGTTGTGAAAAGTCAAGAAAAAGAGTTACAACAGACCAAAACAGACCTAGTAAATGCTTTCTTAAGAACGAAAAGTCAGGTAGGACATTACGCTGCAGATGGAACATATGTGCCAGCTGGTGGAACTTATATACCACCAAACCCTCCAAGAGAAGCACCTGCACCAGGACTACCTAAAACATTTACATCGTCACATGGACATAGACACAGGCATGCACCACAACCAGCACAACAACCAACACAACAACCAGCACAGCAACCAGCACAGCAACGACATAAAAGAAGTAGAGAACAAGGAAACCAAGAATTCTTAAAAATGCTTAAAGAAGAGTGTGGTTTCCCAGATACTGTTGACTTTAGTGACAGATATAAAGAAGCTATTGGAAAGTTCAAGGATGGAAATACTGACCCGAACCTATTTAGCTTTATGGCTCAGCACCAAAACGGATATAATCTCAAACCTGGAAAATACAAGCTCGCTAAGGGATATGATTTAATAGCATATCATCCAAATGACATGAACGAATTTACTCCGAGATATTTGATGTCAGAGCTAAATGACAATTCAACTTTCGTCATGAAACGCGTAAAAAATAGAGACGGAACGAAAGAACAAAAGCTTATGAATGCGGATGACGTAGATAGGGAAATTGTTGAAAACGGTCTCGGAATATATGAAATGCCAGCAGATGAGGTACAAGAAACTCCACAGGAAGAAGTTCAGATACAACCAGACATGGAAGAAATAGTTCAGCAACAACAGCTAGAAGAGCCTGAAGGAAACGAACAAGTCCCTCCTTTGGAAACTAACTTCACAGAACCAGATGAAGATTTGGAACAGCCGAAAAATCTTGACCCTCAACAAGAGTATGCGGAGAATATGGAATATTTCCAAGAGTCTAAAAAAAATTCGGCTGACATAGTAGAAGAATATCGAAAAATGTTTGCCGACATACAAAAGACTCCAACACCAGATGAAAATATTCTGCATAGAATGGAAGTACTGAAAGAAAATGTACACAAATACAACAACCCTTTTTACTTACGAGCATTTAACGTTCAATCTTCGGATGAACTCGGTGAAAATAAAAGGTTAAATTTCAAGAAAACATATAGAAATGAAACATTGTTTAAAGTTCATTCAGAACCTAACCAAGATGGAAACAAACCTACTTTTGTTTCTGCAGACGATGGAACTACAATGAGATGGGGTCATAAAGCTAATCCGGATAGGTGGTTCATAAACTTACAACCTCAATTCCAAGAAGTTGTAGACGCAATGGAAGCGAATGGTGAACGAGATATAGCTGGTATTTTCAGCGCGGCTTTAATGCCATTGAAAGATATGAAACATGCAGATATTTTGGACCAGTATGAAATGAACATGGCTGATGGAAATATAACACCTGACGTTCTAGAACATTTATCTCAAAGAACTACACAGAACCATAGAGATGGTATATTTGGTGAAGAGTTTAGAAAGAAAGTTAGGGAGAGCGAAGGAAGAGAACCTATTGTACATGACCTTGCAAACGAAAGTTTACAAAATGTCATAAAAACTTACTTTGCAGACAATGAACTGAGAAGGGATGAATATTTAAGAAAACTCAAATGACAGTACCAGATGAAATGTTAGTATTGAAAAACATGTTCCTTGACAAAATAAAACCAACTACAGAAATAAACGACGCAAGACTGAAAGATTGGGTAGAAGCTTTCCCATTCACAAAAGATATAGTTGGTAACATGGAAAGAAAACCAGAATGGCTACAAAAACATATATTTGGAAACGAGCATATTCCATATGGACAGGCACTGTTTGAAGAGCTTGAACCGGAAACTCAGGAAAGAGTCATGCAAACAATACGCAAAGACTCAAATACAGACTATGACAAACTCTTTCTAGGATATAGGTTACCTGAGATGGGCGACCAGAGCCAAAAGGCAAAAAGGACATGGGAAATTTACAAACATACTAGGTGAACATGAGGCAAAGATGCAAACAACTTGAAGCAGAGGGCAATGAAGGAAAAAGAAGAGTTAAAAACTCAGTCAGGAAGAAAGTAAAGCTTGGTCGGAGTGGGTTCTATTATGACATATAAATCCAACTATCTATATTTTTACTCATATGAAATGTACGCCGCTCAGAATATAACGCCAACAGTTTTGGATGCTATGAATGGAAATGTTTCCGAATGGTATAACGAATGCGACAATGCCATTAGAAGGTCAGAAATAGTTCCTG